AAAGAATAAATTTAAAAAAAAAATTTAAAAAAATTGCTTAAATATAAGCTAAAATAGAAAAACTGTTCATAAAATAAATCAAGGAAGAGTTACATTTTTATCCATTAACTTACACCTATTCATGAAATGTAAAATCATATCAAATGGGTGATTGGATCTTCTCAAAAAGAACAAAATATCTTATTGAAATAAAAAGATGGGCTGGGGATGTGGCTCAGGCGGTAGCACGCTCGCCTGGCATGCGTGCGGCCCCCGTTCGATCCTCAGCACCACATACAAAGATGTTGTGTCCGCCGAAAACTAAAAAATAAATATTAATAAAAAAAAAAAAAGAAATAAAAAGAAACTTGCTATCAATCAAGGTCTTCTTTCATTCTTTCAACTAATTTTTCCATGACAACAAATTATCTGAACTTTTATCAGACAGTAAGGATATAAATATAATTAAAATAAATTAATTTATCATTAGTAAAGACTCTTTAGCTATCAAGTAAATATTAATAATAAATAATATTTTGTACACAATGCATATTTTCAGATTTTAAAGCAACATAATCTTTAGGGACTTGTTCATAACAACATTAACTTTTCCATTTTCATAACAAATCTTCCACAATTAAATATTTGCCATAAAATACAAAAGTTAAATCCTCTCATAATCACATAAATATAAAATATTCTCAGGGCTGGTGCATGTTCTACATGCATGTTCTCAGCATGTACAAAGCCCTGAGTTCAAGCTACAGCACCACAAGTTAAAAAGAAAGAAGTCAGGCAAGGTGACACATGCTTGCAATCCCAGTGACTTGGGAGGCTGAGGCAGGAGGATCACAAGTTCGAAGACAGCCTCAGCAACTTAGCTCGAGGCCTTAAGCAACTTAGAGAGACACTTTCTCAAAAAAATTAACAGGATTGGGGTATACATCAATGGTAAAGAACCCTTGGGTTCAATCCCCAGTACCAAAACAAAAAGAAAGAAAATATTCTCAGGTTAACTGGTGGTGGAAATAATTCTGTCCCACTACTTTTTATTTCCAGAACAGATGAGTAAAATTTCATAATCAAAGAACTATCTTTTCTAATTAACCCCATAGAAGTTAAGGTTCATAGGAGTTTCCTAGAAGCCTAGAAAATCCTGAGCTAAACCACAGTTTAAATTCAAGTGTGTCTGGGCTGGGGTTGTGGCTAAGAGGTAGAACACTTGCCTACCATGCATGAGGCACTGATTTAGATCCTCAGCACCACGTAAAAATAAAATAACGATATTGTTATAGCTAAAAATAAATATTTTTTAAAAAATTCAAATGTGTCTAATTCAAAATTCATTCTTTCATCTTTTTGCCTAATAGAATTACTATTCCTGTCGAATCTGTTGTCCTCGACTATGATGGGGGCTGAACCAACATTCTAGCTCCAGCCAAAAATAAGAAAAAGACATTGAAGACACTGAAAAGTGACCAAAGGCAGGGCCAATGGAAGGTAGTGAACACTTCGAAATAGACAACAGCCCTGGATGAACTTTCAGGTTTTTGTGGACTTTTGCCTGAGAACAGCGATCAATCAGAGCTAAAGGAGGTAGCTAAAACTCAGAAAGAAACACATACACTGGTTCAGGAATTAGAAGACATAGTTGAAGGCAACCATGGGAGCTGGGAGGTGAGAGGAGAAATACCTAAAAGAAAAGAGCCACAAATTCTTCAAATGAATTCTGGCCAAATCTCTAGCAGAGTCTTTTTTGGGGGGCAGAGGGAGGTCCCAGGGATTGAACTCAGGGGTACTGGACCACTGAGCCAAATCCCCAGCCATATATATATATAATTTTATTTAGAGACAGGGTCTCACTGAGTTGCTTAGCACCTCGCAATTGCTGAGGCTGGCTTTGAACTCAGGATCTTCCTATCTTAGCCTCCCAAGCTGCTGAGATTATAGGCATGAGCCACCCTGTCTGGCTTCTAGCAGAGTCTTGATCTATATACCCACAGGGCAAACTCCATGCAGCCCACCTAAAGGTAAAAAAGAACTAAACAGTAATTTTATTCGCTACTAACCAAGGAAAGACAAAGTTTGGAGTTCAAGTTCAGCTAAATTAACTGCCTGATTAAAAAAAAAAAAAGTTCAGTACTCTTCAGAGGACTATAACAGAATCCAGATCCTCTATGATGTATCACTTATAATATCTAAAATATAATTGAGAATTGTGAACACACAAAGAAAGAGGAAAGAGGCAATCAATGGAGAACAATTCTGAGATGGCCAATACATTAGAATTAGGAGACAAGGATTTTAGGACAGCTATTATAGCTATGCTTAACAACTTAAGGAGGGCTGGGATTGCAGCTCAGTGGTAGAGCACTTGCTTAGCATGTTTGAGGCACTGGGTTTAATCCTCAGCATCACATAAAAATAAATAAATAAAATAAAGGTATTGTGTCCATCTACAACCAATAATATTTTAAAAAAGAACTTAAAGGAACTATGCCCACAGTCAATGAATAGAAAATCTTATCAGAGAAACAGAATTGAAAAAAAAAAAAAAAAAAAAACTAAGTAGGAAAATTCAATTCTTAAATTTAGACAAACAAATCTGAGTGGGTTTAACAGCACATTAGAGATGACATAAAAAGAGTCAGTGAACTTGAAGACACAGTATTAAAAACAATTCAGTCTTGTGGGGCAGGGGTTGTGGCTCAGTGGTTGAGCGCTTGCCTAGCATGTGTGAGGTGCTGGGTTTGATCCTCAGCACCACATATAAATAAACAAATAAAATAAAGGTATTGTGACCAACTACAACTAAAAAAAATTAAAAAAGAAAAACAATTCAATCCAAAAAAAGTGAGAAAAAATTGGAAAATAATTAACAGAGCCGTAGTTGCCTATTAAACAATGTTGAAAGAGTTAACAAATGGGCAATCAGATTTGCAAAAGTAAGGAGTTAAAAAAAATGGAACATCTGAAGAGAAAAATGGCTGGATAAGAACTTCCACCTTCAGACATAAGAGTAACAAGGAATAAATGTACCCTCCCACCCAAAATAACTGAAAAATATTAAATAAATGAAACGGTCATTTTTAAGATATTGAACACCAGCCAATGAAGGATAGAGGCCCCTAAAAAGCAAAAACCAAAGAGCCCATCTGTCTCCCTAAACTGAGAAGGATCTAGGAGTCAGGGGAAGCCCAGGAAGATAGTTCATAAAGTAGGGTACATTGGAAGACAAGCCACAAAAAGGCTCTGGAGATCTGCAAAAGATCAGAGCTACAGAAGGCCCCCCTGAGCCTTCAGATGAGTTTAACCCTATAAGCATGTGGGAAACCACCTAAAGAAACACTGGGGTTGGGGCGGACAGTGCTGAAAGAATTAGATAACCAATCCTAAGAGGTCACATAGACCCAGGGGTACTTCTTTTAACATCAGCCAGAGTGCAAAACCCCATAGTTCACAGATCAAATCAAATATCAGTTAGAATACAAAAAACTGAAACTCTCAGATATTACTACTGGGAATGTAAAGTAATTAATGACTGGAAATCAATTTGACCCATTATAAAAAGTTAATTTCATTTACCATATGACCCAGTCATTCCTCGTCTAGATATCTAGTCAAGAGAAATGAAAGCATGTGTCTATAAAACAACATGTGTGTGAGTGCTCACAACAGCTTTATTTATAAAAGCCAAAGATGAAACAACCCAAATGTCCATCAATACAGTGGACAAATTGGGATATACCCATCTAATGAGATAACATTCAGCAAAAAGAGAAATCAAACATTGGTGAACTACAAAATAATTATAATGAGTGAAACAAGCCTTAGAAAAAGACTACATACTGTAAGATTCCATTTGCATTAAAAATGTAAATGCAAGGGCTGGGGTTGTGGCTCAGTGTCAGAGTGCTTGCCTGGCATGTGTGAGGCACTGTGTTCAATCCTAGGCACCACATAAAAAGAAAATAAAGGTATTGAGTTCACTACAACTAATATGTGTATATATATATATATATATATATATATATATATATATATATATATATTTTTTTTTTTAAATGTAAATGTAAATTAAATTATAGTGACAGAAAGCAAAGCAGTGTTGCAAGGGGTGAAGAGGTGGATTACAAAAGGACAGAGGGAGATACACACACACACACACACACACACACACATGTATCTCCAAACCCCAAAATGTACACTTTAAATATATGCAGTTTATTGTGTCAATCATACCTTAGTAAAATTGTTTAAAAAACAAATTAAAACATATCAAAATTTGGGTAAAGCAGTACTTCAAGAACTTACAGCTTTGTTGAGTTAAAAAAAAAAAAAGTAGCTGGGTGCAATAGCGCAAGCCTGCTCTGGAGGCTGAGGCAGGAGGATTGAAAGTTCAAGCCAGCCTCAGCAACTGCAAGGCTGCTAAACAACTCAGTGAGACCCTGTCTCTATATAAAATACAAAATAGGGCTGGGGATGTGGCTCAGTGGTCGAGTGACCCTGAGTTCAATCCCTGGTACCCGCTCCCCCCCCCCAAAAAAAAAAGAAAGAAAGAAAGAGAGAGACAGGTCAACGACCTATATAATTCCACCTTAAGAGGCTAAAAAGTTAAAAGGCAAATAGAAAGCAAAGGGACTGTTAAAGAGAAACAGAAAGCAACAGAAAAAATAACATGTAGCATAAGCCATCGCCTACTGCATCCACCCACCTAAGAACCTCACTATACCTCCGTGAAGGCAAGCTGTGGTTCCAACCATTCTTTTGAGCTCTTGACTCTGGGAAGTGTGGCAGTTACCAGATCGTGGCTGCCTAGGTTTTTCATTGTGGTCACGAGTAACAGAGACCCTAGAAAAACTAAAAGTCATTTAGTAATTAAAATTCACAGACATCATCTTTTCTGTTTAACAACCAATACTTTTGACTTTGAGCGGATGTGAAATGGGGTTTGAACACCAGCCAACCACGTTTTTCCTAACAAGAGGCTTCCCCTCAAGGTGTAATTTTTTTGTTTTAGACAAGCTCTCGCTAAGTCGCTTTGCTGAGGCTGGCCTCGAACTTCCAATTCTCCCGCCTCGGCCTCGCGAGCCGCCGGGCCTGCAGTGGTGCGCGCCGCGCCCAGCCCCCGCAGGCTTGTGACGGCGTCTCCAGAGCCAGACGTTTTGCAGCAGGTGTGACTCTCTGAACCTACGCCCAGCCTCTACTACTACAGGTACCCCCCAAACCAGCCAGCTGGCAACAGCCTGGCCTCGAGGAGTCCCGTGTGCAGCGGTTCTCTACCTTTTGGAGCCGTGTGTGGGAGAACTGCACCTTTCAGGCTACCGGAGCGCAGGCCGAGCTCCTTAGAGAAGGGAAGCTGGGGCTTTCGGGCAAAATCTGCGAGTCCTCAAACTCTGAGAGACCACAGCCTCCCCAGGGCCTGCGTCTGCGGCAGAGGCTGTCGGTGGGCGCACGGGCAGATCTAGGCGCCCACTCCGGCACTGGGGCGCGGGCTCGCGCGGCCTCCCCAGCCCTGGGCTCCGCGCCCTCGGCGTGCACCGGGCCACTTGGCTATGCTGCACCACGCTGGGCCCAAGGCCCGAGAGCCGCCCGCCCAGGCCTGCGGCCTCAGCCCGAGCGCGCGCTTTGGAACGCACGAACGTTCGCGTCCAGTGTCCCCGCGCCGCAGCCCCGCGCGGCCCCTCCGCCGCGGAGGACGCCACCAGGCTGCGCTGGGGACGCTGAAGCGGGCGGAGGACGGCGAGACCCGGAGCCGCGCGCGAGTCGCGGTTCGGCCGACTGGCCGTAGTCCGTGCTCCTCGGTGACAGGCGGCCGTCACAGCCAATCCCGCCGCCTTCGCCCGCGGCGGTTGACCTGCCCGTCCGCGCCACGCCCGCCGTCTCTGTACCCAGGCGTCCTCTCCCTCAAGTCCTCTGTGCCTTGCGTGCGTCTCGGGGCCATCGGGGCTGGAGATTAGCCGCCCGCACCTCGCTCCCTGTCCGGCTCCGACACCCCGCATCCCCGTGACCAAACTACTGGAAGGGAGCGGTGGGGAAGAGGCGTCTGCCCTCTGTATCCCCGCGGTGGATGAGTTGTGCTGCTGAGCACAGTCCAAGATGTTGGGTCTTGGGCGGGAAATGTTGGTTTAAGGGACTTTAATGTTGATTTAAGGGACTCCCTTTTTACTCCCTGGGGTGTTGATCAGTGTCTATCCTTGGCGCAGGTGCTGGTCAGCGGGAAGGGAATGTTGAGGATTCATAACTCATTTAGCTCCGTAGTTCTCCGTTCTGGCTGCTTTGGAGTTCAGGGTTTTGGGTTTGGGGGTGCCACCATGTTCAGTTTGTTTTTAAATCCCAGGTGATTTTCATACAAACATAACTGGAAAGCTCTGATGCTATGCGATTTTCCAAACAGCCTCATAACCCACTCCGTGTGAACAGTGATTTTCTTTGGTTCTGTTTTCCTCCTTGAGGGGTGGACACTGGATGATGGGCCACCATTTCCACTCTTCATTTTTTTCAAAGTACCCACGCTGATATTAAAGCTGTAGGAAATGTTTTAGGAACATTTTGCATTCTCAGGCCTTTTAAGAGGTAGCCAGAGTAGATGACTTCATCTGTAGTTCCCATTTCAGATCTAAGGGAGCATGAGCCACTTGCAGAACTTATTGTTAGATAGTCTCCTGGGAACGAAGCATGTGGACAGCGCAGCCCTCATCAAACTACATGAGCGGAGCGTGTGTGTCGCATCGCCAGGATTTAGTGTAAGAAAAAAACAAGTTTGGGCATAAGACTTTTAAATGAACTTTTCCTATAAAGAGCTAGGATAATTATATGGGGTTTATGGGCCACATAGTCGCTGTCAGTCATTCTACTTTGCAGGAGTAATGGAAAAACTAAAAGAATGGGTGTGACTATGTTCCAATAAAACCTTTAGGGGAGGCGGGGAGGGGAGGGGGGGGTTGTTCGGTATTGAACTGGGGGGCACTTGACCACTGAGCCACATCCCCAGGCCTGTTATTCATTCAGGATATGAAATTCATGTCCATATTTCATTTAGAGACAGGGTCTCACTGAGTTGTTTAGTACCTCGCTTTTGCTGAGGATGGCTATGAATGCACCATCCTCCTGCCTCAGCCTCCTGAGCACTTGGGATTATAGGTCTGTGCCACCAGCACTGGCTAACACGTTCTTTATAAACACTGAAATATGAATTTCACATGTCACAAGGTGATGTTCTTTTGATTTTTTCCCCCCAACCATTAAAAAATGTAAGAACCATCCCCAACTTTCAGATCACAAACAGGCAGTGGCTACTGGCATAGTTTGCTAACTCCTGGTCTATTTAACCTCCACAGCTAATGCCGAGTGATGTCCGAACACTTGTGAATGGATTTGCCAAAAACCCTTTGCAAACCCGCAGAGAAGGGTTGTATTTCAAGGAGAAGGATTATAAATGTGTCCGGGCAGATGACTATTCTCTTTATGCTAAGAATGTGAGTGTTCAAAATTTGAAGACAGCTGTGTAAAAAGCTTAAGAATTTGACTCTGATTTTCTTTGTACTTCCTGAACATTTCCATAAAACAGATTAACCTCATCACTGCCTCGAACAGTCTAGTGCCAGGAAGGCATATCTGAAAGAAAGTGCTATCAGAAAGCCTTGTTCGACAAGCATTCATTCCAGATTTTATCAACTGAAGCTCGCCTGAACTCTCTCTTTCCAGGACAGTCCATCTTCATACTCTACTTCTTCCTCCTTAAAAAAACAAAATGATACTAGTTGATTATTTCTTATCATAAACGCTTAAGACCAGAAGTGTTGCAGATTTTAGAATCTTTCATATTTTGGGATATTTGCAGATATATAAGATCCCTTGGGAATGGTACCCAAATCTAATCATGAAATTTATTTGTTTTATATAAACCTTCTAGACATAGCCTAAAGGTAATGGTATACAAATTTTCAGTGTGTCTGCAACTGTACTGTGACCTGTCACATGAGGTCCATGGGGAATTTTCCACTTCTAGTATTTAAAACTTTGGAGAATTTCAGATTTTGAATTTTTTTTTTTATTAGGACCTCTTGGTGTTCTCTTACCTATAAGGAATTCAGGAGATGAAATTCATGTCCATTGGATGTCTCATATTATGAGTTCAGCACACTTCACATTCTAAACAAAATAGTCTCCTTTTACAGAGGAGGCAAAGCAACTGAGGCTTTAAAAGGATAAATAATTCCTCCATAGTCATGCAGCAGAAAATGGAGGTGCTAGAATTCAAGCCCAGAGCCAACGAATTCCAAGATGTATTGCCTCTGTGTTATATCAGTTGTTCCACTGGGTTAGGACCTTTGCAGGGCATTCTATTTTATTCTTTATCCAGGACAACAGAGGTGTGATTGTTGTGAAGACCCATCTGTTTCTTCTGGTGGCCACTTATATTGAGGGAATGTATCCAAGTGTCTGTGTAGAAGCCACAGAGAAACTGGGTAAGTTTGCCTCCCCACGCCTGACTTTAGTCCCTGTGTGTCAGGTCTTCTGAATACAAGTAACAGTGACCCAATTCAAACCAGGTAGGGGAGAAAGGAGGAATTTACAGAAAAGATATTGGGACTGTTGAATCACTGTTGAAATAGTCACTGAGTCACAGGCAAAGCAGATGCCAGGAATGGGAACACTGCTAGGACTCTTGTCTCTGCTTCCAACTCAACTTTATTCTATCCTATTACAAAGTACCTCCTTCATGGCTGGTATCAGGGCCAAGCCTCCCATCCTATCCCTTAATTTCTCTTAGGACCCTGACTTAACAAGTCCAGGGTCATATGATTTATCCCATTATTAATCAGGTATGGAGGAGGGGTGGAATGAGGGAGCAGGTTAAAAAGCAGGTAAGTAACTGCTGGCCCACCTTCTCTGAAGGAACCTTTTATAGAAAGTTACTGGAAGCCAAGTAGCCACCTTGTTGATGTGCATAGCATTCCTCGTCTATGTCTATACCTGCCCCCCCCCCAGTACTGAGGACTGAACCCAGGGCCCCACACATGTTAGGCAAGCACTGAGCTACACCCCACCAGTTTTTATTATTATTGTTATTATTAGTAGTAGTTGTAGACACAATATCTTTATTTTATTTGTTTATTTATATGTGGTGCTGAGGATCGAACCCAGTGCCTCACATGGGCGAGGCAAGCGCTCTACTACTGAACTACAACCCCAGCCCAAACACCCCAACAGTTTGAAAATTTTATTTTGATATAGAATCTCACTAAGTTTCCCAGACTGGCCTCAAACTTGCAATCCTCCTGTCTCAATCTCCCCAAGTAGCTGAGATTACAGGTGGGCACCATTATACCTGGCTTTGTCTATACATTTTTAATATAGATCTAAGAGAACTAAGGCAAAATTTGAGCTTAGTAAATAGCAAACTGTTCTGTGTTTTATAGTCTTCTAAATTTCAAATTCTTTTAAAAAATTATTGAAATTACATAAACACTCCTTTGAAATAGTAGACATGTCTTGCAAGGAAAGCCATCCATTCATCCTTATGTCTCCAGGCCTAGCACATAGTAGGCACAACATTGTTTAAATAAATAATATGGTTAGATAATTTACTATTCATTAATAATTACCAAGCTATGTTTTCTTTCAGGAGACTATCTAAGAAAAAAAGGATATTAAGTCATAAGAGGACTATAAAAGACAACTTTTTCATTTTAGAAGAAAACTATAGATCCCAAAGAAACAATGTCTTATTTTGTGGTTGGAAAACACAAGGCAGAAGATACCCAAAAAGAAGACTGAGTTAAGGGGGCAATTTTTCTTATTTCAATAGATTATCTTTGGAATTACTTGATTAACTTCTTTTTCTTTATTGTTAGTTTTGTTTTTGTCTTGGCCATTGGCATGGAGTGTGAGAGCACTGAGAAAACTGTTGGGAGTTTTCTCTCTATGAGGCTCTTGTACTCCTAACACCAGATAGACCAAGAATGCGAGGCCCTAACCACTCTTTATCTAGATGACTACTCAGAATGATACTGCAGCAAGCAACCTTAAAAAATGATATGTTTCCCTTCAAGGTAAAGAACAAACTTGGTCATTGCTTGCTATAAAATAAGTAGAGTCCCTGAGCTCAACATTCCTCTCCTATAATGTAGTTCACTGCATTTATGACATCCCTTTGGTCTACATCACCAGTGTGGGATCTAGAAGTAAGGGGGAACTTAATGCCACCCAGCAATGGGCCACTAGTCAAAGTGTTAGATGAACATTCCATATTCCATCTGAAAACATTTGGTATTATTGAATATTGTACTGGTCTTCTCAAAAAATCAGGGATTTCTGACTCTACTTCCCTCACTGCATCCTAGTCCACACTACTTAATAAGAAAAAATGGTCACTGAATGCAGCCTTTCCAAGAAAGGATTCATCTTCTTCTTTGTCAGTTCCTGGATAATGATCAAAATGATAAGTTAGAGGCTAGGGTTATAGCTGAGTGGTAGAGCACTTGCCTCGCACATGTGCGAGGCACTGGGTTTGATCCTCAGCACCACATAAAAATAAAATAAAGATATTGTGTCCATCTTTAAAAAAAAAACTTTTAAAAATGATATTTAAAGAGTCATAGAACCATTTTGAAAATTTTGGATTTACCCTGACCATTCCTGGACATGATATATCTTTGTTTCCCCAAAAGGCAACCCCAGGACAGTCTGGTTAGTATACTAGTATAACTAGACTATTAGTATACTCTTCAGATGTTCCCTAGGGAGGGTATGACTTAGACCACTGGCCAAGGCAGAAGAGACCTAGGGAATTCAAACATTTTTTTTTTTTTTACTTATCAATGGACCTTTATTTTATTTATATATGCAGTGTTGAGAATCGAACACATGCTAGGCAAACGCTCTGCCATAGAGCCACAACCCCAGCCCCCAAACTTAATTCTTGATTAGCCAGCATGGACTGGCATGATTCTACATCATAAGGGTAATGACTATCTAAAGAGCACGCTGCTTTCCAGGTCCCTCTAACTGTATAATACATGGGCCAAGTGGGGATATAATGGGTCCCTAAATTTTGTAAAGCTACCCCTGACCCTCTCGTGTCTGACCCTTCCAAATAAAATGTCTGGGTGCAAGTAGGGCATGATTGGAGAAAAATGTAGTTATAGCAACTGGGATGGGATATACCAATTATATAGCCATGGAGGCCCTGGTACCTGGAAAGAGTACATCTTAGACCTCCCAAGATAGGGAAATGCAGAAACGCCTTAATCCTTTTTTTTTTTTTTTCTTCTAGTGCTGAAGGTCAAACTCAGGGTCTCATGCATGCTAGGCAAATGCTATACCACAGAACTATATTTTCATTCCCTCCTTAATACTCTTTTTGTCCCCTCAACTTGGTAAAATAGTTATATGGTCTACCTTACTAACCTTGGTAAATAGATTGAAATGAAATCTTAGACCCTTTGCAGTTCTTTACACCAACAGGCAGCAAAGTGCAATATTCCAAATTCCAAAGACAGTGTGCTGGGGAAAATCGTGTTTTTTAGTGTTTATAAAATTCTCTCATTTTCAGGTTGTGTAACAGTTGTAACAGTCTTTCAAAGAACTTATTTCCAGCATCATTCCTTTTCTGAGTGTGGGTGTTAAGAGCCAGAGATTTTTTTTTCTTGGTCAGCCTTACTACTAGTCCAATTCGTTTGTTAATTCAGTTGCATGATTCTTATTTTGGATGAAAGCTTACAATGTAAGGATTATAGGGTGCCAAAAGAAAGGAAAATTCCAAATATTTTAAAATGTAAAATCCTCTTCATTCTCTATTGTTCAAAAATGCATCATATGGCTGGGCATGGTGGTGCTCTCTTATAATCCCAGTGACTCAAGAGGCCCAGGCAGGAGAATTGCAAGTTCAAGGCTATTCTCAGAAACTTAGCAAGACTGTGTCTAAAAAACAGAAAGAAGGAAAAAGGAAAAAGAAGGACTGGAAATGTAGCTCAGTGGTAAAGTGGCCCTGGATTCAATCACCAGTACTGAAAAAAAAGCATCATAAGTGAAAGAGAATCCTATGAGATTCTTATAACAAAAAGGACAGTCCTTTTCCAATAAGAATGTCAACAGATTTTTTTTTTCTTTTCTTTTTTTGGTACTGGGAATTAAACTCAGGGGCACTCAACCACTGAGCCACATCCCCAGGCCTGTTTTGTATTTTATTTAGAGACAGGGTCTCACTGAGTTGCTTAGGGCCTCATTAAGTTGCTGAGGCTGGCTTTGAACTCGCAGCCCTCCTGCCTCAGCCTCCTGAGCCACTGGAATTACAGGTGTGCACCACAGATGTTTTTTATAAATGATGTATGTCTGCAGCTCCAAGATATTAGTGAAAATATATTTAAAGCATGTGATAAGATAAACAGATATGATCAATAAAATAGCAAAAAATATATTGGAATTAACATTTTTACTTTTTGAATCCTCCTGAGTATGTAAGTTTAAACAAGGTGCACTAAATGGAAAAAAAAAGATATAATTAATAATCATGATAAGTCTTCAAAAAGCTTTATTGGTATAATTCCAGAAACTGAGAACTTGAATGACACTTTTGACTGAGTAACAAATCCTTTACATACTGGGTGGTTTCCAAGTCTTTGCCTTTAACTAAATTGGAGCAAGACCTAATTAAGCTGTCAGCTAATAGATCATTGAAAATAATTTTTGATAGATCATTATATAGTTTTTATCATATAACTCAGATATTCAAAGAAGTAGCTGGCATTTCTATAATGGAATTTCTTATCTGATTTATGCAAACTAGGTTTCTCAGAGCTTGCCTACTCAAATGAAATATTGGAAGAGAATTAATGTTGAACTCAGTCCCATTGTAGCAATAACTATTTGCTATAGTCATAACTATATAACTATAGATATGACTATCTGTTTACTTTCTATGTTTAATAATTACTAATATTTAAAGTAATACATGTTTTCATAAATTGTAGACTAATATTGTAATGATAAATAAATACAGAAGAAATTTAACTTTTAGAATCTGCTGGTTATAGGAAATAATTTTTTAAAATTAGTTTCAGTTTATATACATATTTTTGTTGAAGATAAGAATGATGGGGGGCCCTGGGGATGTGGCTCAAGAGGTAGCGCGCTCGCCTGGCATGCGTGCGGCCTGGGTTTGATCCTCAGCACCACATACAAACAAAGATGTTGTGTCCTCCAAAAACTAAAAAATAAATATATAAATATTAAAATTCTCTCTCTCTCTCTCCCTTTAAAAAAAAAATAAGAAAAAAACTTAAAAAAAAAAAAAGATCAGGGGGCTGGGGTTGTGGCTCAGTTGTATAACACTTGCCTAGCACATGTGAGGCACTGGGTTTTATACTCAGTACCACATAAAAATAAATAAATAAAATAAAGGTACTGTGTCCAGCTACTACTAAAAAAAAGAATGATCAGTAGGCCAGGTACAATGGCACATACCTTTAATCCTAGTTGTTTGGGAGCCGGAGGCAGGAGGATTGTGAGTTCAAAACCAGCCTTCACAACTTAGTGTGAGGCCTTTTAAGCAACTCAGCAAGACCCTGTCTCTAAATGAAATATTTTTTTAAAAGAGGGGCTGGGGATGTGGTTCAGTGCTTGAGTGCCCCTGGATTCAATTCCTGGTACCAAATAAATAAATAAAAGATTGACCAGTAAAAGCTTGGCATGGTGGAACATGCCTGCCATCCTAGCTTCTTAGGAGGCTGAGGCACAAGGATTGCTTGAACCTACAAGTTTAAGATCAGCCCAGGCAATATATCAATATCTTGGCTTAAAAAAAAAAGCAAAATGTAGCAGGATATAATTCTATGAGAAAACCAGAATAAAAATATGGGTACTACAAGAAAAATAAAATTATAAAACTACCAACTGCTAAAGAAGAGCCTCTTTGAGTCTTTAGTGAAGTCTTGCAAATCAAATTGCTCTGAAATCAGATTCCATTTTATACATTTAAAAGTGTGAAATAAAAAGAAAAATGAAATTATGTCATTTGAAGGAAAATGGGTGAACCTAGAGACCATTATGTTAAACAAGTCAAACTCAGAAGGTTAAGGGTCCTGTGTTTTCTCTGATATGCAGAAGCTAGAGAAGAAAGAGGAAAAGAATGGTGGGGGCCAGGATCTCATGAAAATCCAAGGGAGATCACCAGAGGAAAGAGACCAAAGGGTAGGAGGTGGGGAGGAAAGGGGGAAGTGATGGGGACTAATATTGGTTGAATTATATTGTTATATAGGTATTGGCGGCATGTACGAATATGTAACAACAAATCCCATCAGTATGTATAACTATAATACACCAATTTAAAAATGTAGAACAAAAATAAAACAAAAGTATAATATAAGAAATTAAAATGTCAGTATTGATGACCAGAAATCAATATCTTTGGCAACTATTTAAGATGAAACATTTTAGATATCAACCTAAAAAATATAAGTGTAAGATCAGGTGAGGCGGGCAGTGACCAAAGGAGGCAGATTTAAAAAGGCCACCCAAGGAGATTTTATTGAGATATCACTCCCCTGAGGAACTCATCAGACCGACAGAGTAGACAGGAGAAGGGTCTGAGGAGAAACTATGTGGGAGCTCGACTGGACTGGAGACTTGGGGGGGGGGGGCTTAGGCAGGAAGGGAAGGGCTTGGGACAGGAAAAGGTGTTTTTAGAGTCCTTGTCCCACTGGAGTTGGTCAGGGGAGCTGGCTGAACTCCAGGATTGGCCAGGAGGTCCTGATGATTGACAGGCATTTCTGTCAGTGCCTGATTGATGTTTCTTTTCCACGCTGCCTGCTTTGTTCTAAGTCACCTCCACCCACCTATAAGAAGGAACACATAGTTTTTGAAAATTCTTTTTGTCTATATGAGAATTAAAAAGTGTGAAGAGCACCACCAGATTAAGAAGAAATACCTTGGCCCCTGAGTCATGGAGGATGGGTGCCCAGGAAGATGGCAAGTAGCTAAACAGGGGTAGACCCAGGGGCCAACAGGCCAACTTCAAGTCCTTCCCTCTCCCAGAGCCTTCCCAAATCCTGGGTCTTGGGATTTGCTGGATCAGCCTCAGGGTAAAATGCCATGGAGACAGGGGAGGAGGAGCCCAGAGAAAGTCCTGCAGGCACAGAAGCTGGTATGGTACCCACAGTGAATTTCTCTGGCTTCCCCAGGGAGAGTGTTAGTCCTTAGGCTGTTCCAGACCACGAATCACTGAAGCCAGATTTAAAGATAGGTAATTAGTGTAGTTACGTAAATCAGGTATAATATAGGGTAAAATCGAGAATGAAGGCCATATTGAGAAGGGATTCCGGGAAAAGGGGAATTGAAAATGTTCCCAAGGAAATGTTAATGAAGCAGCTGTCCCTGGCCAGATTACACCTTTGGCCCACCTGTCTCCCACCCTTTGGGCCTTCCCCACCTACATTCCATCACTGCAAGATAACAGAACAAAGGACAAAAATGCAAGTGACAGGAATGCAGGAAATCTAAAAATAAACCTTAGCTATAAAAAAAGGGAAGTACTTCCCCCTCCATGGATTTCATCTCTTGAGTCCCCTTCTTCCTCTGGGGAGAAGTCTTTTCTGCTGTCCTTAATAAAGCTTCTACTTTCCACTCTACACTTGCCTCCGCATGCTTCTCTGGTGTTATACTTCAGCATTGGGGAAGCAAGGACTCCTCACTGGTAAACAGCGGTAACATCACCACTGAGCTACCGGGCCACCAAGCTAGGTCTTGGAACTAGAGAAACTACTGCCTCAAGGTGACTCAGCAGAACTTCACGGTGTAATGCAGGTTGCTTAAGATGAACAAACAGACCGCCCAGAACAAAGTCCCTCCCTGACCTGGGCCTGCTGCAGCAGGTTGCACCCATATTAGGAAGTGAGGCCCAGGCACCCCCATTCTAGGAGGGAAACACTCTTGGCAGGATGGCTTCAGGTATGGCTCTCTTCCTTCTTAGCTTGTTGTCCCCTCCTCTCTGGACAGTGTACAACTCCCTGGGAAGGCAGGCTGAATCTCAGGGAAAGGGACTGGTTGCAGTTGCAGGGGCTGCACTGCACCACACCCTGGGCCACAAATTATGTCATACTGGCTAAATCTCCACTTCTTTAATTCCAAAACCAAGTAGCTGCATTACTTGTCCTCTTCATGCTGGAGAGGACTCAGGATGCGTAACCGCTGGAAATTTAGGGAGGGAAGTCACAGGTAGTGAGACATAAGGCAGCTGCAGTGACATAATAGGCCATGGGAGGCTGGTGTCAGGTGACCCTGATTTGAGTAAGGGGCTTCTTTCACACCTGTCTCAGTCTCCTGCCTCTTCCCCATTTTTCCTCAGATAGAATGCTAGCTGTGTACTTCGACAATCCTGGGGGACCAGAAAATCTCTACATAAAGGAGGTGCCCAAACCGATCCCCGGGGAGGGTGAAGTCCTTCTGAAGGTGGCTGTCAGTGCCCTGAACCGCGCGGACTTATTCCAGGTATCGTCGCTGGGGAATGGTAATGGGAGAGCTGCCTGAATAAGGAACTGACCCTCCAGCAGGTGGAGCCAGGTGTATCCAGATGGGTGGTTTGGGTTCTCCTCTAATCAGATTCCCGAGGGCTTCCAGCAACCCTCGCGATGCCTCACTGAGCTGGCCTTGGACACCCCATAGAACCCCACCTGAGGGTGTGCTGAGAGCGTCGGCATGGAAATCAGCAAGGAAAGAAACCGGTTCGTTTGGTGGCTGCAGGTGCCTCCACACTTGCAAGTGGATTCTTTTCTTTAACCCTCTCAACTATCAAAGGAGACAGGTATTTTGGTCTCCATGTCAGCGATGAGGAAACTAAGAATAGCCAGCAAGCGCCTTAAGCCAGAAACCTGGGATTCATTTGGTTTCTCTCTGCTCTTGCATCCATTTCATCAGCTTGCTCGGTGGATTCCACCTCCACGAGAGATCTCAAATCAGGCCAGTTCGTCGTTTCGCTTCTGAAAAGATCTGAGTCCTGGCCAAAGTCATCTTACCCCAGTTCTTGCAGCGCCCTCTGCAGTACATTCTCCAAATGGCAACTGAGGGAACAGACCGAGATCCCTATGCGCTTGGGATAAAATGGAAATGGCCTACCCCCAGGGGACCTGCAGCTTTGGAGGGCGGCACATCCTGCACCAGAGCTGGAGCTACTTCCCCTCCCCACAGCCATCCAGCCACCTTCACAATCCTTCCTGCCTCAGAGCTTAGTGTTTGCCTTTGTCTCTCAACCATTCTTTGGCTGTCTGCCTCCTTCTTTCATAGGTAGCTTGGCATTATGTTTATAGACCTTACCTTAGTCTGTATTTACATATTTATTTGTTGACTTCTTTAAAGTCTGTCTTCCCCCACTATACTGTGAGTTCTAGCAGGTCAGAAGCCATCTGCCTTGCCTAGCACAGGGCTTGATAACAGGAAGCATGCAGTATTTGTTGTATGACAGATTACAAAGTAGAAGTTGGGTACAGTGATGATGCTTATAATCCCAGAGAAGTGGGAGGCTGAAGCAGGAGGATCACAAGTTTGAGATCAGCTTCAGAAACTAATCAAGGCCTTAAGCAATTTAGGGAAACCCTATCTCAGAGTAAAAAAAAAGGGGGGTGGGGTGGGGGGTTCCGGGGATGTAGCTCAGTACATCTGAGTTCAACCCAGATTGAACCCCTGGTTTCAATCCCTAGTACCAAAAAAAAAAAAAAAAAAAGAAAGAAAGAAAGAAAAAAAAAAAGAGCAGAAACAAAGTTTAAACCCAGATCCATTTGACTCCAAAGTCCACAGAGCTTGCTTTCAAGAAAGAGGGAATCATTTGGGCACAGGAAGAAGCTACCTCCCCTACCTCCCCTGCTGTACCAGAAATAACACTGGATCCCCAAGCTAGGTTAGAATGGTTTCATGTGGAAGTTCAGAATCATGGGTAGCAGACAGAGGGCCTGTGCACATTTTTTTTTTTTTTTTGTACCAGGGATTGAACCCAGAGGCACCTCAAGCCAGTGTAAAACCAGAGGGACACAGGTTCCTTTGTTTGGATCCTGTTTGGCTCCAAGGTCCCAGATTATGCCAAGCAGCCATAAACTGAGTGCCTCACATGCTGTTGGCTGAAGTCCTGTGCCACAGAGGTGGGCCAGCACCTGCACAGGTAGAGAGAACATGAAAGCTAGTTTGTATAACATTCATTGCTGCAAGATAAAATTTCTAGCTAGAAAAGATCCTGTGGTAGCCCACTTTATTATACAAACTAAGTTCAGAGCAGGAGACACGGGGTTGAGATGGCAGAAAATCCACTTGCCAGCCCACCTCTAACCTCACCCTTCCTCTGGGGCCCCACTGACTGCTGGACTGAGACTGAAACTAGGGAGACATCATCTTGGATGGCTTTCTCTGGGGTTAATACTTTAAGTGACCATCTCTAATAAGGTTCCTTACAACAACTGTTTTTTTAAAGACTATCCAACTTTTCTCCAATCCCAAAAGACAATACTTGAACTCCAAGCAGACAGCTACCTTCTCCCTCCAACAACAAGGAGGGCTGATACTTGACCCCTTGTATCAGACCCACTTAACTTGTCTGTCCCTCTCTTTGCAGAGACAGGGCCAGTATCACCCACCCCCAGGAGCCAGCAGCATTTTAGGACTTGAGGCATCAGGATATGTGTCAGAGCTGGGGCCTGGCTGCCAGGGGCACTGGAAGATTGGGGACCCAGCCATGGCTCTGCTGCCTGGTGGGGGCCAGGCTCAGTATGTCACTGTCCCTGAAGAACTCCTGATGAGCATCCCAGAGGGACTGACCCTGCACCAGGCTGCTGCCATCCCAGAAGTTTGGCTCACCTCCTTCCAGCTGTTACATCTTTTGGGTGAGGATGCCTCCTGCTCACTCCATGAGACACGGCTCAGCTCCCCCAGGAATCAGTCTCCTCAAACTCCATTAGTCCTCCAGCCCCAGTGCCCTACCTCCCCTGCTGTACCAGAAATAACACTGGATCCCCAAGCTAGGTTAGAATGGTTTGATGTGGAGGCTCAGAATCATGGTTAGCAGCAGACAGAGGGCCTGTGCACATCTTTTTTTTTTTTTGGTACCAGGGATTGAACCCAGAGGCACTTAACCACTGAGCCACATTCCCAGACCCACATATGTGTATGTATGTGTGTGTGTGTGTGTGTATATATATATATATATATATATATAGTTAATTAGAGACAGGATCTTGCTGAGTTGCTTAGGGCCTCTCTAAGTTGCTGAGGCTGGCTTTGAATTCGTGATCCTCCTGCCTTAGCCTCCCGAGTCACTGGGATTACAGGCATGCTCTACCACACCCAGCTTGTGTACATCTTAACACTGTGCACAGCAACAGTTCTGGCTCCTCAAAATCATGCTGAGCCAGTGCATCAGAAGGGGTTGGAGACATAGCTCACTGCAGAGCACTTGCCTTACATACTCAGTGGCCTGGGTTTGACACCTAGCACTGCAGAAACAAAAAACTCAGAAGGGGCCAGTCAGTTACTTTGTTTATTCCTCCTCAATCCCACCGAGGTCAGCCAAGAGCTCATGTGAGGGAGCCTAAGAAAACTTGATCCCTGCCATCAGAGAGCTCAGTGTTACCTGGGACCTGTGCACAAAAATCAAACAACCATAGAGTTTGGAAAGGTAGCCTGTCTCTAACTGAGACGGGAAAAGTTGGAGTGGGCAAGGGTTGTCAGAGGTGGGTTTGAGAACAAGAGAACTTAAGTGTGAGTGGAACTGTAATATACAGAAAGCACATCAAGGTGGCTGAAAAGAGTGAGGTCAGCTACTCCACTCAGAGGAGAAGGTGACTGTTGTGCAGACAGATTGTGGTGGTTTTGAATGCCAGGCTGCCTGGACTCAAAGGCAAGCCAGTGGAGAACCACTTTCCATTTGGGGAAGAAGTATCATAATGAGAGTTCCATTTTGGGAAAAAGAGCCTCGTGCCTCTATGTGGTGCCTGGATATGTAAGACCACTTGGAGGCCAGTTTCAGACTAAAGGACTGGCTTCAGGTGGTGTCAGTGGGAATGGTGGCTATTCTTACTGAGTAGGTCAGACATGTGCATTTTGGTGTTATTTCATAAGTAAAACAGAGGTTATGGATGTGGCTGCTAACAACCTTATTTTATATATATATATATTTTTAGTTGTAGTTGGACACAATATCTTTATTTATTTTTATGTGGTGCTGAGAATCGAACCCAGTGCCTCACACGCGCACGGCGGGCTCTCTACCACTGAGCTACAGCCCAGTTTCTAAAGGTCATTTACTACTAACAGCCTATTTCTAAAAGTCATTTACTACTTTGACCAGAGGGAATAAGACAAAAAAGAACTATTGATATGCTCAGAAAGCAAGAGATTAGGCATTTGGTCCAAGTGTCAAGTGATCATGGTAGAATGCCTATGTGTGAACATGTAGTAGTTGGAAAGTAGAATTGCTTCTGTGGTTTCTGTCACAGGAAATGTACAGGCTGGAGAAACTGTGCTAATCCACGCAGGGGCAAGTGCTGTGGGCACAGCTGCCATCCAACTCACCCGGATGGCTGGTGCTATTCCTCTGGTCACAGCTGGATCCCAGAACAAGCTTCAAATGGCAGAAAAGCTTGGAGCAGCTGCTGGATTCAATTACAAAGAACAGGATTTTTGTGAAGCAACACTGAAATTTACCAAAGGTAAATAACTGCTTCTACAGTTCAACAGGAATTTCAGAGGTGATTAAACAAAAATCCTCACCAAATCCAAGGCTGCTAGTCCTCTCTATCAGTCTTGCCTATGCTAAATACACTACAGCTGCTCTGGTCAAATTCTAGTATTCTTGTGTTTGACCACGGGAGACAGGCAGCCAGTACTTATTTAGGTCTAAGATGTTTTCCATGTGCATTCTTGAGTGATGTGATTCATGCATACTTTAGAAACTGGATAATCAGGCAGATTATCCTGATTATTATTCCCAACTAGCCAATCCTCAGTGAGTTAACAGGAAGCCTAAGACAGAGTACACTCATAGTAGGGCTTGTGTGGGAGCTTCCTAAATGGATGAATAGATGGGTTTATGTCTATATACCAAGACCAAATATGGATATTTTTTGCTAATCCCTTTTCATTTTTCATATGAGAAGAAAGGGACCAATAAAAACAAAGTTAGGAAGTCTGTGATTCTGATGTCCCAGTGCATAACTTCCATGTTAGCCTGCCTTATAGCCTGAGGTGGCTCTCCTCTGTTCTGCTCTTGTTCACTCCTGGGTGAGAGGAAATACCAGTTATATTGTTGTACTATTTCCTTCTTATGGTGGGTAGTGATCAGAAAAGATGAACTCTATTATACATGCTATGATAGAGTTCATTACCTAAACTCTATTCACAACAATGTTTCTATGACCAATGTTTCTAGTTCTAACATACATTTACCACTTGCATCTCTATTTATTTTTACCCATATATCTACAAACATACCATGGAATTGAATTCCAAATTTTCTGTGGCTGATTAATAATACAAATCTGTTTCCTATGGAAGGTGCTGGAGTGAACCTTATTCTAGACTGCATAGGTGGATCCTACTGGGAGAAAAATGTCAACTGCCTGGCTCTTGATGGTCGATGGATTCTCTACGGTCTGTTGGGAGGAGAAGATGTCAGTGGGCCCCTGTTTTCAAAGCTATTTTATAAACGAGGAAGTCTGATCACTAGTCGGTTGAGAAATAGGGACAAGAAGGTGAGTGAGGAATGAAAAGAAAATGTGATTGATCTATTTACCCAGAAAATTGTGCTTTGTTTACATTACACCCAGAATAGAAAGCCTACAAAGAAACCTGCCACCTTGTGGATAAATAGTTTCAGAGAACTAATTCACATCAGTCAACAGAAGCTTCTGCATCTTGAAAAGAGTGTAGCTAGTACTTTGTATACATAACTTTCTAACAGAATGGACAAAGCTTTGACCACATTAGGAAGACTTCTAAGAGTTCCAAGACTTTGTTTTCAAAGGCAGAACTCTTCTCGGTGTGCTAAGAAAGCTTAACAGGCAAGTAAGTCCCTAGTTTCAATAGATTATATGTTCCTACCATTTTTTCTGTATGATATTCTAACAGATGCCAACTTTGGGAATGTCTCCCACCATAGGGATTCACACCTCTAGGGGAGAGCGAAGTTTAGCGTTCCTTTTGCACTGACACTACCTGAGTCCTGTCTGTGTCTGCCTCTTGCATGACACCTTTATTTTAAAATAGTTCTTAGGCTGTCAGTGACACTATTATTTTATTCCAAACTTAAGTCTTTACCTGGTATTGTACAGAGGTTACACATTTGGGAGCATGCAGCTACATAATGGGAAGTGAGCAGATGTGCTTTTTTACACGTAGGTAGGGCATTAAGGCTAAGCAGGAGAGGGAGTGGTTGGGTAAAGCCTCTGTCCAAACTCATGGTCTCCTTTTCTTTATCTTAGTACAAGCAAATGCTGGTGAAAGCGTTCACAGAGCAAATTCTGCCCCATTTCTCCAAGGAGGGACCCCAACGTCTCCTGCCAGTGCTGGACAGAGTCTACCCAATGGCTGAAATCCAAGCCGCCCATGAGTACATGCAGGCTAACAGGAACGTGGGCAAAATCGTCCTGGAATTGCCCCAGTGAAGAAGGGGGCGATGCAGGACACCCGTCACCCCGGGTTTTCCCAGAGTGAACTTGGAGAGAATGCTCCTCCAAAGTCCTCCTCGTCAATTGATCGTGTAAAGCTGGTCTAAGTAAATAAAGAGTGGACTTGAAGGGTGGCGTACTCACTATAGGCAGCCACAGCTCACGGGCTGTGGCAGGAGTGAGGTGGGGTTCAGGCCGGTCACTTGATGCTGGACCTGAGGTCCACACCACCGCTGAGGTGCCCGGTACGGTTACAGCTTAACCACGACACACACAGCCAGAACTACACGCTTGGCTTCGCGCACTGCTGAAGGGCCACGCCCGCTCTCGAGACCCCAGCGCTCGGCAGCACTCCCGCTACTCAACCAGGGCCTTGTCCTACCTTGCCTTCGCTCCCTAGACCCCGCCCCTCCGACCGGCCCCTTGCTACACATGGCTGCCCTGCCAGAACTCCGCCCCTCGTGGAGCACAAGTCCCGCCCTTTCCGGCTCATAACCCGGAAATGTCTTGGGCGCTCTCACTTTTACCTTCCGGTCTGTCTTGGATCTCAAGCTAGATTGGTACTGGGAGAGTGGGATACTGCGTCAGCACGTCTCGGCGTGAGGCTGTTATTCCGGCAGTGCTGTAACAGCTTCCGGCGGGATCTGGGTGTTAACACTTTACCTCAGAAGTCGTGTTGCGCTCGAAGGCAAACGCATTCCGGAGGGGTCCCGAGGAATTCTGTGTTTGCTGCTGTAACCTCTTCAGCCCGCCAAGATGGCGATGCAAGCGGCCAAGAGGGCGAACGTGAGTACCGGGCCATATGCGGAATAGGGGAAGGACTTCGCTGCTTGGCTTTTGGCGGCCTCGGTCAAAACGGTCCTGCCCTTCTCCTTCCCCCAAACGGGGAAGTTAAGAATTTACCATGGGGGGATTGTGTCCAGGGCCTGTCCTCAGGGGGCATGTGCCTGAACCACACTTCCGCCCCACCCCCTTGGGAGCTCCTCGTCTCCTGCTGTCAGTGACAGGTTGACTCACCCCCAGGATCTGGTGTTAGGATCTTCTTGTTGGCCTAAAAGTCGATAGCACAGACTAGTCCTGAGTAAGCAACTCTGTGGTTCACTGGCAACTAGAGCCCGGGATTCTCATGAAGCTTTTGGGTCCTTCATTAACACATTAATCCAACAATATTATTGAACACCTGCTGTGTTGGGAAGCAATTCATCAGTTTTACTTATTGAATTCCGACTCTGTGCCGCACACTAGTCTTAGGTACTAGGGACACAGTAGTGAATAAAACAAGAAGTCCTTATGCTTACATTCTAAGAGAGTGGAATGTTATGGAAATATTTTTAAAATAAAACCTCAAGTAAAGATGAAGCCAGGTAATTGACTTTTGGATATGTTGAGATGTAGATTTTTTTGTGTGACTTTGATGATAGCAAATATTTCACTGGATGAAAACTTGGTTGTAGTAGGATGAAAAGAGGTGAAAGTTGAGAAAATGAAGACAACAAAGAGCTCTTTCCATGAGTCTTCGTTATGAATAGAGAACAGAGAAGTTGGGTGATAGTTGGCTTAAAAAAAAAAAAAAAGATGCATGATATGAGATGTATTTGTATTCCAGTGAGAATACTCCAGCAGATTAGAAGAAACATGGTATGGAAGAAAGACAGGTTTTGAGTACATGAACGGATGGCGTAGTAATAGAAGGAATGTGGATGGAAATAGATGAATGATGTTTAGTCGTTTCAGTGATAGGAATATAAAGTACTTACTATTTTATCTCATCTATTTTCTCCAAGAAGCAAGAGTCAGGGTCATCTCCTGGGATGGGAAGGGAAGAGTGTACAGTCCAACTCAGATGTGAGAGGGAATGATGGTGGTAAGGTATGCAGAGAGAAAGTGTAAGATGGTGCTTAGCAGAGTGAGAAAACAAATCTACTAGAGAAGTATATATTATGATTGGTGGTGTCAATTTTTTTTTTAAAGAGAGAGTGAGAGAGGAGAGAGAGAATTTTTTAATATTTATTTTTTTAGTTATCGGCGGATACAACATCTTTGTTTTGTATGTGGTGCTGAGGATCGAACCCAGGCCGCACGCATGCCAGGCGAGCGCGCTACCACTTGAGCCACTCCCCAGCCCGGTGGTGTCAATTTTTTAACTTAACCTTGAATCTTGAAATCTAAAACCTTATTGTAATTATTCATTTTATTACCATTGTTAGTTTGAAGACAGGGAATAGTATCTTTTTTAAAAAATTTATTTATGTGGTGCTGAGGATCCAACCCAGTGCCTCACATGCTGGGCAAGCACTGTACCAGTGAGTTACAACCTCAGCCCAGGGTATAGTATCATAATCTTCAACTAATATAATACTTAGCTTAATGCTAAATATTTTTGGTTTTCAGTTTAATAAATACTTATTGAGCAGATTTGTGTCTAGTATGTAATAGAACTTGTTAACTACAGAGAGTCATCACCATAGACCAAAGAGAGTATGAAGAGTCAAGGAGAGTATACAGCAGGTCAAGAAAAGAAGTTGACAATAAAGCCCTGTGGAACAACATATTTTAATGTCAAAGAACACTGAAAATAAATAACAAATCAAAATTAGGAGAAAATAATGTCACGCAGGGACTAGACAGCAGTGTCAAAAGCCTCAGAGAAGTTCAAGAATTGAACACTGCAATTAAAAAGTCTTAGTAAATAAGAGCTCTTTAGCAAAGTGCTGGGGTGGAAACTTAGGTTTGAATGTCAACACGGTAAAGAATATGAGTCAGTTAATATAGACTTTTTCTATATGCTTGACAAGAAAAAAAGAGAAGATAGGATATAAAGAGAGAGAGAAAGCTGTTAAGTTCAGAGAAGGCAGAACTCTTGTCTTTTTTTCTTTAACTGTCTATTCTTAATACCTACCCTGGTATAAACATAAAAAAGGAACTAAGTGGGCTAGGGATGTGGCTCAAGCGGTAGCGCGCTCGCCTGGCATGCGTGCGGCCCGGGTTCGATCCTCAGCACCACATACAAACAAAGATGTTGTGTCCGCCGAAAACTATAAAAAAAAAAAATAAAGTAAATATTAAAAAAAAAAGAACTAAGTATTTGTTGAATGAATGAAGAGGGATCCAAATAAGCATTTTGTGTAAGGATTGACATGAGCACCTGCTCATATGCGGAACAGGAAAAGCCAATGGGGAGGGAAAGCATGTAAAGACAAGAGAGATCATTGATATAAGAAGTTTGAAAAAACCAAAGAAGGGTTACCAGTGGAAGTTTTATTGTGTGGCAAATAGGACAGTTCCCTTCTTTCCTATAGAAAGGTGATCTGAGGCTTCAAGGATTTTTGAGTAAAAAATTGTTGAGTTGGAAATCCTTGTTAAACTGTAGCGACCAAAAGCCTGGTTTTTGTAGTAGCCCCTTTTTAGTTCCTACTAATGGTCTTCCCTTAGAATCAATGCTCTCTTGTTTTGCTGAAGATCATTGCATTTTTAGTAACATCAGATTATACCTCTAATTCTTGGCATTTTATTATTATGTTATCATTGAGATTTTTTTTTTAATGGTAGCACTCTTGCCCTCATTAAAATGACCTGTACATATTTTTCATTTTAGATTCGACTTCCACCTGAAGTAAATCGGATTTTATATATAAGAAATTTACCATACAAAATCACAGCTGAAGAAATGTATGATATATTTGGGAAATATGGACCTATTCGTCAAATCAGAGTGTGAGTCTTACTGAGATTCAAATGTCATTTAAAGAAAATGATTGCATAATCTATAATCTCAGAATTGTAGCTGACAGCAAGGCTGTGCTGTATGTTGCAGTGATGTTGTCTGTTTTACAGGTGAAACCACTGAGGCCCTTGAGTCCAAGTATTCTTCTCATCTCACACAGTGCTTAGTGATAAAATCTTCTGGTTCTAAACTGAACCTCTTTACTTCACAGTACCATAGCTTCTGCCACGTAAAAGTCCCAATGAAAGGATTTCTAAAGTTCTTATATTTGGTCATATTTCATTCTTAACACATTTTCTTTTGTGACCTGAGAGCTCCTTTCCAGCTTTTAGAACTGTAAGATCCTAAGGAGTCTCCTTTTGAATGCTCACCATCACTCCAGAGAGAGTGAGTAAACCAAGAGTTGGCAATGTATGATCATTGATATTCATATCACGGTGAAAATGAAAGTGTTGTAAATCAGCTGTCCTTTTTGGAGATTTCACTTCTTGAAGCATCTAAGAGCTTTGGGTCCTCTCCACAGAATACATATAACATTTTGCCTATATCTTGGTTACATGGACTTTACAGTGGTTAATCCTATTCTAGATACAGAGAATGGTATCTAGGGATCAGGAGACAAGATTCCACTTAAGGCCTTGTTACTAGCCATGTGACAAATTGCCTAACTCTTTGGTTTTCTCTTCATTTGTGAAATAATCTGGACGGTATCCTTTTGACTTTTTCTTTCTTTTTTTGGTACTGGGATTGAACCCAGGGGCACTTTACTACTGAGTTACACCCCTAGCCCCTTTTATTTTTTATCTTGAGACAGGATCTTGCTAAGTTACTTATGACCTAAGTTCTTGAAGCTGACTTCAAACTTAGAATCCTGCCTCAGCTTCCTGAGTTTCTGGGATTACAGGAATGCACCACAGTGCTGGTACCCTTTTGAATCGTAATGTGGTGGCAGCCTGATACGTTTACTGAATTAGTTGTTAGATCTGGGTTCAAATACTAAACTGAGCACTTTTCAGTTGTATGAAACTAGGAAGAGTATCTATAATCTATATGAGTTTTCGGTTATTTATGAAATACAGTGTTTCTCACTTATCTGTCTTAAAATAATTTTAGTTTGGATCACATTAGACAATGTTTGTAAAAGTACTTTATTGTTGAGTATTTCCTTCCCAGTGTACATTATCTACTCTATCTGTGATCTCTTAGCATTTCTGTGTACATCTCTTATTAGTTAACTTGTGCTTTTGCTGTTCATGTACTCTTTTGTCTTTCCCAGCGGCCTGTGAGCTTCTTCAGGCCTGGTACCACACATTCTTTCAGCTTTGTGCCGATAGCACTTGTCATGCCTAATCTGTGGTGAGCACCCAAGGTATATAAATGAATGAATAATATAGAAAATGGTAGCATGGTTGCAATTAATTTATGAAGGCATTATAAAGTTTATTGATAATGCTCAATTAAGAGATACTTAAATTAATGAAGTTAGAGAATGTTTTAGAAATCCAAATGAAAGGGCAAGTACTGAAGTAGGGGCATCTTCTGAAGAGCACAGTCTGGGGCCTCTATCTGGGATAGTTATCACCAGATCCTCTCATACCTAGCTCTTCCTCATCCTGTAGTTCTCAGCTTCAGTGTCACCTTTTCAAAGAAGTTGACCACTGAAGCTAAAGCATCTCTCCTCATTAATCTCCCTCACAACTGTTCTTAATTTTATTTATTTATTTTGCTGTACTGAGGGTTGAATCCAAGGGTACTCTACCACTAAGATACATCCCCAGCCCTTTTTATTTCTTATTTTTATTTGAGACAGGGTCTTGCTAGGAACTTGTGATTCTCCCGCCTCAGCCTTCCCAGTAGGTGGAATTACAGGTGTGCACCACCATACCTGGCTTTTATTTTTGTGTTTTACAATTTCTCATGATTCATAATTAGTTCATGTTTATTTACTTATATCTTTCTCTTACTTGAAGGGATGATGCCTACCTTCATTGTAGTTCTAGTGCCTATCCATTAGGAAGAATGCAATATGATTATTGAATTAATTCGCAAAAAATTGGGGTATAGAAACTTGGGTCTTGATTATAGATTGAGAAACAGTTTTTGCTGTTTTCACTGTGATCAAGTTCTCTTGCTTACTTGGGACCTAGAACTATGGTGACCAGCCTTCCCAGTTTGCCCACTACTGAGAAATTTTCTGGAATGGAACTTTCAGTGCTGAAACCTGGACAGACCCTGGCAAACCAGGATGATTGATCACCTTATCTGACATGTAGCAAACAGTTGGTTCTTTATACTTTTTAAAACCATTATATACTGTTACCTTTTCTGGTTATTAAAATCACACATGAGTAGGGCAGATTATGACACATGAAGAAATTGAAGCTCAAAGAGACTTTGATGAGGTTTTCTTATTTTCTCTTTTAAGGTTTTTACCACCAATTAAAAAAATGTTAGTGTCTAACCTATGTGTCTACCAAATAAAATGCTTTTAAAAAACCAAATTAGGGCTGGGGCTGTAGCTCAGTGCTAGAGCACTTGCCTAGCATGTGTGAGGCACTGGGTTCGATCCTCAGTACCACATAAAAATGAATAAATGAAACATAAATAAATGGGTCTATCTGTAGCTAAAAACAACAACAAAAAAATCCAAAAAAAAAAGAATGCTTTTAAAGTATGAGGTTGAAAATTAGGGCTAGGACACTTGAAATGGAGAGTCTTTGAAGTGGGCTTAGGGGATAGGGGTTGAGCTCAGTGCTAGAGCACTTGCCTAGGATGTTTAAGATCCTGGGTTGCATCCCCAGTACTGCAAAAATAAAATAATCCTACCCCTGTTTTAGCTCTTAAGAAGATATAAGAGGAAGAAAGATAATCCCAGAGGCTCCAAAGGCTGTTTAAAGCCAGCCTCAGCAAAAAAGTGAGGTGCTAAGCAACTCAGTGAGACCGTGTCTCTAAGTAAAATACAAAATAGGGCTGGGGATGGGGCTCAGTGGTTGAGTGTCTCTGAGTTCAATCCCTGGTACTCTACCCCCTCAACAAAAAAAAAAAAAGAAGAAGAAGAAGAAGAAATAGCTTCCCGGAAAACATACATGTGAAAGAATTTATAGGAGATAGTAGATCTCTACCTTTCAAATACATATTAGCACTTGTTCTATACCTGGCACTGTGGGAATAAAATGAAGTATAAAATAACCTTTGCCCTTAAAGAACTTAAAAATCTGTTTTTTGTTTGTTTTGTTTTGTTTTTTGTTCTTTTCTTTTTGGCGGCTGTCAACTTCCATACCTGATTCATTCTTGAAAATGAGTAAGCTGTTAAAAGGGGCATGCACAAGGCCCTGGGTTCAATCCCCAGCACCACCACAAAAAAGGAGAGGGGGCATGGTGGCTCATGCTTGTAATCCCAGCAGCTCAGGAAGCTGAGACAGAAGAATTGCGAGTTCAAAGCCAGCCTCAGCAAAAAAACAAGGCGCTAAGCAACTCAGCGAGAACCTTTCTCTAAATAAAATACAAAGATGGGCTGGGGGTGTGGCTCAGTTGGTCGAGTGCCCCTGAGTTCAGTCCCCAGTCCCCAGTATCCCCCCTCCCCCCCCCAAAAAAAAAAGTTAATAGTATTCCCAAACAGTAAAGATCCTATAAAATCCTTCTTAAGGCCCATATAACCTAACAAAGTAAGCTCATTCATTGACACTGGTACCTTCTGGTCACCCCCATACTGTATACCTGTTCCATTTCCTTTTTGTAGGAAGCATAAACTCTGAGCAGGGCCTACACTGGAATTCTGTCCTAGATCAAATCTAAGTAGATACCTCCCCTTACCGTGGGTCTGTTACCTTTTCTTGGCCCCATATAGGAACTGTGGCAAATGGTGAATCATCTCACAGTCTTAAATTTCATTCCACAGTTGTGTGGCTGCAGCCAGACAGAGGCAAGGAGGCATCTTCATTACATCAGAGCATTAGCAGCGTGGGATCTCAGTCCACTGTCCCCACTAACAAGCCCATGACTGTCTCCTGCATGCAATTCAGTGCTCCTGTTGTTTCTCACACTTCCCTACATCTCCCAGAACAAATTTATGAATTTAAGAGAAGACATGGCAAGGAACACCTACACTAGAATCAGTCCTGGTATCTGTAAGTTCCAGCTTCCACTTCTAGCCACATTCCAGCATTCTGTCCTGGCTTGTAGATAACTCACAAGTGTACTTATACCCCCATCTTAGCAGAAGCCGAGCCCTTTTTCTCAGCCAGACAGGGCTATGTAATGCATTAGGGTTTGGATTGTTTTTAAAATGAATATATGAGCCAGGCACCATGACATGCTCCTGTAATCTCAGCAGCTTAGGAGGATGAGGCAGGAGGATCACAAGTTCAAAGCCAACCTCAGTAATTTAGTGAGACCCTATCTCAAAATTAAAAAATGACTAGGGATATGGCTCAGTGGTTAAGGTCCCCTGGGCTTAATCCCTGGTGCCAATAAATAAATAAACAAATAAAATTAATATATGGAAGTAGGGGACTAACTGTATTACATTTTACAAAGTTAAAGAATCTAGCAAAAGTGGAAGAAACTATTAACTGTTCATAGAGGACTTCCTTTCTTGTCCATAAAGGATGATGGTTGGCTGCCTTCCCATATGTCATTTATAAGTTTGGCCATCTTCCTGGGTGGCCATCTTCCTTCCTTTCCTACCCACTCCCCTAGACATGCAAAATAGGTTTTGTTTTTATGGGTTTAAACTCTAGTAAAATATTATCGAGGAATATTTATTTCCTACATTGATGAAGATTGTCTTGTCTTTAAGGATTAAAACTATATGTTGTACATTTCTAATCCAAAATCCAAAACTTTTTTTCAGTCCTGAGCACTCTACCACTAAGCTATACTTCCAACCTCCCACCGTTTTTTAAGATTTTTGAGACCATGTCTAAATTGTTGAGGCAAGCCTTGAACTTGATATTCTCCTGGCCTAGAATCCAAAACTTTTTTTTGGTGGGGGTACCAGGGATCGAACCCAGGAGCAGTGGGCCATTGTGCCACATCCACAGCCCTATTTTGTATTTATATAGAGACAGGGTCTCACTGAGTTGCTTAGTGCCTCACCGTTTCTGAGACTGGCTTTGAACCCAAAACCCTCCTGCCTCAGCCTCCCAAGCCACTGAGATTACAGGCATGCACCATTGCACCCAGCTAGAGTCTAACACTTTTTGAGCACTAACATGACACTAAAAAAGTTTTGGATTTTGGAGCATTTGGATTTCAGGTTTTTAGAATGCTCAGCTAAAATAAAACTATGAAAAGATTCTAAAATCTGAAACACTTCTGGCTCTAAATATTTCAGATAAGGGATTCTCAACCTCTGTAATTAAATTAGAGTGAGGAAGAAAAAAAAGTCTTTAAAAACAAGGACGTGGCTGGGGTTGTGGCTCAGCGGTAAACCATTTGCCTAACACGTGCGAGGCCCTGGGTTTGATCCTCAGCACCACATACAAATAAATAAATAAAGGATATTGTGTCCAACTACAACTAAAAGATAAATTATTAAAAAAAAAAAAAAAAGGAATTCTCCTTGCTGACTAACAAGAGTCATGACTCCTAGGTATTATTTACTTTAAGACTAAAACAGTGGAGCCAGGCACAGTAGTGCATCTATAATCCTAAGGACTCTGGAGGCTGAGGCAGAAGGATCACGAGTTCAAGGCCAGCCTCAGCAACTCAGTGAGACTCTCAGCAATTTAGTGAGATCCTGTCTCAAAATAAAAAATAAAAAGGGCTAGAGATGTGGCTCAGTGGTTAAGCACCCCTTGTTTCAATCCCCAGTAACCCCTTCCCACTTAAAAAAAAAAAAAAGACTTAAAACAGTGAACATGAAGGCAGTGAGAGTTTCAAGCTAATTCTTTGCTTGCTAATAGTGCTTTAGTAGCTATGTTCTTAGTATCACTAATATAATAATAAATAAAAACTATAAATTTTTTACTTAAAGTAAAAATGAAAATAAAAATATCTAACTTAAGAAATTAAAAGCTTATGCCCATCTGTTTATTTCCTCTGATGGTTTTCAGGTTGATCTCAAAGTACTTAAATAAATATACTTCATTTACCATCTTTAAAAGATAGCTAGCCAGGCACAGTGGCCCACACCTGTAATCTCAGTGACTCAGCTGAGATACGAGGATCATAAGTTTGAGGCCAGCCTAGGCAAGTGGTAAAGTGCCACTGGTTCAATTCCCAGTACAAAAAAAAAAAAAAAAAGGACTGGAGATGTAGCTTAGTGGTAGAGCACTTATCTAACATGCCCAAGGCCCTGGGTTAGATCCCTGGCAACGCCAGCAAGCAGGGGGAAACAACAGCAAAGTTCAGTTATTCAGTTATCAGTGTTTGGGTAAATATGTATTTTAGTTTCATTCAGTTTATCTTTGCAGGGGGAATACACCTGAGACCAGAGGAACAGCCTATGTGGTCTATGAAGATATTTTTGATGCCAAGAATGCATGTGACCACCTATCAGGATTCAATGTTTGTAACAGATACCTCGTGGTTTTATACTATAATGCTAACAGGGTAAGTACAGCAAAGTTCTTGTCACATGATAAGAGAATGAATGTGGAACTGTACCTGGGTGGGCAATGTAAGGCTTGTATTTTGTTTGTTTTTTGTGAGGTTTTTTGGCTATTTCTTTGGTGAAATTCATTTAGCTGTAGATTTGTACCTATTAACTTTGGTGCTTCCCACATTTCCAGGCATTTCAGAAAATGGACACCAAAAAGAAGGAGGAACAGTTGAAGCTTCTCAAGGAAAAATATGGCATCAATACAGATCCACCAAAATAAGTGTTATCTGCATTTTCACTTTGGACTAAAACCTTTTTTTTTTTCCTTTTAATTCTGATTATTGTGATTTCTCATTTGAGATTCAAAATTATTTGCTTGAAACTTTGATATATACTAGAATACATTTATAAACTTGAAGTGTTTTGTAAAACATGTCATTGTTTCCTTTTGAACTTTTCCCTTCTGTTTGATATCAGGAAAAAACTAAAAAGTTGACGTAGAGGAAAGATTGTGCATGGGCCTATGGACTCTTTTTTAGTTTCTTAAGAGCAGGGACCTTTTTATATTATTAGTGCTTACAGTGTCCAATCTAGTGATTAGTCATTAAAAGAATTTGTTGTAATCTTGTCATTTATTGAAAGTCTATTGATAATGAACTCTTCATTACAACAGTCCATATAGGCATCAGCATGTTTCTGGTGAAGAAACCAAAGTTCATCATCATGCTGGTTGGATGAGTAATATGCTTTCATAAAAAGCCAGTATAACAGCAACCAGTTATTAATCAGGACTACACATTTGAATAATACTTGCTTTACAGATAACCAAACACCTTTGACAGTATGGATACCCTTGTCCCTAGCATAGAGGTCTCTCATAGCAGTGGCTTTTTAGGTGACCGCACATTGTTAGAAATTTGAGAGCAAGAAGCCTAGGACATGGTGATGTTACATGTCTGAGATTGTATTTAAGTAGCTTTTCATTTTAGTTATTAAGAATTTGTATATATTTGGGGTCTTATCTCACAGTATATCTTTGCTGTAAATAAATTTTTCATGTTTCTTTTTATGAGTTCCTATGACATGGAAATAGTATGGTTATTACCACATTCATTATAGCTTGGCAGCCCAGGAAGACAGAGCTATAATTTTCTTTTTATGGTTTAGGCAGGGGCCAAATGGAAAAACATGGACTAATTGTTTTGTGTATAACTAAAACCTAAAATAAATTTTAAAAGTACATACACTAAATCATTTAAATGGACAAAGAGCATCTATTCTACTTAAATGGACTATACTTTTTTGAACTGTCTTTTCAAAACTCACTGTTGAAATAATTGTCCTATTTATTAATTACGGCTGAGTTTTTTTTGTTTTGTTTTGTTTTAAAGCACTGTAAGAGAAATAGTCATTTCTAAGAGGGGTGGGCAGATACAAAAGGAGCCACAGCTGTAATTTTCTTCTGAATGCCTTTATGAATTCCTTAGAAGTTTTGCAATGTATGGTATAACTTTATTTACAAATGTAAAAAGAATTTTCTGAAAGACTTTTTGTTGAGGGAAAACTGAAATTAGACTTACTTACTTAGAGTGTTAAGAATTTGAAAGTTTTCTTCTAATTGTTTGGAAATTCTGTAGTTAACAAGAACTTTCACTCAGTGAACAAATATTAAGTTCCTACTATGTGCCAGGTACTATGAACTGTGAAGCAGAAGCTGAGGCTATAGTTAACCACAAATCTTCTGTACCAGGCTCCTAAAGCTCAATTTTCCAAACTGTATTTAAGAGTGTAGTGGGTGATTATGTCCCTGTAAACATACACAGGCACATGTGCTCGAGCTGCTTTTCTTTCTTCTAGGCTAAAGCTCTTATTTCTAAGAATTTGTATGAATAGAGAATTCATTGTTTGAAAACAACTGATAGGACACAGATCTCATTAATCCCCTGTTTAACTTTTAGTGGCTCTCACAAGACAATGTCCAGACTCTTCAGCATCTATCTGTATCTTAACATTCTGCTTTTTTTTTTTTTTTTGGGGTAGTACTGGACAAGGGATTGAACCCAAGGGTGCTCTCTATCCCTTAGCTACATTCCTAGTTCTCTTTATTTTTTTATTTTGAGACAGGATCTTACTAAGTTGCTGCAGCTGACCTCAAACTTAGCCTCCTTAGTAACATTACAGGTGTGTGCCACCATGCCTGGCTCTGCATCATCTTTTAAGAGCTCCAGTAAAATGGGTCATTTTCTCAACTTACTTATAAAGCTTGGCATATCCTCTCCAGGTACTAGCCAAAGGTGTTTGATTTTTAGGGAGTTCTTGGTGCATGTCTCCTATTATCACCTAGGCTATAAATACTTTACATCTTTTATATGCAGATGTAGAGTGGGCACCTGAAATAGTCTTAGATGTGATTTTTAGTTATCCTGTTGGTGTGATAGCAAAAAATGTGGGTATGTGTTTTATACAGGCTGAATTCTGAGAAATTATCATAGGCATTTGCTCATCAAGGGTAGCAGGGAACCAAGACATTCTAAAGGCATTGCCCCATAGAAGAATGGGTACTTCAGCCTTTAACAAGTGCAGCACCCTCTGTCTGTTCTGGTCCCACTGTGAAGGTGAGCCCAGGACTGTGGGTAATTAAAAGAAGATAGCCCCTTTCTTACTTCTATTTCTTCATCCTAAATACCTCCTATTCATTAACTGCTTGGCCCTCAGCAGAGGAATTAGCCACAATCTCTTGGAGACAAGAGGGTTGGATGAAGTAACCAGGGTGACATGGCCCTGTATCCTATATATGACATTATGTGACATATATCAGTGTATCTTTGAAGGAAACTTCAGGGTACTGTTACCAGCCCATCCCTCCTCAACGTCATCACTAATTATGGCCAAGAGCTTATCTCACTCTATGCCAACAAAAAGAACATTGTCCTCGATTTCTCTGATCTATAAAATAACCCACAGCAATAAGGACTGATTTTAAAATCTAACCAGGGATTCCAGTTTGTTACAGGAAATGTTGATGGAAATAAGTAGTATAGCTGGGCATGGTGGCATGTGCCTGTAGTCCCAGCTGTGTGAATAGCTGAGGCAGGATTACCTGAATCCAGGAGTTTGAAACCAGCCTAGACAACATATCAAGACCCTGTCTCAAATCAAAAAAGGAAAAAGGAAACGAAGCAGTACATATGGAAACAAGTTCAGAATCATATATCTCAGAAATAATTTCCCTAATGTAAGCAAATCTGGGATGAAACCAAGCAGTATATGTGAAAATAAGTTCAGAATCACCCATTCTTTTCAAAAGCATCTTCCCAATGTGAGTTTTGTATGGTTCCAAGCTTTTAATACACTTATATTTATTTAGATGCTGAAAATGTTCCCATCTAGGGGAAGGGAAGCTTATCCTTTTTACTCTAGTCCAAGCAAATAGAAATTGTAAGATCACATGAAGTGCATAAATCCCACAATGGACTGCTTGGCTTGTGGGATTAATTATTCTGAGCCTGTTAGATGAGTAATAGGAAATATCTACATTGCAGGGTTGCTTAAAGGATCAGTGATTTTATTTATTTAAAAGTATGCAGACAAGGCCCAGCATGGACAGTGCTCACATTGTGTATTAAATGTAGTACCACTCTCCTAACCACTTGAAAGTCTCCTTTCTACTCTTTTCCCCAAGGCACTTGGCACTTCCTACCTACAAGAAGGATGGACAGGAAGTTGTCAAGCACAGAGCCTTTATTTTACATATTATTTCCAAAGAGGACAATTGTTTAAGTGAGCAGCCAACAGAATTTATAAGTGACAGCAAAGGTAACTGGCTCAAGTCCCTCGTGTACACCATGTACATTGCGTGTCTGAGCACCTTTTGTATCTGGCTTAAGTGAAGGTAAGGCAGTGTAGATTGTGCAAACAAGAAATCTGTGGTCTGTGATCAGAAATAATTACTACATGCATCACATGAAATGCACAATCTGACGTTTTGATCTGCAGCTGAAGTTTCCTCAAGCAAAGATGCACGTGAACAATGACAAACACATATAGAGCAATTTGGGCAAAAAGAATGGATAATACCGCAGGGCAGTGAGGTTAGCACACTGATCAAGAGCCCCAAACAGGAGGAGCCGTCCCAGTGGCAGAGCAGGCTAAGAGGGTGAGCAGCAGCCATCTCCAGCCACCTCGAGTTCCTTCCTGCCTTCACTCTAAGTTGAGCAGCTCCACGTCAAAGATGAGGGTGGCATTGGGAGGGATGACACCAGGGTGGCCTGTGGCTCCATATGCCACATCAGGGGTGCAGGTCAGCTTCGCCCTCTGCCCCAAGCTCATCTAGCAGGGATGGGGGCAGATGGGGAAAGGAGAAAGAGGACCCAGCTTGATTTAAAAGGAAAAAGAGATAACTATGGCATTTTCCCAAACCATGTTCATGGTAACTGAAGATCTGAGATGAATTTAATATATGGCATGTTGAAATTGTGCTAAGTATAACAAATATGGATTCTGCCTCAAAACAGCAGATATGACTATGGGACAATAATCAACAAAGTAATCTCAAATTTATTAATTTAACAAACATTTCTAGTTATTCAATTAGAATATGGCCCAAACACTTTTATTTGCTCACTCTCATTCAAAGAATCACATTACTTATTATACACATGGGTGGCAAGGCAGCATATTAAAGAGGTTCAGGGATTAGAGGCCACAGCAAGATTGTGAGGGTGGAGAGGCCTACTGTGATGGAATGTAATATGCTTCATAGACAAGGAAGAAGAGCTTTAGCCAATGTTCATCACAATAGTTGTCTAGAACCCACTGGGCATTGCCAGGTAAACCTAGTTACCTATATTGCATGCAGATAATCCTAGTGACTGGGAGCTGAAGCAGGAGGATCACAAGTATGAGGTCAGCCTGGGAACTTAGCAAGATCTTCTCAAAAAAAGGGATGGGGATATAGATCAGTGGTAGAGCACCCTGGGTTCCATCCCCAATATTGCCAAGAAAAAAAAATGCACTAGGCATGAATGGAACACTTGGTGATTTTTGAATAAGTCGATTTTTGAATAATTAAAAAATTTGAGTAGATTGGCTAATAGTGTTTTATCAGTGGTTATGTAAGATGTAACCATTTGGGGAAGCTAGATAAAAAAAATGTACAGGAATTCTGTGGTATTTTTGCAATGTCTAAGGTTGTTTTTTTAAAAATTAAAAGACAAAACCAAAATACCTTCTTGGCCTACCCCACTCTAACTCCTCTGCTGCCTTGGGCCTGGACAGTTGGTTCACCACCTCAGCTAGTAACAAGCAAGCCTAGGAGGATGTGCTCGAGATACTGCCCCAGTGACAAAAAGCAGGCATGCTGGCAACCATAGGGGTGAGGACACAAAGCTAAGAGTGAACACTAGGTGGCGCTGCCATGCCCTAGTAGAGTAAAAAAGCAGTAGTTTGGTCTGTGATAGAGGTTGGAGGTGCTGAGTCCAGACCCTCCACCCCAACTCTTTAGGCTCCCTTTAATGAGTAGCCTCATCCTACCTGGGCTGCACCCTCTTCAAAACCTTTGATGACTTCCTGTTTGCCAATTCTGAACTTGAAAGGTTTGTTTCTGTCTCTGGATGAATCGAATTTCTTCCCATTTTGAAGCATCCCTGTCAAAGCAAGAATAGAGTGGAAAAGAGCTGTGGTGTAAGTTAACTCCCAGTTCAGATTCAACATGTCTAAATGGAATCTTATTCTGCACAAATCTGCTCCTCCAGTCCTCCTATTCTGCCCTCTTGACCAAGCAAGAAACCTGGACACTTCCTTTGTCTCACCCCCATATATAGACTACCACCATGCCCCAAATCTCTTTCGAGTCCATCTATTTTCTCTATTTCTATTGTCACTACCACCTTGTGATTTGAATCACCATTAAGTCTTACCTGTGGACAGGAACAACATCCTAAATGGTCTTTATGCTGTAATCCTACTTCTCTGTTCCATTATCTACTCCACAAGCAGATAGATTTTTTTCTTTAAACAAAAGTCTGATCATATTACTCCTCTACTAAAAATATTTGTTTTTTTGTTTGTTTGTTTTTTGTTTTTTTAAAGAGAGGGGTAGACAGAGGTAGACAGAGAGAGAATTTTTTTTATATTTATTTTTTAGTTATCGGTGGGCACAACATCTTTGTTTGTATGTGGTGCTGAGGATCGAACCCGGGCCGCACGCATGCCAGGCGAGCGCGCTACCGCTTGAGCCACATCCCCAGGCTACTAAAAATATTTGAATAGCTCACCAGGGCAGACTCCATATGCCTACATTGCCTGCAGGCACTTCAAGATTTGGCTATTACCTACCTCATGACCATCTCTGCTCTCTTCTTCCCATCCTGCCCTTGTGTCCTATTTAGGTCATACCATTCTCAAATACCTCTGCACTTTACAGGTTTTCATGCTGTTTCCTCAGCCTAAAGTTCTCTTTTCTCAGGTATTCTAGCCTTAGATTGAGATCTCATCTATGGTTCCTAAGGTTTTCACAATGCAAAACCCAAAGGTTACATCATCCCCTGCTGCAATGAACACTATAAGGTGACCTTGCTGATCAGTGGTAGCTTCCAGAACTGTCTGACACCAGAACACCCCAGTAGTGTCTCCAGCAGTTCAGAGTACTCCTTATTCTCTAACTGCAGAAGCTTGGTCATCCCTAATGTATCTGTGTGGTCTCCTTCCAGCAGGCCAAGGCCCAAGAACTGCTTTTCTATTTTCACTTCTTATTGGTGATTCTCAAAGATCAGAGCTTCTGTACATAGTGCAATTCCACAACTCCATGCAGTCCCTGGACCACTACAAAATGTAATTTGCAACCACAGGAAGACCTGGCCTGTAAATTCAGACACTGGGTTCTGACTTTAGTCTGGCGCTAACTCATTGTGTGAGGTGAGGCAAATCACTTCCTCTATCTGGGTCTCAGATTTTCCATATTTAACACAGGAGGCTCTGCCAACTTAGTGTCTGAACATCTATAATTTTACTTCCGAATTCCAACAATTTGTGTACTTGAGAAAGAACCTTATTACCTACCTTCTGGGTAGAATAAATTGGGCTCTTGCCCTGGGATTTAAATGAGGCAAAAGAAAAAACCTTTCTGGTTACCCAGAGATATATAGAGAGGAATGCTAAGATCATCAAATACAAACTCACATATACACACAGGTGGCTTAGATATTCAAATACACAGAGCTGCTTATGCATGCTCACATGCTCCTTATGCACACACACACACACACACACACAGGAGGAAATCCCTGATGGTCAAACAGATGCTAAGAAAATATTTAGATACACAGATCTACATACATTCACAGACACATACTTGAACAAATTTGTGGATATGCACACACAGGCACACACTCCATTTATAGACTGTTTCATTCCCTAATCTCTCCATGCTTCCTATGACCAAATCTACTTAGGACCATATATCTATTGCTGCAAGTTCAGACCAAATGACAAAATCTAGAAATAGGACTACATACGTGTGGCCACTCAGTCTGACAAAGATGCCACTGCAATGCATTAAACAAAAGATAATTTTTTTGGATTGAAATAGTGATTTTGTGAATTACTGTTGCTGGATGAACTGTATATCCATAAGGGGGAAAAAATCAAACCTTGATCCCTACCAAACCCACACACAAAAATCAATTCCAGGCGTATCATAGATCCAGATATGAAAAATAAGATTTAAAGCTGAGGATGGAGCTCAGTGGTAGAGTGCTTGCCTAGCATGAGCAAGGCCCTGGGTTTGATCCCTAGCACTGCAATAATAGCAGCAGCAACAATAATAATAAATTTACTACAAGGTAATATGTAAAAAAAAAAAAAAAGAACCTTCATGACTTAGATAGACAAAATTTCTTGAACTGAACACAAAATATAAACCATAAAGGAAAAAAAACTGGTAACTGTGACTTCATAAAAATAAGGAATTTCTGGACTGGGGTTGTAGCTCAGTGGTAGAGCACTTGCCTTGCATATGTGAGGCACTGGGTTCAATCCTCAGCACCACAGAAAAATAAACAAACAAAGATTGTGTCCATATATAACTAAAAAAAATTTTTTTTAAATAAGGAATTTCTGTTTAAATGATCATGAAGAGAGTCAAAAGGCAAGTCACAGAGTGGGAAAAGATGTTTGGGATAGGTATATCCAAAATATATAAGGAATAGAAATCAATAAGAAAAAGAATCTAATTTTTTAACACATTTTTTTTTGCTTGCTTTTTATGTGTTGGGGATTGAAAACAGGGCCTTGTGCATACTAAACACATGCTTTATCACTGAGTTACACTCCCAACAACCTAATTTTAAAAACGGACGTTTGAGCAGTCTAAAGAGGCTATCCAAATGGCGAGTAAGCACATGAAAAAGTGCTCAACTTCCTTATTCATCAGGGAAAATGTAAATCAAAACCACAATGAGATTCCACCAGGCACCCCTAGAGTAGTCCAGAAACAAAAACCTGACAATACCAAGTGTAGTGAGGACATGAGGTAACTGGAACATTCGTATCCTGCTGACAGAAGTGGAAACTGGCACTACTTTAGAAAACTGCTTGGCAATACTGCTGAAACTGAACAGAGGTGTAATCCTGTACCCCAGCAGTTCTAGTTCTGGTTATATACTCAGTAGAAACGTATACACATGTGTACATATGTGCAATACAAAACAGTTCACAGCAACACCATTCATAGCCACTGAAAACCATAAACAACCCAAATGTTCATCAATAGTAGATGGGAGCCTGCCTAGTATTCACAAGGCCCTGGGTTCAGTCCCCAGCACCAAAAAAAAAAAAAAAAAAAAAAAAAAGATGGGATATGTACATTTAGCTGGGATATGTTCAGTAGCATGTGCCTGTAATCCACTGATTCAGGAGGCTTAGGCAGGAGGATCATAAAGTCAAGGTCAGGCTCAGCAATTTGGCAAGGCCCTAAGCAACTTAGAAAGACCCCTGTCTCAAAAAATAAAAAGGGGTGGGTTGGAGATGTAACTTAGTGGTAAACCTTCCCTGGGTTCAATCCCTGGTACCAAAAAAAAAAAAAAAAAAAAGAAAGAAAGAAAAAGAAAACCCTGTAAAAGAATTAAAAAAATAAAAAACACCACTGTGGCTAAATCTCACAGACATAATCTTGCTTGCCTAGCATCTGCTGGGTTTGATCCCCAGCACCACCACCACCCCCACCGGCAAAAAAAAAAAAAAAAATTGAGCTGTACATTGATTATGTTTTCTACTTTTTTTGTGGGGCGTGGAGGTTACTGGGGATTGACCAGGTGCACTTAACCACTGAGTCACATCCCCAATCCTTTTTTTAAAAAATTTATTTTTTATTTCTTGTTGAGTTGCTTAAGGCCTCACTAAATTGCTGAGGCTGGCTTTGAATTTGCGATCCTCCTGCCTCAGCCTCCCAAGCTGCTAGTATTAGTTTTAATTTTTTAAAGTTTATAAAAGTCCCATATAGTCCCCTGCTGTGTTTTATCAATCTCTCCCCATACCAGCCACTTATAGCTGATGTTAGTGTTTAATGCACATTGCCTGTTCTACATATGTACTGTGAAAAGACTTTGCAAAAGGATGTTGTGTTTTCAGTAATTTGATAAATATTGGTCTGTCTGCAACACATAGAACAGATAAATCAATTCCCTGGGTCAGAGGGCCCAGAGGCCCCATGGTAATTAGGTCACATTACCAGGAGATAAAACAGCCCCAGTCCACTGACATCAGCGACGGGCAATGCAACTGTTGAGAAACAGCCGCACTGTCTGCTAGAACTAACCTGGTGTTTCACACTGGCCCTGAGAACTGCTAAAAATGGCCCCATCCAACATGTCCCAGGAATTTAGCTGGGCTTGCTGTATGCTAAGTGACTGTCACCCACTGAGTCTGCCACATTAGGAAGCAGGTCACAAAGCAGAGCTCTCATTCCCCTTGGAAAAATACCTGCTCATGATCTTCCTGCCAGCAATCCTGAAGAACTCATCTAGAATGAATATCCCTTGGCCCACCTGGCCTTCAGATACATAGCATCCAGGAGGAGATAGCAAAAACATGGAGCCCTCCTTGGGGTTCCCCCAGTACTGAGAGACAAGCACCACCAACATTCTACCCCTCACACTGCACCAGAGGCTCCAGGTGACTTGTCTGTCCTAACTACAGACCCAGTGAAAGTAGGCATGTCACACGGTTGGTGTCCGATAACAGCAGATTGAATTAAGCAGTGTATTTTTGAAAACAAGAAATTGTGAGGCCAACCTCCTCTTCTCGAATGATACTGTAGGATGAAAAGGGAGTCTGCTGGGAGTTTTGGGGCTCTTCAATCTTTCAGAGAGACCTCCAGCTATCAAGACAAAATCAGGAAGGCCAGAGCACCACTCTGACCCCAGTGAGGGAAGGGGACTGGAGATGCTTGATTCAAGTATGGGCTGGCACCATGAGGGCCTTTGTGGTATGAAAAGAAGAGGACTGGTCACAGTCCTCTTTTTTGGGGGGGCTTCAGGCCTGATCTGGAGACAGACATCTCAGGAGAAGAGCTCAGAGGACCTTTCTGCCTTGGGAGTGGCAGGCTGGTAAGGGCTGAGAGAATGAGGCCTACCTGTGTAGTGTACCACGCATGTTTGGCCCTTCTTCGGAAATGTCCTTCCTGCAAGGAGACACGAGGGAAGATGAAGGAGTAGGGTATTAGAAAAACTCACCTGTGACTTTCAAGTATGATTCTGACCATGTCCCCATCTGTATCATGAGTCGGTCCCTGGCCCATGGCCCCAGTTCTGACTCTATGCCTTGTATGAGACAGAACTAATCACATCACCTTCTGGCTTGGAATTAAACCTTTTTTTTGGTACCACGAATTGAATCTAGGGGTGCTTAACCACTGAGCCACATCCCCATCCCTTTTTTATATTTTATACCTCAGGGTCTCACTGAGTTGCTTAGGGCCTTACTAAGTTGCTGAGCCTGACTTTGAACTCACGATCTTCCTGCCTCAGCCTCCCAAGCAGCTGGGATTACAGGCGTGCACCACTATGCTTGGCTCTGGAATTGAACTTTATGCCATTGGTTTCCTCAACTCTAATCTCCCTGTCTGCCCTACCTGCACACAAACTTTCTTTGATTGCTCTTTTTGCTTTCCTTCATTTATTCCAAGAACATTTATGGGTAAGCTAATATATGCCAGACCCGGACTAGATTCCAGAGATACAGAATAATATATGAACTCATGAGGAATTTATGGGAAAAGACTCATAGATCCTAGATTATATAGAATGATGACTGTTATCAAGGATGAGTAAAATTATTCACAACTATTTACTGAGTACCTACTATGCATCAGGCCTGTGCCTGATTCTGGGATATAGTTCCCTGCTCCTTTGGAGTTTACATTCTAATGGAGGGAGAAAAACAATACTCAAATAAACAAGGTAATTACAGATGGTGATAAGTCCTTTAAAGAAAATATATACCCCTGAGTGTGTATATGGCTATAATACTAGCAACTCAAGAGACTGAGGCAGGAGGATCTCAAATTCAAGGCTAGAATAGGAAACTCAGTGAAACTCTGTCTCAAAAAATAAAAAGGGCTAGATATATAGCTCAGTGGTAAAATAAATAAATTAATAAAAATAAAAGAAAGAAAGAAAAAAAAAAAAAACAGCCAGGCTTGGTGGCACACACCTATAATCCCAGCTATTCTGGAAGCTGAGGCAGGAAGATTGCAAATTACTATTTGATGATAACTTGTCTCAAAAAGGGCTGTGGATGTGGGCTGGGGATGTGGCTCAAGTAGTATCCCACTCGCCTGGCATGCGTGCGGCCCAGGTTCGATCCTCAGCACCACATAGAAACGAAGATGTTATGTCCACCGAAAATTAAAAAAATAAATATTAAAAATTTCCTCTCTCTTTCTAAAAAAAATTTTTTTTAAAAAAAAGGGCTGTGGATGTAAACCAGTGCCCAATACAAAAAAAAAAAGGAGAGGGAAAAGAAAAGAAAAATAATCACAGTGATGAATTAAAGAGAAATATCATAGGCAATTTTAGAAAGGATAATCCAGGAGGGCCTCTTGAAGGAGATGACTTTGAACTGAGATTTGAGGGAAGGAGAAACCAGTGCACAGATGTTGAGGCAGGAAAGGACTGATATATTTGCAGAACTGATAGGAGACTAGGTGTTTGGATGGAGGGAGGGAAGTAGGAAAGAGATGGATCATGCAGCTTGTAGAGTCAAGTTCAATACTAAGTGCAATAGGAAACCACTAGAAGGTTTTAAGCAAGAGAATGACATAATCTGAATTAAGATTTTATAAGATCACTCTGGCGGTTTTGTGGGGGATGGACAGTTAGGTGTCTGTTGCAATAATCCAGACAAGAAATCAATGGTGGCTTGAATTAAAGTGATGGCAGCTGACAAGAAAGTGAAATACATTGGAGACATATTTTGGAAGTGGAGCTGACAGGGCATGCAAATGGACTGGAGATGGGGGAAAAGGCGAAAACAAGAATGATGCTTGGATTTTAAGTCTGGGCAACTGTGATGGGTGGTGGAGCTGTTTCCTGAGATGGGAAAGATTGAGGAGGAACAGATTTGTGAGGGTGGCAATCTTGAGATGCCTATTAGACATCTGAGTTTCTACTGCAAGTAGGCAGATGCAGAGTCTGCACTGGAGGCACAAATTTGGGTGGAATTTAAAGCTACTGGGCTGGATAATCAAACCTGAGAATAATGACTCTGCCAACATTTAGAAAAAAACTCTTCGAACCAGGAGAAGGGAGCAACTAAGTGACTAAAGGAGCCAGGGAAAGCATCACAGAGCAGAAAAGGGTTCAACTGGGTCTTTGAAGATGAGTAAGAGTTTGCCGGAGGAAGTAAAGGGACCTATTCTGGGAAAGGGGATAACATGTAAGACATGTTCAAAGGCCTAGAGTCCAGCCAGAGCCAGAGCCCTGTCTGTTTGACTGCTGTAACCCTAGGGTCTAGCACACAAGTACATGCTTCATAAATATTTGCTGAATGAGTGGTGTATTTAACAACTTGCAAGCAGCTTGGCAAAGCTAGAGGAAAGTTGGTGGTGGACATAGGGACAGTACTGAGAGAAGCTCTAGGGTGGAAGGTTAGAACAGCTCCTATCACCAAAGGGCAGGGTGCCTGCAGAAGGAGAGCAAAGAATCATTACAAGATTTTCTGCCTGAGGGAGGACCCTGGTCAGATATATTTTTCTCTCTCCTCTCCTATTCTTTTGTAGTAGTAGGGCCTCACCCATGAGAGGGAAGCACTCTGAGTTACATCCCCAGCCTCCAAACATGCGTTTTAAAAAGAGGTCTCAGGCTGCCTTGAAGAAAATGAGGGGAGTGGGTGTGAAGAGAGACCAGACTGAAGGCAGGGAGGTGAGACTGAAGGTGGGAGGACAGTTCAGAGGCTATGAGATGGGGGGAAGGGTGACAAAGCTTGGAGAGATGCACCCTGGACCCCAGCACCAAGGTTCTCTGAGTGGCTAAAGAAGCATCAGGGATGATGCGGCTCATGGCTGGGACTTCTAGGCACCACTGCCTTTCAACAAGAAGGGTGCCTGGAATCAAAAAGCCCTCCAATTTCCTGGGAAAGGGAACATCTAATAGAAAGTTTGCTTGTCACGACCTGCAGACAAGGAAGTTTTCGGTTTTAATTAAATTTTATTTAAGAATTGGCTATTCCTTACACACCCAGAACCAATTATTCAAGAGCTTAGGAAAGTGAAGGCTGCCTGTTCCCAGACAGAGTACAGGAGGACCCAGAGGCGCACTCTTGGGTGGGGAAGGTGGTGGGGATCGCGAGTTCTGCTCCGCACTTGCTGACTCTGAGGTATACAGGGCTCTCTAGGCAGGTCACGCAGCAGGTTGGAGGTCTGGGCTGCGAGTCTTAAACGTGGAGGCCATGGCGGTGGACAGGATGGCCAGGGAGACTGAGTGGGACGGGGACGATGAAGTGTGATGCAGTGAAGTGGCGGAGGGAGCGCTTCCCCTTCCCAGACTGGCTCTGTCCCTACAGCTTGCTGCTTGCTGCCCAGTTCTCCCAGGGCCGCCAGACGGGAGGCCGGGTGTGATGGGGCGCGTTAGAAGGAGATGCCCCAAGCAGCAGGGAGCCCAAAGCAGGTCCTTCCCCGGCAGGTAGGGAAAGCGGAGCGGAAACCCGACCCTGGGAAGTCAGCAGTAGCGGGTAACTGAGAGGTTTCAGCCCCTGCAGCGGTAGCTGCGGCCCCCGGGGCGGTGGCGGGCCGCAGACCCCCGTCGCGAGCCGCCGCCTCCATTCCCCTAGGTGAGCGGGCGCGGAAGGGGGTGGTGGCGAATCGCCTCCCAGACCCCCTAGAATCGCGTCTGGGGGTCTCCTCCAGCCGCCAGCGTCTGGGCCCGCCCCTACTTCGGTCCCCCCGACCCCTCTGAATCAGACCCCAGCCCGCCGGGCTCCGCCCCGGGACCCCTTCTCCTCCCCGGCTCCGCCGCCCGGTACCGTCTCCCGGGGAGATGGTCTCGATCTCCACGCCCATCGCGGTCCCACAGGCCCCGCCTCCGGGGGTCCTCGCGGTTACCCCGACCCCGGCTCGGGTTCGGCCCCGCAGGCGCTCCGGCTCGCCTCCCTGCCGCCTCTGCAGAGCCGGAGGAGGTGCGGCTGGAGTCGGGACCTGCGCGGGGAGGGGCCACCGGGAAGGGGGCGGCGGGGTGGAGCTGCGCGAAAAGGTGGGTTCGGCCGGGGCGGGGCCCTGGGGAAGCGACCCTGACGTGGCTGCTCCGGAGCCTGGCCCGACTAAGGGTCACTAACTCACTGGCCACGGAGGGCGGTGAGGGTGCGAGACATACAGGCACCCGCACATCCACATATCCATCCATCTCGATCCATCCATTCAATACATATTTATTTAGCATCTATTCTGTGCTAAACTGGGGAGTCAACCTGGTCCTACAGACTAGGAGAAGGCCGGCAATGAAACATTTTAATTAGATGTTCTCAGTGCCATAGAGTTCAGGGCACTATGGGAGTCCTGAACTAGTTAGGCTTCGTGGGTTTGTAGAAGGACAGAGGGTAGGGAGGACACCAGTTGTTGACTCTGCTCCACCCACCTTAAACCCCTATTCACTATCCCCTGTAGTTCTACTCAACGCACGCACGTGTATTGGGTTCTCACTTTTTAAAGCCAAGATGCACCCTGGGAATACAAATTGAATTAAGACAGGATCCCTGTCTTAACAGAAACTGAGTTAGGGACGCTAAGGACTCAACTACAGCATCAAGTAATGAACACGGTGGAAGGAGTGAAGAAATTCTACTCTTCACTTCCACCTAAAAGAAATCCAGGTATCTAGGACTGGTAGAGTGCTTATCTGGCGTGAGTTAATCTTTGGGTACAACCCCAAGTACCCCAAAAAGAACAGGGGGGAAAAGTTTCCGGAATCTAGAAAGATATTGTCTGTCTTCCACACCCTCCCCTTTCTTTTCTTCTGCTGGCATCCAGGTCCTCACACTTACTAAGCTAATAAGAGTCATACCCTCAGCCTCTAGAATTGTTTGAAGGAGGTAATATTTGCTTGAAGTTTGAATGAGACTCTTAAAAATCCCCCCCCCAATTCTTGCATATATTGTTCCAAAAATTGATGGAAATTTTATTCTGTCAACTGGCTCTGGAAGGTAGGTACAGGGAGAAAAGCCTGAGCAAAGGTACCCAGAGTGAACCCTCAAGGTATTCGTCCTCCATTTCCCCAACTCCAATTTTCCCAGGTGGCTAGATCACAGATATCGTTATCAGCATCCCTGAAAAAGAACTGACTGTGGTGTTCAGGAAAGATGATGGTCAACTGTATCATGCCGATCAGTATCTGAAATTTCTTATGAGCTGCTCCAAGGTGTGGCTCAATCTTCCATAGCTGGAAGCACCAGCTCCATGGGCTATGGCCATGGGCAGGTAGTTTGGAGTAGGTTTAGAACAGAGATTTGTAATTTGCATAGGCCTATAAAGCAGCTTCATTTGTTACTCAAAATTTTGTCAAAGGATAAGAATAGTTTTCTGGGAAGATTTTATCAGATTTAAAAAGGGTTTCATGGGGCTGGGATTGTGGCTCAGCGGTAGATCGCTCACCTAGCACAGGCAGGACCCGGTTAGATCCTCAGCACCACATAAAAATAAAGACATTGTGTTGTGTCCATCTACACCTAAAAAATAAATTAAAAAAAAAAAGAAAGAAGAGTGAAATTATAAAAAAAGGGTTTCTGATACCCCACTCCCCCAATAAAACAAGGTTATGAAACCATGACCCTAGGGCTCCAATTCTCTTAGACTAAGAGAACCGATGAGAAGTGGAGGAAGGTGCTAAAGCGCTTAAGAGAGATCCAGGCAGGCTTGGGTAGGTGGTTCCGCGGGAACCACAACTCCCAGCGACCCGTCGGGCAAAGCCTGAGCTTATTGGCCCGTGGGAAGGACTTTCTCCTAACGTGACGCATTCAAAAGCCAATCATTAGGGGAATTGAGGAGCCGACCAGGCCCACACTCACCTATCAGAGGGCCGGGGGCCGGTGCTTCCGGTAGCTGTCCAGGACTTCTCACTCACGGTCTTGCGAGGTGGGGCTGCCCGGGGAGATAGATTTTTCTATGGGGCAGTGAGACCAAAGGTACTTTGTCTCCTCTGCTTCCGGGCTTGGCGAGTGTGGGGAGGTAGGGGTGGGCTGTGAGGGAGTGGGACCGACGCTTGGTGGGCAAAGACGGGGAGGAGATCCCGGTGCGGCGAGAGGTGCGGAAGAACAGGGAGGGCCCCGTGTGAGGGGCTGGAGGAGGAGCACCGGGTTTAAACGAGTGAATATATTTCTTGTGGTTCGCGAATGATGTTTTTGAGACTGTCCTAAGGAAGTCTGGAATTTTTTTTTAAATGCTTTATGCATAAAGATCTTTATCACAGCGTTATATTTGTTTGTTTTTGGTACCGGGGATTGAACTCAGGGGCACATATCCCAGCCCTATTTTGTATTTTATTTAGAAACAGGATTCACTGAGTTGCTTAGCACCTCGCTGTTGCTGAGGCTGGCTTTGGACTCGCGATCCTCCTGCTTCAGTCTCCTGAGCTGCCGGGATTACCCAGGGCCTTACTTAAAAGCCACCGCGCCCGGCTCACAGCGTTATTTTTAGTAGGATAAAATTGGTGACGACCAGGGGTCTCCAGCGAGTACAGTCTGGGCGCGGTGGTGCACACCTGTAATCCCGGTGACTTGGAAGGCCAGGATCGCGTTGGCAATTTATCGAGACTCTGTGTCAAAATAAAAGTATAAAGGACCGGGCCTGTATGAAGCTCAGTGAAAAAAAGAGTGAATTCAACAAATCATGTACTTTCACAAAAAATATTTATAAAACTTTTAATAACATAGAAAAAAATAATATATAATCTTAAGTAAGAAAGATGTTATACAGAGTTGCACAGTGTTAAATAAAATTTTGTAGGAGCCATTGACGTGAACGAGACTCCTGCACTGGGCCCAATAGACCGAACTAGTTTAATCAAAGTAGCTGAGTTTTAGTTAATTGAGGGAGGCTCTGTAACCAATTTAGCTGTAATCAATTACGTTGTCTCTATACCTCATTTCCCTTTTCTATAAATGCTGTCATGATGTTCTAAGGATTTAGCAGAACCTGTTCTGGTTCTAGGGACTGACCATAATTTAATTTTTGTTCTGTTTATAGGAAATTTTTGTGGTGCTGGGGATTGAACCCAGCCAGGGCCTTGTGCATGAGAGGCAAGCACTCTACCAACTGAGCTGTATTGCAGCTCTGTTCTGTTTATAATTGCTCAAATAAACTTTTTTCTTTTTTCCTTTTTTTTTTTTAGTTCTGGGGATTGAACCCAGGGCCTTACTTAAACCAGGCAAAGCACTTTATCAGCTCTTTTCTATTTTGAGATGGGGTCTTGCTAAATTGCTAGGCTGGCCTTGAAGTTATTAGTCTCTTGTTTCAGCCACACATGTAGCTGGAAATACACTTAAGTTGTCTATAAGGAGTCATACCTTATAGATAGCACATATAATACTAAATTTATCATATATTTCACCCACTTCTCACCCCCCTCCCCACTACTGGAGTTTGAACCCAGTGACTCTATACTACTAAGCTACATCCCCAACCCTTTTTTATTTTTTTTAATTTTTATTTATTTATTTATTTTTAAAGAGAGAGAGAATTTTTTAATACTTATTTTTTAGTTATTGGCGGACCCAACATCTTTGTATGTGGTGCTAAGGATCGAACCTGGGCCGTGCGCATGCCAGGCTAGCGCGCTACCGCTTGAACTACATCCCCAGCCCGCCTTTTTTATTGTTTTGAGACAGGGTCTTGCCAGTTTGCCCAAGTTGTCTTCAAACTTGTGATCCTCCTGCCTCAGCCTCCTGAGTCACTTGAGATTAAAGGTGTATGCCACTGTGTCCTGCCTCTTCTCACTTTTGAAGCATTTCCTATCTTCTGTATCTTTGGTTAGTGGGTTCAGCATTTTCCAAGCTAAAAATCTGGATATTCTCCTTAGTTCTTTTCTCCTCTCATATGGTATCTGATATGATCTGTTTCCTCTGTTTTAGAAGCATCTCCTGAATCTGGCGCTCTTTCTCTACTGAAATTGCTACAAACTTGGTTCCCTTTCAGACTGTTGTGCCATTCCGACTATTTCATGGCTTCTTATGAAGCCTGTCTCTTTTTTCTCAGGTCCATCCTGCACATTGTCTTATGAATGTGTGCTGCTTCCCTCAGATTCCTCAGTCTGCCCTTTATGATCAAAGAGCTGAAGTTGGACAACTATATCCATATCAGATAGTATATGGCCTAAAATGCCTTGCTAATACATTTTGAGATAACTTTTTAATTTATTTTTTAATTAATTAAAAAAAGTTTTGGAGCCACCAGGTCCTTATGCATGCTAGTCAAGTGCTCTACCACTGAAGTGCATCCCTAGCCCTGGGAAGAACTTTCTTTTTTTTAAAAAAATATTTATTTTTTAGTTGTAGTTGGACACAACACCTTTATTTATTTTTATGTGGTGCTGAGGATTGAACCCAGGGCCTCGCACTTGCTAGGCAAGCGCTCTACCGCTGAGCCACAACCCCAGCCCATGGGAAGAACTTTCTATACACACTGAAGACTGTGGCAATTCTTCAAAAGTTTTTGAAGAAAAGAACAAAATATTCAGAGCTGTCCTTTCCCTCTTCCACCACTGAGCTACATCCCTAGCCTCTTTTTTTATTTTTACTTTTTAATTTTTGAGTCAGGGTCTTGCTAGGCTGGCCTTGAACTTTCTGTCCTACCACAGCCTCTGGAGAAGCTGGGATTACAGGCATGTACCCCAGTGCCCAGCAGAGTTATGCTTTGTAGAAAGATTAATCTGCCTGACAACACATAGCATTCAGGCTCTTTTGGAAAGAAGAGACTAGAATCAAGGACACTTTTCTTTGTTCTACCCTAATAAAAAGGGAAAGGTGGTCAGGTCCTGGTATAGCATAGGCAGAGAAAAGAATGGACCAGATTTTTAAATTTATTGTTAGGTTTCTGAGAAAAAAATGTCAAATATTTTCTTGTTATTAAAGATAAAGACAGTATAATTTATTTTTCCAAAAACTTCATTGAATTTATTATCATGTTTTCCCCGGTTTATTCACAAATTCTTTTCTTGTGCTACTCTGTCCACACACACTCTAATTACATTAGACTAAATTAGGTGGCCTAAAATATGTCAGATAAATTGCCTTTGATACATTTAGTCCATTAGGAATTTTTCTGTCCAGGAAAATGTATTATGCATTATTTATCAATAAAAGACTTTTAAAAATACATAAGTGGGTATTAGGGAAAACCATATATTACAGAAGACCAGTGGGATAGAGATTGCTGTTTTTGTCATTAGCAACGACAGGGGACTTATTTCTCCATTTAGCAAGCCACTGCAGAACCATTTAATCTGACATCATGTGTAGAAGCATAACAGACCAATTATTCTTAGTACAAGATCCTAAAAGCAAGCATGAAGCTAATAAAGAAGTATGAGAAGTCATTTACAGAAGAGTTAAAAGCAGATTACCAGGCTGTTTGGAAGAAAATTCATTTCTTTGGATTTAGAATCTGAAGACAGTTTCTCAAGTTCTGTCTTTGACACTGGCTGCTCAGTAGAACAGGCTGGAAGGATTCAGTGACAGGGATGGCACTGGTGGCTTGGTGAGAGTTGCTTTGGACGAGAAATTGGTAAAGGAGGGGATTAACAAGTGAGTGGTAGGGCTGGGGCTCAGTGGTAGAGCACTCACCTGGCACGCTTGAGGCACTGGGTTCAATCCTCAGCACCACATAAAAATAAAATAGAGGTATTGTGTCCACCTACAATTAAAAAAAGAAGAGGAGGAGGAGGAGAGTGGTAAAGAAATGACTTTTCCAAGTTAGATGATTCTTTGATGGAATTTCAAAATGTACTTGGCAATTTTTCACTCTTAAATTGAAGAATATTTATTTATTTTGCAAAAGTGAAAAAGGACTTTATGTGGGGTCTTAGGAATTGCAGTTGGGGAAATGCAGGTTTACTTAGCTATAAATCAGTGTTTCAAAGAAATTAAAGAATAACATTCTTTTTGGGGGTTGTGTGCCGGGGATTGAATTCAGGTACTGGGGGATTACACTCAACCACGGAGCCACATCCCCAGCCCTATTTTGTATTTTATTTAGAGATAGGGTCTCATTGAGTTGCTTAGTGCCTCGTCATTGCTGAAGTTGACTTTGAACTCGTGATCCTCCTGCCTCAGTCTCCCTAGCTGCTGGGATTATAGGCGTGTGCCACTGTACCCAGCAAGAATAACATTGTTTAAAGAAGAAATTTAAAAAAATATTTATTTCAAAGTGAATATTCATATTTTTAACTTATCCCAATAGTATTTCTTATTACTGACCTTATGTGTCATAAATATGTATGAACACATTCAAGTTCAAAGATCCTAGAATGATGGTTAGTAGAGGTTGAGATATTCAGCCTTCTAAAAGGTTGAAATCCCATTAATGCCAATGTAGCCTAAGTATAAATTCAATAATTGTTAACATTTTGTATATTTGTTTTATCTATCTATATAAAATTTTTTTCCTAAACCATTTGAAAGCATGTTCTACATATCTTGAAACTATCCCAAATACTTCAACGTGTATCCTCTAACACATTTAATAAAGATTAACAAGTCTACCGTCCCTTTTTTTTGTGTGTGTGGTGCTAAGGATTGAACTCGGAGCCTCACACATGCTGAGTTCGTGTTCTACTGCTGAGCTATATCCCTCGCTCACATATCTTCTTAATCATAATTCTTCAGTTGTAAAAATACATTTTTGGGGGACAGAAAATTTTATATCCTCAATTCAAAATCAAGCCAAAGTTTTTACATTGTGTTGTCTTAATTCAGCAGTCTCTCTTTTTAATTTTTGTTTTTATATTTTATTTTTTTGTAGTGCTAGGGATGGAACCCAGGGCCTCATTCATGCTAAGTAAATATTCTACCACTGTGCTGCCTCCCCAGCTCTCAGTAGTCTCTTAATTTACAACATTATTCCTGTCTTTTTATCCCCCTACAAGACTGACCTGGGTCCAAGTCAGTTATCTTAAATAGCCTATATTCTGGATTTTTAAAATTATTTTTTTCATGGTGTAACTTTCCTTCCTGATCATTTCAGATAACTTTTATCACAAAGGATGGAGTTGGGAAAAGGAAAACTGCTCAGGACTGGACTAAATGTGTTGTATCAAGCAATACACCCAAACCATGGCCTTGCCTGGACGGATGGGAATCAAGTATTTCTGACTGATTTACAGCTTCACAGTGGAGAAGCCAAGCTTGGGAACTCCAGAGTCATTGGACAATTTGAACATGTCTGTGGGCTATCGTGGGCCCAGTCAGCAGCAACAGCTGACATGCCCACTCTACTTGCTATCCAGCACAAGAAGCATGTCACTGTGTGGCAGCTGTGTCCCAGCACTGTGGGGTCAAGCAAATGGTTGGTGTCTCAGACCTCTGAAATTAGAGAATCACTTCCTCTCCTTCCCCAGGGCTGTGTGTGGCACCCTAAAAATGCTGTCCTGACTGTGATGACTTCACAGAATGTCTCTGTTTTCCCTGATGTTCACTGTGACAGTTCCCGGATAAAAGTGGACATCAACACTCAAGGCCGCATTCACTGTGCATGCTGGACCCAGGATGGCCAGAGGCTAGTGGTTGCAGTAGGCAGCAGCCTTCATTTTTTTATTTGGGATAGTCCTCAGAAGATTCTTCACAGGTCCTCCTTGTGTCCAGTGTTTGATGTGGACAGCTACATCTGTTCCATGAGAGCCACTGTGGACTCACAGGTTGCTATAGCTACAGAGCTTCCACTAGATAAGATCTGTAGCTTAAATGCATTGGAAACCTTTGATGTTCCACTTAGTGGTGAAGATACTCATCTGCCTACTTTTCCAGTTATTGATGAAATGCCTTCTGTGGATAAGGGGGAAATTGCTTCTGAATCAAATTCTGAAATATCAGTTTCTCCTTCCTTTTCAGAGCCCTTGGATCTAACTCATATACATTTCAACCAAGCTAGGTCTGAGGGGAATTCTCTTATTTGCTTAAGACAAAAGGACTACTTGACAGGAACTGGCCAGGATTCTTCACATTTGGTCCTTGTGACTTTTAAGGAAGAAGTTACCATGACCAGAAAAGTGACCATTCCAGGCATTTTGGTTCCTGATTTAATAGCATTTAATCTTAAAGCACAGGTAGTGGCAGTGGCTTCCAATACTTGTAATATAATTTTGATCTACTCTGTCATTTCATCTTCTATGCCAAACATCCAGCAAATTCATTTAGAGAGTAATGAAAGACCAAAAGGCATATGTTTTTTGGCAGACAAATTATTAATTTTGGTAGGAAAACAAAAGTCCACTGATTCAGCATTTCTTCCTTCTTCAGAGTCTGATCAGTATATCCTTCGTCTGATTGTTAGAGAAGTATTGTTGAAAGAAGAATCTTCAGCAACATCTAACAAAAGCCAGAGTGCTACTTCTATTTGCAGTGCTCTGTTAAATAGGAAAAAATTGATTAGAAGTCTTTCCTCAGATTTTTGCCACCAAAACAGAGGGCTTTTATTAACAGCTAATACTAATAGTCAGAATAAAAGGCCTGGAAGGCCCCTTATTAAAGAAATCAAAAGTCTCCCATCCAGTATCACTGATGATTCCATTGCCCTGGAAACACTCTCAAGGCCCAGCAGAACACCAGATCACTCCAGCACACCAAAACCTCCTGATGTGTTTCAAAAAGAGAACTTACAAAAGGAAAATGAAACTTACCAGCTACCTAAGGAACTGGGAATTTTATCTAGAAATCTGATTGAATTGCAACAGTATCTTTCTGAACTCATGGATTTTGTACATAATGGGAAGAAATCCTCTCCAGTGTATCCACTCTCTAAGGATCTCCCTTATGTTCACATCATTTACCAGGTAACTGCTCCTTTGAGGAGCTACCACTTTACATAAAAGCTGCTGCATCCAGTGCAAGAACTTTTAATGAAAAAGAGGTACTCTAACTGAACTTCACTAACCTGGGCATGTATATTACAAGCAAGGTGATAAACCTTTGCAGGTTAGCCTACCAAAGAGATAGGCACACATAACCAATATGTGCTGTGATTTTATCTTGTGTTTGGTGTGAAAAAATGAACGACTACACTTTGGCAATTTATATGTAGGAAAAAAATTGTTATTTTGTTAGGAAAACCTTTTCCTTTTACAGTGGAGACATACATATATTTAAAAATGTGGGATGGGGATATAGCTCAGTTGGTATAGAGTAGCTTGCCTTGCATGTACAAGGCCCTGGGTTCAATCCACAGCACCACCAAAAAATAAAAAATAAAATGTTTTGGATGCATCTATTCATACATATGCAAGTACATATTATTATTTAGGTGGGATTATATCATACATGTGGGTACTTTATTGTGGATACTTCTTTCCACATTGAATATGGCCCTAACCCATCCTCCCCATAATCCACTTTCACCAGCAGCTTAATGTGTATCCTTCCATGTTTTTCTTCATACTCATATAATCTAACACAGATATGTATATATATACATAGATATATACTGTATATGTGCAAGGGGTGGTTTGTCATTGTTTTGCAAAAATAGTCATATGGTGCACTCCATGCTGAGTATGCTATTTTTTTTTAAAACATGTACACAGAATTTTTCTGAAGAGTATATATAGATAACAAACACCTCAACCTCATTAGCCATTAGAGAAAAGCAAATTAAAATCAGAGTGGACTATCACTACACTTCAAGTTAGTTTTCTGAGACAAAAGAATTTATTTGTTGCTTAGCAATATAGAGTTTTGTCATTGAGTAAGTACAATAGCCTGTCTTGGTGGAAATTCAGTGTTTTGACTGGGTTTTATGTTGCTTTATATGATAAAAGCTAGATTGATTCTTAAAACCCAGAAGAATTTTATCAGGTTCTAATGGTCTCAGTTTCACATAGTGGGTGAAATCATATATGTTCAAGTCTTGGTGAAGTTTTCCTTAATATAATTCTTTTTTTTAGATTCTCTTCCAAGATTTGTTATATTCTCTGAATCTGAGATTTTATGCTTTTCGTTAGATCTCAGGAATTCTCAGAAATTGCCCCTGTACATTCAGCTATCCCCTTGTTGATCCACATTCACTTTGTTTTCCATCAAGGGCCACTCCAAACAGTGCTGAAACAGTGTATGTGTCCATTTGGTTTAGTACTTGTATTTATGTTGGATTGGTTCCCAGAAGTGGAGGTGTAAATTTGAAGACTATTTATGTTTCTGCTTTTGATAGAACTGCAAGATTGCCTTTTAGAGATTTTCTTTTAGGGGCTACAGTTGTGGCTCAGTGGTAGGTAGAGTGCTTGCCTAGCATATGTGAGGCCCTGGGTTTGATCCTCAGCACCACATAAAAATAAATAATAAAATAAAAATAAATCCAATCTAGGGACTGGGGTTGTAGCTCAGTGGTAGATCTCTTGCCTTGCATGAAGAGAGGCACTGGGTTCAAATCTCAGTACCACATAAGAATAAATAAATAAAGATATTGTACCCATCTACAACTAAAAAAAATATTTAAAAATAAATAAATCCAATTTAAATATATATTTTTTAAAATTTTCTTTTTTTAATATTTATTTTTTAGTTGTAGTTGGACATAATACCTTTATTTCACTTATTTATTTTTATGTGGTGCTGCAGATCGAACCTAGGGTTTCTCACGTGCGAGGCGAGTGCTCTACTGCTGAGCCACAACCCCAGCCCCAAAAGATTTTCTTTTAACTTTACAGTGCACTATCTCACACCCATCAGCAACATATGACTATCCTTTTCCTCACATCTCTCCAGTCTGATCAGTGTGAGGTGTTGTTTCACTTATTCATGATTAGTGAATTTAGTGTATTTTCATGTTTTTTTGCCAGTTGAATGTGAATTGCTTGTATTTATTTTCCTTATTAGATTTAATAGATATTTGCAGCATGTTGATAGTGAAATCAACATGTATAAGCAGCATATAAATTACTCTTTTAATATTGGTCAAAAAGAGGTATTTTAATTAGTGTTTACTTAATATTACTACTGTACCAACTCAAGGATATATGTTTTTCAAAGAATAGTTTAAAATTAAATTTTAAAAAATTATAGGTAGAATTTTAGGGACCTTATTTTCTGCATTACAAATTTTTGTTTTTTAAAATGTTGATTATATCTTCCTTTTATAATGACAAAAGTAAGACAAAAAAAGCAAAATAATGAAAAGCATAGGACAGTGTCTCTTATAATTTCAAATGTTACATTTCATGAATTAAATAATTAGCTGCTTAGGACTTTTACAGTTTATTCATGTGACTTTGTTTACAAATGTTATTAGTATACATTTTTTGAGTGGTTTGCCCTACCATAAATGGAGTATAATTTATCTTTTTAAGTTGAAATCACATTTCTTAGCATTCAGAAAATGAATTGTGAAAATTTTAACAAAATAAATTAGACACATAACTTACTTACAATACTATTCTTTAAATACTTGAATGAAGATATTATTTCAAGTAATACATAATTAGAAGTAATTTTTCTTTATTTTATGTTTTGTGATTATGCTTTTGGGCTCTTAATGTGTCTTAAGTTAGAGTGATAATTTTAAAATATTTTTTCATACTCTAGGTATATTTGAAACCATTTCTAAAGAAGATTAATTTGTAATGACTTTTTACATTTTAAAAATGATTTTCCTTTATACTTTTTCTAAGCTAAGTGAATTTTGACCACAGTTTGTTTTATTTGTACAAATGCTCAGATATTTTACCACTAGGTCAGTCTTTCTTTGCATTTTCTCCACTAAAGCAAGTGTGAAGTTTCTTAGTTCTTTCTAAAACAGGCAGGGAGTTGTTCCTCAGGATTGAATTGTTCTACTCTCCATCATCCTATAGTGTCATTGGTCACGTCCTAGGAAAGCCAGTTCCTAGAATTAGAGTTTAGAGAAAGAGGGAAAGTACCTTAGGGATTGTATTATGTTCTGATCCTGTAGTTACATTAAATAATGCAGCAAAACTAAGAATACAAACAACAATAAGTGTTGATGAGGATGTGGGGAAAAGGGCACACTCTCACATTGCTGGTGGGACTGCAAATTGGTGCAACCAATCTGGAAAACAGTATGGAGATTCCTTGGAAAACTGGGAATGGAACCACCATTGACCCAGCTATCCCACTTCTCAGTTTATACCCAAAGGACTTAAAAACAGCATACTATAGGGACACAGTCACATCAATGGTTATAGCAGCACAATTCACAATAGCTAAATTGTGGATCCAACCTAAATACCCTTCCATAGATAAGTGGATAAAGAAAATGTGGTGTATATACACAATGGAATATTACTCAGCATTAAAAGAGAATAAAATTATGGCGTTTGCCGGTAAATGTATGGAGTTGGAGAATATCATGCTAAGTAAAGTAAGCCAAACCCAAAGATCAAATGCCGAATGTTTTCTCTGATATAAGGAGGCTAATTCATAATGGGGATGGGGGGGGCAAGGGAGGAACAGATGAATTTTAGATAGGGCAAAGGAGAGGGAAGGGAAGGCAGGGGGCATGGGGGTAGGAAAGTTGGAATAAGACAGACATCATTCCCTGAGTACATGTATGGAAACATGAATAGTGAGACTATACTTTGTGTACAACCAGAGACATGAAAAATTGTACTCTATTTGTGTAATATGAATTGAATTGCATTCTGCTGTCATATGTAACAGAATACATAAAATAAATTTAAAAAAGAAATGAAAAGAAAAAGAGTACAGCAAGAGCTCCTTAAGATTTATAACTGAAGTATAGTTGATAGTGATAATAGACAAGGATTTTCAAAAACTGTTTTACATTCTGTTCTTAAGAAATGTTAGCCCCATTTCTATTCTTTTTTTCTTTTTTTAGTTGTCAGTAGAACTTTATTTTTATTTATTTATATGCAGTGCTGAGAATCAAATCCAGGGCCTCACATTGCTAGGCAAGCACTCTACCACTGAGCCACAACCCCAGCCCACCCATTTCTATTCTTAAGAAATGTTAGCCCTAGGGCTGGGGTTGTGGCTCAGGGGTAGAGCGCTGGCCTAGCACAAGCAAGGCACTGGGTTCTATCCTCAGCACCACACCAAATAAATTAAATACATTGTGTCCAACTACACCTAAAAAGAAAAAGAAATGTTAGCCCCACTGTTTTTGTAATAGTTTAGCAACATTTGTGTATTTGTTTATTTATTTGTTTATTTATTTATTTTGAAGAAACCTTGTTATATAGGTCCTGTTGAAAGAAGAGCAGTGCTTCTCTGCAATGGCAAGCTAAGGCTCAGTGCAATTCAGCAGATGTTTGGCCTCTCTCTCGTTGAAATGCTGCATGGTAGGTTAAATTCATAACACTCCTCCCTTTACCATCCGTTCTGTGGCTTCCACTGGTAACAGAAATGAGGTGTACCAATCATTCAGTAATTTGCTAGTTAATTAATATCATTAATTGCCTAGTGTATAGCCAGCCTATTAGAGATAACACATGAAAATATTGATTCTGCCCTTAGGAAACTTACAGCCTAGCTGGAAAATTTAAATGTACACATGATAAGACTAGAAAAGTTACAAAGCAATATATAACAATGAAAAGGAAATCACATAGCAATCTCACGTATACATATTGCACTAAAATGTAAAAAATCATAGCATTGCAGAGTATTTCTTAAAAGAAGTTGTTCTGATATGGAGCAGGCATGGAGACATGAAGGACACTCTCAGATGGTATTTGATTGAGTGATACCCACATTAATCAGATGTGGAGCATGATATGCCTCATTTTATTTTTCTTTTAAACATAATCTTAAATGTTTTAAAATGGCCAAATAAAACATCATGTCACAGAATACATATATTTACATTGATTTAAATGTCCCAAGCACAATATAGTAGATTTTATTTGTTCATATAAATTAAGATTTACCATTGCATAAACATAGGAGCAAATATTAGTCTGCTAGAACAAAGGTTTAAGAAGTTATTCAGACATTTTGATATTAACACTTCTATATTCTTGTTAGGCTTCATTCTTTTAACAGTAGCCAACACACTGAACATAGAATATCATTTTATTTTTTTCCTGTTTAACATTGTAGTATTAGCATTTTTCTGTTTTGGCATTTGCATTTATGGTGTAGCTTCATAAATCACTTTTTTTTTAAAGTTAGTAGATATTCTTTTTTTTTTTTTTTTTTAAGACAGAATGAGAGGGAGAGTGAGAGGGAGAGAGAGAATTTTAATATTTATTTTTTAGTTTTTGGCAGACACAACATCTTTGTATGTGGTGCTGAGGATCGAACCCGGGCCGCACGCATGCCAGGCAAGCGCGCTACTGCTTGAGCCACATCCCCAGCCCCATAAATCACTTTTAAAAATTGTTTTGCAGTATTAGGAATTGAACCTAGGGCCTTGCGTATGCTAGGTAAGCATTCTACCACTGAATTACATCCCAGCTCTTTGTTAAACTTTTGGAACAGGGTCTTGCTAAGTTGCCTAGACTTCTCTCCTGTCCCAGTCTTCCAAGTAGCTGGGATTTTGGTCATGTATCACCATGTCCAGCTCATGATTCTCATTTTTAATGGGTAAGTTCATATTCCATTCTGAGCTGTTCTGTATCTTATTTTGTGATGTATTCTTTGACCCAGTTAGGTGGTTTTCAACTTTTCACCATTATAAATAACACTAAGAAAACCCTCTCTGCATATTTTATGTTATTCTTGGAAGTATAGATTTTCAGAAGTGAAATCACAGGGTCAAAAGGTGAGACACATTAGACTTAAAGGAACCAGAAAAGGTCCAAGCATGTGTTGTGGTCCCTAGGTTACCCCTGAAACAAACCATTCAGGATTATCTGGGCAACTATATTCTAGCTAGTCATTTCAATCTCCTTGAATGTCTACAGGTTATTATGGATCTACAAAATAATGAATGTTCCTCCATAGATTAACTGCTTCTCAGATTCAGATAGTTTCTTGAGAAACTGGTGAACAGCACATAGATAAGGGAGAAAACTTCTACATACAACCCTTAATGTATGTGCATACACAAACTTGTATATATAGCACTGGGTGATAAATGCCTGGCCTGGGTGAAAGTGTATGTCCTTTAACTCTACCTAAGTGACCAGCTTTGGATGACCATAAGTCATTGACATCCTCTTCCTGCCATGTAACCTGACCCTCAGTCCTTTTAGCCCACCATTCTCTGTAAAATCCTATGATGATAAGGCTTGATATCAACTACTGTATTCCACTAAAAAAAAAAAAAAAACACCTTATTTGTTGTCATCATTCTCATTATAGAATTAGATATCCTAAATTGTCTTTGTTTATTTTACTTCACAGATTCCCACTGGATTCTTCTCTCTGCTGATAGTGAGGGCTTCATCCCATTAACTTTCACAGCCACCCAGGTAATCATCGTGAGAGATGGCATCCTGTCCAGGTCAGATGTCTCCAGGGACCCTCTTTCTCACAGTCAGGATCCTCTTCCTTCACCTGAAGTCTTTGGAGACCTTATTGCCCAGGGTTTACATACCACTGGCTGTTCTAATCATTTAGATGGCGTGGCCTGATATCTGTTTGCAGACTATTTGTTAGCTTTTCAAATGAGATCATGACAAGCAAGGTCGTTTTTGCACTGTGGACTCTCACTGGTGAGATTTGTACTGTCACTCAGGTGAGGCATTGCCATGGCTAGCTCTGCCACCTTTCTGCTTTTTCCTCTGGGCGGAGGTACTCTGCTTGATAGCAGAGCTTAGTCATTGTTAGATGGCTCAGAAAGTGGTTGTTTATGTATTCATGACTATGGTTTTGCCTAAGGGCAGAATTCCCAGAACAAAACAATACTATGGTGCCATGTGGATTGTTTTGTGGTTTATCTGAGGCTTTGTGTCCCTTGCCCAAAGGAGTGTTAAAACTGTCTTAGGAGCACTTACAGTATACTTCAGTGCTGTTACAGTCTTTTTCTTGGTTTAGAGATGAGGGTGAGGAGTGCCACTGGAGAGCAGATGCTCCAATGTGTCCTTTTTAACCTAAACCCAGCAGGAATCAGCAGAGTGCAAAGGAAGCCAAAAAACTGGTTTTTGCTCCCAGGGCTGCCTGCAAAAGGAGGTTATACTGGCATTGGCCTTACCTTCTGGGGTTTAAACCTAACCTTCTTGCTACCCTAAACAATTCTGACTGGCAAAGGCCCAGATACTGCTAAACACTGACCCTAGGCAACTTTTTAATGGAATTTTAAGCAATTTGACTCCTGAAGGGTCCTTCTGAACTTGGGCTGATGCTACTAGTACGGTACCAAGCACAGGCAAGGCCTAATACTTGTCACCATTCTTTTGTGTTTGTGTACAGGTGAGGTGCTGGGGACCAAACCCAAAGCCTTGAACTTGCTAGGCAAGTCCTATACCACTGAAACACACCCCAGCTCAACTTGTCACTTTGATTTTGATATCTTTCTTTTTTTTCCTTTAAAGTGTTAGAAACTAGCCTAGATGCTGAAAGTATTTCAGACAGTTGAAAATTTCACTGAGAATCTGAGATTGTTCTAAAAAGTACCAGTTTATTAGACTTATAGGTGAAGTACCAGCTTTGTATAGTGGAAAGAGCCTGAATCCCTTCGGATGGATGTACCACTTTTCACTCTCTTCAGACAGAATCACAGATTGCAGGCATCTCAGCAGAGCACATTGATCAAGGTGTGGCAAGACAGAGCACATCTGCAGATAAGTTGTTTCAGCTAGAGAAGCTCCATTAGCGCATACATGGTTTCCCTCTTTTCCTTTAAAATTATTTAGAAAGAAAATATTTTGTGCCCTTGGGGACTCCTGTCTGTCTGTTACCATTTATTTAGATGGAGCTGGACAGGAAAGAAGCAAGGGTCCATTTTGTGGTTCACATGCATTAGACAGCTGCTGGGATAATGGAAGGAGAGGCCACTTGTCTGTAATCAGCAGCCTGAGAGTAGTGGCTCAGGACTGACTTGAGGCCTGGCTGCATTTGCAAAGGAGGTATCTGGGGTGTGATGAAATCACAATTATTAGAAAATCTAAAGAGGGGGACTAAGGAACCCCCGGATAAGATCAGTATGAATGCCTCAGGTGTGTGTTATAATTACCATTTCTTGGCAGAGTCTTCTTGGTCTTCAATAAAGTCACTAATTGTGTTTGTGGCTGTTTTGGTATTTTCTTTGCAGTTGTTAATGGTATAGAGAAATGTTCTTGATTTTACATATGTGTATGTTGTTTTTGTGTTTCTGCTTCTTGTAAATATAGTCCAGAATATAAATTATATCTTTAAAACATCTGAATCCATGACAACTCTTATACAAAAGATGTTTCCTTGGCCTCTGCTATTAGTGTAGTCATTGGAACAATAGAAAACAACCCAATATTTGTTGGCTCTGGTGTTAGGGGAAGAAGAGCTAAATCCTTTAAATTGTTTTTGAATGTTACATTGAAAATATTTTGCAAGAAAAATGGTATTTACAAATTACATTTTATACCCAAATTTTCTCAATTTTTGAATGGGTATTATTTAATTCTTGCAATTATATACAGAATAGGGTAACTTATAATTAAAGAGCCCACTACCTAATTTAAGAACCAGAACATTACCAGAAACCATTTAAGCCCCCATGTCCTTCCTTAATCCTGACTCCATAGCACCAGAGGTAACTAATGTCTTTTGCGTGTGTGTGTGTGTGTGTGTATGTATGTATGTATGTGGTGCTAGGTATTGAACTCAGGGCCTCATTCATGCTACATAAGCACTCCACCACTGAACTACTTACCTAAACTATTTTGAAAAATTAGAGACAAACTCTTGCAAAATTGTCCAAGCTGGCCTTGAAACTGCAATCCTCCTGCCTTAGTGTTTTATTTTATTTTATTTTTTCATATATTTTTTTTCAGTTGTTGATGGACCTTTATTTCATTTACTTACTTATATGTGGTGCTAAGAATCAAACCCAGTGGCTCACACATGCAAGGCAAGTGTTCTGCCACCGAGCCACACACCCAGCCCTGCCTTAGTCTTGTGAGTAGCTGGGGTTGCAGGTATGCTTCACTGTGCCCAGCTATCACTAACATCTTGATGGTTGAAATGATCATTTCTTCATTCATAAAAAGGAGTTTCACCACCATATATTACGCATTGGCCTAAAAATATAATGTTTATTTTTCCTTGGTTTTGAGTTTTATACAAATAGTATCATATTGTATGTAGTCTTCTTTGAATTGCCTTTTTTCATTCAACATTATTTCTAAGATTCAGTCTTATTATGTGTTTGGTATCTTTCACTGTTTAGAGTTGCCACAATTTATCCATATTCCCATCATGGACATTTGATCCCTGGTTTTATTTTTGAAATTTAAGTCATATTGCTTTGAATATTATTGTAAATATATCCTTAAGCAAGTGTTTGAAGTCGTTCTAGTGTCTTTTATCTAGAAATAGAGTTGGAATCACAAAAGTATGTAAATTTAACTCTGATTTTTTAATTAGAGTTTTTTTAACTTTGTTTTTGTGGTACTAGGGGTTGAACCCAGGGATGCTGTACCACTGAGCTTCATCACCAGCCCTTTCTTATTTTTTTTTAATTTTTTAATAATTTTTAAATATTAAATATAGTTGTAGATGGACACAATACCTTTATTTTATTTATTTTTATGTGGTGCTGAGGATCAAACCCAGTACCTCACATGTGCTAGGCAGGTGTTCTACTACTGAGCCACAACTTTAGCCCCTCTGTTTTTCATTTTAATACAGGTTATCACTAAGTTACCCAGGCTGGGCTCAATGTGGCTTAATTTTTGATAGCCTAGTAATTTTTTTTTAATTTTTAAAAAAAATATTTATTTTTTAGAAGTAGTTGAACACAATACCTTCATTTTATTTATTTTTTAATGTGGTGCTGAGGATAGAACCCAGTGCCTCGTGCATGCTAGGTGAGCATTCTACCACTGAGCCACAACCCCAGTATAGCCTACTAATTTTAAATGGTATCTTACTATGATCCTAATTTTTTCTTACACACCAGAGATGATCTAGATATTTTATTAGCCATTCAAGTTTTTTGTTTTACAAAATGCCTATTCATGTCTTTTGCTCAAATTTTTGTTATCTTTTTCATGTTCTAAGGACTTTTGTTGTTGTTGTTTTATGTATACATAATGGAGTTTACTTAGCCATAAAGAAATGTGAAATGATGTCATTTATTGGTAAATGGATGGAACTGGGGAACATCATGCTAAGTGAAATAATCCAGATCCAGAAAGTCAAAGAGCAAATGTTTTTTTCATTTGTGAATGGGTTTCAGAGGATCCGTCCACTGTCAGCTGACTCCATAGCTGTGGGCCTGGAGTGAGGCAGAACATCATGGTCAGAGGGCCTGGCAGAGGAAAGCAGCCCAAGACATTACAGCCAGGAAGCAAAGAGAGTGTGCGTATGCAAGCAAGGTTCTTTTTTATTATTTATTTACATTTAAAAATATTATTTTTAGTTGTAGATGGACACAATACCTTTATTTTATTTATTTTTATGTAGTTCTGAGGATTGAACCCTGTACCTCACATGTGCTAGGCAAGCGCTGTACCACTGGAGCCACAACCCCAGCCTCAAAGCAGGGATTCTTAACAGATTCTAGATGTCATTAATATTTGTTGCCAGTTATCTTTGTCCATTTTCTTTCTTTATGGTATTTTTTGAACATTTAATTTTTTTTATAACCCATAAGTTTTTATTTATTTATTTATTTATTTTTAATTTATTTTTATTTATATAAAACAGCGGAATGCATTACAATTCTTAATTTTAATGAAGTCCTGTTTATCTTTCTTTTTATGGGAATTTTATCTTTCATATTTATGTCTTTAATCAGTATTCTGCTGTTTTCTTCTAGTAATTCCTTATCTTATAAATCTTAAATCCATTATGAGTGGATTTTTTTTTTTTTTTTTTTTTGAGGTACTGGGGATTAAACCCAGGAGCATTCTACCACTGAGTTCCATCCTCAGCCCTCTTTTTTATTTTTTGAGGCAGGGTCTCACTAAGTTGCTGGTGTTGAACTTGTGGTCCTCCTGCCTCAGGCTCCAGAGTGGCTAGTTTCTGTGTCTTCAGATGTCCACTGGAGCCTCAGAACTAAAGAGTCTGTGTGTCTGTCCTTCTGTTGGAATTTTGCCATCTAATCAGCTTGGTTGGGCCTAGTATTACCGTAGAGAGTTGTAGGCCAGGCTGGATAGGGCTTCTTTTTTCCAGTAATAGTTGCTATCAGGATACTTTTTACATCAAAGGCTGCCTGGGGCTGGGTAGTCAGAGGTGCAGACCTATGTGAGAGAGTCTGGTTGACAGGTGAGAGATGCCATGTTGGGATTTTGAAGCCCAGATCAGTCCCTTTGGGAGACTCAGGGAAGATTTACTGAAGACTCCACACACCAGCAAATGTTGTGGGCTCAACTGCTAGGTAGGTGCTCAAGGGCTGAGTCGGGAGAGGGACTTAAGACCTCTAAAACACAGGTTCCTGCTGTCCCAGCTCATGGGAAGTTCTCTCACACTTCCTTTTCTGGTTCTGGGATTGAATCCCGGGGGTGCTCTACCACTTGCTATACCCCTGGCCCTTTTAAAATTTTTTATTTTGAGACAGGGTCTTCCTGAGTTGCTCAGACTGGCATCAAACTTGTGATCTTCTTGCCTCAAGACTCCTGGGGTTGCTGGGATTACAGGTGTGTGTCCTTCAAATTTTAAGCAAGGCTGTAGCTGGTCCTCCTGTAGAAGGGGAAAGACAAGGAGAAAGATGAGGATGAGGTGAGCCTCTGCCCTGCCACAGAGCCTCCTGGAAGTTTGAGTGGCAGTTCCTTATCTTCTAAGCAACCTCCCTTTTCACAGCCCCCTTGAAGCTGCCACCCTTTTCCTCCATCTCCCACCAAACATTTCCCTGCCTGGCTGGCACTGCCTGGGTGAGGTGCATGATCTAAGTAGTACTCTTTTTTTTTTTTTTTTTTTTTTTTAAGTTGTAGATGGACACAATGCCTTTATTTTATGTGGTGCTGAGGTTCAAACCCAGTGCCTCACTCTACCACTGAGCCACAACCTCAGTCTTCAGTATTACTCTTTTGAATAGTCCAAGGACACCAACACTGAGCCGTGAGGAGCAGATGATGCCACTTACTGCCACCCTGTGTGGTGCTGTGTGTGGACACTTGCCCATGTGCTTTAAGTGTAGGATATCTGCTTGCTAATGAGTCTGCTGGGCTGGACGTGGTGATATGGTTCGTGCATTCCCTGAGTACCTACTTGGCCTCAGGTCGTATTCCTCTCCTGGGGTACAAAAATGGATAGAACAATAGTCCCGGCCTTCAAGACCCACACATTTTTCTGGGAAGACCAGACAGTGAGCAGACCTTCCCCGTGCAGTGGGATTGTGCTCTGGCAGGGGAGGACAGGCTGGGAGGACTGCTCCATGCAACCATGGGAAGGAAGCACAAGAGACTTTTGGGTTTGGCTTTAGGGTGGATGTTGGTGCCATTCACTGAGACAGATGCAGGAGGAGTTGAGGGGAAGAAGAGAGTTAAGTTTAGGGCCCACTGAGCCTGATTGTCATGCTGTGGGATAGCAGGTACACATGTCCAAATGAGTGAAATATGTGGATGTGGAACTTGAAGTTCAAAGTAGAGGGCAGCTTTAGGAGCCACCAAGTATGAGGTGCTCTAGGTCACTCAAGTAGATGAGGTATGGGGGGGATGGGAAACAAAAGAATAGGGGATCAAAGAGGGAACCCTCACATACCCCCATCTACTAGATAGTCTTAGGAACAGCAGAAAGGGCGCCAGAGACCGAGGGTGGTGATGCAGGCCTATAATCCCAGTGGTTCAGGAGGCCGAGGCAAGAGGATTGTGAGTTCAAAGCCAGCATCAGCAAAAGCCAGGCACTAAGCAACTCAGTAAGACCCTGTCTCTAATAAAATACAAAATAGGGCTGGGGATATAGCTCAGTGACCAAGTGCCCCTGAGTTTAATCCCTAGTACCCCCACTCCAAAAAAAGAAAGAAAAGGCAAAAAAATAAAAAATAAAAAGAGACCGGAGTAGAAGAAAATAGAGGACCAAATGGTGTCACTGAAGCTGAGTCTTCTAAAGGCAGAACAGCTCAGCTGAGTGGCACAGCAGATCTGTAGGCTGATGTTAGGTCATTAGTGTGTCTCCCTGTCTGTTTTGATCAGTGTACCCGGGCTTCCTACCTCCGAAGGCTTAGCTGGAGGGAGGTGTCCTGACTTGGCACCTTGGGAGTGGGGCCAACCATGAGGATGCACAGACCAGCCAGGATCATGCAGGTGGGCACAGCACCGATGAGGACTTTGAGGGTGACCACTACTTCCTCTGCCTGCTTGCAGGCTCCTGCCTTATATCCTGCAAACCTGGAGAAATACCACCCCACCCCAACAGTCATATCCTTCAGAGCCTGGGTGAGGGGCTCACAGATACCCACCCCCACACTCTCCTGAAATGTGACTTAATATTTCCTGGCCAGATCAGCCTAATGGTGGAGGAGGGAATGTCGAGGAGAGCAGGAATGAGTGCCAAAGGAGCCGTGAAGACTGGCAGCAGGGGCTTGGGAGGTGGTACAGACTCTAAGAAAGGCTCCAAGTCATGTGCACCAGGTTCCCCACACTCTCTATGGGTGGCCCCTAGTTGGGAAGAGAGGGGGATTTGCCCTCTTCCCACTGTTTTTTTGTGCCTCTGGTATACCCAGCCCTGGACTGACTGCAGACTGAGGGTGGAGATGCCCAGGGCGCCAGCGCCTGAAAGTTTGGTGAAGAAAACATAGGATGCATAGAAGATGGTCTCCAGGCCAGGGCCGTGCCGGTGCTGCAGCTGGAAATCATCCACCACATCTGGCAGAATGGACCTGGGAACAGGTGCATGGAGTTAGCACTCTTCATACCCTTGACAGCCAGCAGCCTGTGGGCTCTCTGGAGACAAATGTGTCAGTCTTCTGTGCTCAAAACCAGGACAGACCCCCAGAGAGCCAGCAGTTTGTGTTCTTGTATTCCCCACCCCCACCATTCTCGCCATTGGTGCCCTTTAGGAGGATTCTAAGGAGGGAGCTTGTGGCCTTTATCTCCTGCTCAGGGTGGACCCAAGACAGCAGGTTGGTCCAAAGGAATGGATATCCCCCCTTCCCTTCACCCAGCCTACCATGGTAGCAGCAAGGACACAGCAGTGCTCACACCAGAGACAAAGGCCACAACATATGCCACAGGTGCTGTGGGTACAGCAGCCAGTAAGATTGCAAAAGGCACCATCATCTGGGGAGACAGACACACAGGCTGGTCCCTCCACCCACTCCCTGGGCTTGTTCTTTCATTCCCACACTCACTGCTCTTTGAGCTCTGGGCCTGGTCAGCAGACACAAAGTCCAGACACAGATTGAGCCCTGCTGGCTTCAGGAGACCCAGGCACCCCTAGCCTTCCTTCTCACTCACAAAGATCCCGAAGGCTGGTGTCCTCTTCCCAAATCGCTGGAGAACCCACTCCCACAAGGGGGTGCTCAGCACAGCTGAGACCTGTGGCAAACAGCAGCATCACAGCAAGGCCCTGCAGCCAGCACTCGACCCAGCACCTCAAAGCCCAGCCATGACCTTGCCCCTGGTTTGAATTAGCAGCTATTAACCTCGACTCTGCTCCCAGTTCCACCCTCTACTGTAGGTGACTAAGATCAAAGTCAACTACAGAATGTTGACCGTTAGAACACTGGCCACACATCCCCAGCTCAGGGCCTTAGGTGCCCTGGCCTTCACCACCTAGGTCCCCTCACCAGGATGATGAGCACCAAGTTTTGGACGTGGTCTTGGAGCCGGGAGGCATGAGTACAGAACAGGACCAGGTAGCTCTGCTCCACCTGAGGAGGTGAACGGGAGGTGGGCATATACAGGGAATGGCAGAAACTCAGAAATCAGGGGCAGGGACAGGGTCTCAAGTCTGGCCTCTTTGGGATCCTGAGCTCAGGTCACTGTCAGCATCATGCAGTCACCCCACAAAGGATGCTTTTCCCCAATAGACAGAAGCACTATTCCTAGTTCATCATCACCCCCTGCACAGCTAAGACCAGTTGGACTTGACTAAACTTCAGGTAACATAAGAGGAAACCACCCCAGACACTGTCAACTTCCTAGGGCTTAAGGCCCCCAATTTCCCCACCTGACTCTTTTCCCAGCACATTTCTCTGAGCCGAAGACCCACTCCAGGTTCCCCCCTACAAAACTCAAGCCGAAAGACTGAACTCTGGACCTATGCAAGAGAGGGGATCAGGTGGCCAGAGATACCTGAACAGCAGTTGAGATGAACAGGAAGGAGACCACTAGCTTCAGATAGGGTGGGTGCCGGGCAGTGAGGCCCATCCCAGCCAGGAAGCCCAGGCCTTGGCCTGAAGCAGAGGCAGAAGGATCTGCAACACAGGAAGGTGACATCTTGGCTTGGTAGGATTCAACACCAAAACCCACCCCCAAGAGGAGTCCTGCTTCCAGTTCTGGCCTCCCATTTCCTTGCAGCGCCTCCATACCTGGCTGCTCCTTCACCCCTAGGCAGAGCAAACCGCTGCAAACGTGGTAAGTCACCACCACCACAGCGGCTGCAATGGAGTAGAGACGAGTCTGTGGGACAGGACAGAACTGGGCTGGGGGTGATGTCTCCAACGCAGGGAGGTAGGGCCGAAGTACCTCCCAATGGAGCAGAGGAACCCTCAGCTCAAGCCCCAGGTGCTGGGTCCCTCTCTTCCATATCACTCAGAGGTAGGTCTAAGGGCCCAGAATGGTCCCTCACACACATCCAGTTCTGCTGACCCTGTGCTTCCTGCCTGGAAAGGAGGCATTGATGCCACCAGGGGTCAGAGCATTCACTTTCTCATTTCACTTAGCAAACATACATTGCCACTGACGTCTGCATGCTAGACCCTGAGGTTATGATGATGAATAAGTGACCTGGCCCATCCATGATAAGGGACTGGGTATGTGACAGATCCGTGGGCAGACATTTATAGCAGTGTGACACACAATGACCCAGATGAACAAAACAGAACAGTACTACCTGTTCAGGGGAGATACATATGTAATAAAAATTGCCCTGGAAGGGGAGGGCAGGATAGCTCTCTCAGGTGCAGTGCATACAGTTCAGCAGGGTGCTGTGCTTGGAGTTTAATGCTCTTTTGTCATGGTCTTGAAAAGCTTGATAATTAAATTTTTTTTTTTGTAATTGTAGATGGACAGATGCCTTTATTTTATTTATTTTTATGTGGTGCTAAAGATTGAACCCAGTGCCTCACACATTAGGCAAGTGCTAGGCAAGCACTCTGCCACTAAGCTATAGCCCCAGCCTGAAAGCTTGATAATTTTATCTGTGAATTTGTATTGATAAGTGAAGTCTGATGGGACAACAGAATGTGAGCTACCAAGGGTTTTGGCCTCTGCTAACATGAGCATCCACCTCTGCAGATGGGTTCTCAGCCTGTTGCTCTTACTCCTTGTAGATAGGAAATACTAATTTAAAAGCAAACAAAAATACCAACATGAAAGGGTTTATAGAATATAAAGAGGAGGCCCACAGCCAAGCCTGAGGAGGGGTGGGCTGTACCTAATCCTGAGGACAAGGGCTACCCATATTCAAACTCTGAAAATGTTCCTTGATGGGAGGCTGAGGTAGGAGGATCTCAAGTTCAAGGACAGCCACAGTAACTTAGTGAGGCCCTAACACAAAATAAAAAAGGGCTGGGAATGTGGCCCCCAGGTTCAATCCCCAGTACCAAAAAAAAAAGAACAAGAAAATGTCCCCTGACTCTGCTGCTGGGGCCAGTGGGGGCCTGGAGGCTATGTAGGAGGCTGATGTAGTAGCTGGGGTGGGGATGATGGGGACCTGGCCAGTGAATGGCAGGGCAATGTATGCAAGCTGAACAGCTTCTAGGTTTGTGGTTGGAAAAGCAGACAGAGTTTGTAGTAGTTTGGATGGTTCAGAGGGAGGAGTAAAAGGTATGCTCAGGGTTCTGGAGGATAACAGTGTCATTTGCTTAAGGAAAAAGGGAAGACATAGAAGATAAACGTGATGGATAAAATAGATGTGCATCCCCTAATTGCTGAGGAAGGACCTACTCTAAGGGGAGAGGAAGAAGCTTGTTCCCTGTTTCCACTTCTCGCTTCACACTGGGGTCAGCTGGTTGGGGTTGGGGCTGGGAAAGGGCCATAGGAGGACCATGAAAGCACAACAAACTTTTCTGCCCCCTCCCTGCTGTACACTTCCTGCCCCTTCCTGGTGTGCCCCCTCAACGGTCCTTTCTCTGGTGGTAGCCTCCTCCCTCCAGGTGGCCTGCTGACCCACTGTTTTGTTTTATGATGAGCAAGAACCCAGGGTTTAGCAGAGGGCAGTGGGCCTGCACTTGGGACTCATGCACTTAGCTAGGGGAGCAGGGAAGGAACGAGGGTGCAGTGAGCCCCCTGCCTCAAAGATGAAGAGACAAGGTGTGGGGAGAAGTAGCCCTGGAGGAAGGAGGTAACTCTGCAGAGGGGGTCCTGGCCACCTTGGACACTCACGGCATCCGGGGAGATAGCAGCAGGCACTGGGAGCTCAGTGTCCACACAGTGGTTGGACCGGTGGGCACCAGACACAATGAACCCATGGACAGTGGCTCCCATCAGTGTCCCCACCATCTCCATGGTCATCCCTGGAGACAGAGCATGTGCAAGGTGAGTGAGCCAGTAGCAGTGTCCCAGGGCTTCGTCCTCACCCAACCCCAGGACTGCACTTACGGTATGCGGTAGCAGAATCCCGCTCCGTGGGACTGGGGGTGAGGAGCATAGTGAGCGCTGTGTAGGGCACCTGGAAGAACTGGGGAGGCCGGCAGAGCTCAAGATGGCCCTCACCATGCAGATCACCAAGTAGAAATCCCACTTTGCCACACAAAGGCCCACAGCCATCCTGTCCCATCCTGGTACCCAGGAATCAATCTGCTATATGCATGCTGGTTACCTAAGCTCAGAGATGGGGGCTCAAAAGCAGGAGAGGGCACCTGACCCAAATAGGGACAGCAAAGCTAATTTTAAGTGTCTAGGCACTGGTGGGGAGGTGAGAGCAGTGTGGTCCCCAAGCCCCCAGTCCCAGTATTGGCCACAGCAGTGAGGTTTCTCAGAACCAGGGCAGGAAGGGAGGACACCTGCTTACCGTGGCCATAGCCTGGAACAGGCAGTAGAAGGTGGTGTACCAGAGGCCACGCAGGCTGGTGAAGGGGGGCAGGAACCACAGGAAGAAGTAGGCCAGGGCGATGAAGGGTATGCAGCCGAGCATCCTAAAAAGCACACAGTGAAGCACCTGCAGCACCAGGATGGGGACACCCTTCTCAGCCCCTGGGGTTGCCCTGGGCTGGGGCTCTCAGGGTGGGAGCCATGGAGAGGGAAGCAAGGAGTAGAGTGGAGAGTTGGGGACGGGGCATTCACTGCCAGGACTCTGACTGGGGCACGTGGGTGCTCCGTGGTGCCAGTCCCAGTTTAAGAGCACTGGGGCACAAGCCAGTTGCACTTCCTCTGAGACCTTCCCTGGCTTCCAGCCTAGCCTGACCACACTGAGCCACAGGCCAGGTCTGGGATCCTGAAGAGACTTGTCTAGTCCTATGCCCTCTGCTAAGGAACAGTCCCCAAGAATGTCTCTGAACATGGCACACAGGCTGACCCCAGTGTACCAAACAGTCCAGTCTCATCCTCTAACCATTGGCAGGGTGTCCACTAACAAGCTGTGACCAATAGTGACCTCAAAGACAGGGGTAGGTGCCTGGATCCTAAAAACCAAAGGGCTGCTCACCAGGGCATAAGTCGTCCAGACCCTCTCCTCCTGCTTCTGTTGATGAAGAATCCAGCTACAGGGTCGGCAGCTGCCCCAGACACCTTCCCTCCAAACAGGACAAGTGACACGTAGGCAGCAGGAATCTGAAATCCATAGGGGAGGGGATTAAGAGCCAAGACCCAATAGAGCCAGAGAAGGTATCCAGGCTTGTCGGTCAGCAAGAAGGGGGACCTGGGAACATGTGGGGCTAAAGCCACAGTGGAAAATGCTGCTCAATGACCTCCTGCCCAAGAAACCAATCCAGAAACTTCCAAAGGTACATCTGTGCTAGTGAAAAGGGTTGGGGAAGGAGCTGATTCCTGTGCATTGGCACTTTGCCATTATTACTGGGTCCAGTCACTTTTGGACAAAACTTGAGGTGCCCTCACCTGGGGGTGGCTCCAAGCAAGAACGGTGCACCTAGGGTGATAGAGGTAGCCATTTTTCCACAATAAAAATGTTTGTTTTTCTAACTATATAAATGATGCAGTCTTTAGAAGAACATTCAAGTAATCCACACATTAAGCAAAATGCATCTGAAATCCCATCATCTTGAGACAATTGCTAAAAGCATTTTGAAAATCATCCTTTCATGCATTTATGTGCACCTGAAGTTATAAATTTTATCTAAATGGGATCAGATCTGTGTCATTTTAAAACATCATGAGTACCTTGTTTTTTTTAAAAAAGTTGTTCTTGCTTACCTTTTATCTTGCACCATTCCACCCTACAGCCAACATGAACAACCCGGTGCATATCCTTTTATAATTTTCTCTGCACTATTTTAATCACATACTGACACATGTATACTTATGCACACATGCGGTGCACATCTTTGTTTTGCTAAAATGGAGCCATTTTATATACTCTACAACTAGCTTTTCATTTTTGACAGTGAATCATGAAGTCCCTCCATGTCAACTGGTATAGATCTCTCTTTTGAATGGCTGCAAGCACAATAGTCTATTTTGTGGATTAATACCACTTACTTATCTAAGTAAGTGGCTTATATATTGTTGGGCATCCAACAATGTTTCTTATTTTAGCATTATAAACAGACTGCAGTAAACATCCTTGGGAGATTCACTAAATAGCATTTGGCTTTTTGTTAGGTTTGGATCAAAGGACTGTCATCAAGGATGGGAGGGTGAAAGACAGGTGGGGATGAAAGACCAGACACCAAGGGGCCCCAGGCTACTGCCCACACTCACCTGTGCCACATCAAGCAGGAACAGCTGTAGGTAAAAGGCTATGGCGCTGGAAGCTACCTGGTTGGGGATCCCACCAAAGCCATAGCACACCTTCGTACAGAATGAGAGACGACCAGTTCTGCTGACCTGAGGAGACACAGTAAGTCATCCCTACCCAATCTGCGAGTCATAAAACATCTCCCCAAGCCCCCGTGACTTCCATGGGCATCCTTGAGTCCCTATGGTGTTTTTTAAAAAATATCTTATTTTTATGTGGTGCTGAGGATTGAACCCACTGCCTTACACATGCAAGCAAGCATTTTACCACTAAGCCCTAGCCCCCTATGAGGTTTTGATGGTGTTTCTAGCAACCTCTTAGCTCCATCTTGTCCCAAAATGATCCTAATGGGAAGTGAGAGAGAATTTACAACAAAAAAAATTTCTAAACCATGACCTCTAAACCTTTCCAGGGGGAAGTTCTTTCTTATATTTCCCCCCATACTTCCTGCTAGACCCTGCTTTAATTTATTGAATCAGCAATCAGAGTGGACTGTGAGTCAGGAGATTTGGGCTTGAGTCCCTTCTGTGCCACCTACTCTCTGTGTGACATTGAATAAATCACTCTCTCTTTTCAAGTCTTGTCTTCCTCATTGGCCAAATGTAATATAATATCCCTGCCAATTTCACAAGGTTGTTTTGATCAGTGAATGAGGTGGGGGCTTTGAGAACTGAGGACTTCTGCAAGCTAGTTCTTGAACCCCTGAAATCAGCTATACTGAGGGTATTTACAAACATTATAATTCAGAGTCTCTCCCTGCCTTTTCTTTTCCTGGAGAGACAGTTTATCAGTCTATCACTGACACAATGTTTATGAGCGGAGAGTGTATGTATCTATCCCACAAGCCCGGAGCTATCCAGGGAGCTCCTGAGGATTTGACTGCCTACCCACAATCTCCCAGTGGACGCCTGATAAGCATGAGCCTAGTGTGGCTCCTGATTTCCATCCCACAGTCTAGGCCAGCTCCTAACCCTGTTCCTATTGCATTAAATGGCACCAGTCTGCTTAGTGGCTCAGGCCACATCATTGATTCCTTTTTATTTTTTTCCCAGTTCCCCTGTCTAATCTATCATTGAGAGACTCGTAAGTGGCTTCTCTACTTCTGCATCTGTTCCTTACAACTTGACCTCCCATGAAACAGCTGATGTGGGTTTTTATATAGTCCAGTACTGGAAACTGGACCCAGGGGCACTCTAGTATTGAGTCACATCCCCCGCAAGTCACCTTTTAAAAAAATCTTGAGACAGGGTCTCACTAAGTTTCTGAGACTGGCCTTGAACTTACAGTCTTCTTGCCTCAGCCTCTAGAGTTGATAGGATTATAGGTGGGTGCCACTGTGCTTGGCTAGCCAGTGATTTTTAAAAATATAAATCAGATCATGTCTTCTCTGCTTAAAACCCTCCAAGAGCTTGCCATAACATTTTGAATGAAATGCCAAGTCTTCACCATAGCCTGTAGAACCCGCGATGATCAGCCCCCACTTCCCTATCCTCTTTACTTCAAATAGCCCTCCTTCAGCAGGAGCCAGGTCCACCTGACAGTCCAAATGACCAAGCCTGTTGCTGCCTCTGGGCCTTTGCACTTCCAAATTTCTTTGACTGTCTTCTGTGTCTTCCAAGAGCTGACTCCCTTTTATTCAGGTCTGAGTTTAAATGTCACCTCCTCAGGCCTGGGGATGTAGCTAAGCTGTAAAGCATGAAGCGCAAAAAAGGAAGAAAAAAAAACTTGTAAATGTCACCCTTTATATTCCCTGATGACTCGAGTTTCTCAAGTGTACTGTTTGGTATATTTTCTATTTATTCCCTAACAGAATGTAAGCTCTCTGAGAGCACAAACTGTAACTCACCATGGCATCTACAGTACCTAGAACAATGCTTGATATATAGTGAGTGTTCAATATATATTCTTGGAAACAGTGAATGGCTAGCAACAATTAGACACTATTTCTTGAAAAGATGTTGGGGCTCCTCTTTTCTCCTTTGCTTGGAGATGGGAGAGAATTGGAAGTAGAGCTTGCCTATTTTGGTATCTTGAACACTACAAGCAGGTTCTTCTGAAGGGAAGGTCGTCCCAGATAAAGGTTTATCATACTCTTTGCATACTTCCTATGCATGGGGGAAAACCACACTTGAGGTAGGACGTTATTTTCTGACATCTGTGTGAACATTATTTCAACTTCCAAAAAAGCTAAACAACAGAATTCAACATGATAGCCTTCCTCTCCTCCATAATAGAAGCCTTGTTCACCCCTAAATGGGCCTAAAAAGTTTTTAGAACATAGAAGGCCCTCAAGAAAAAAAATTGAATTATGGTTAAGCCGGGTGCGATGGTGCACACTTGTAAGCCCAGCTACTTGGAGGCTGAGGCAGAAGGATCACAAGTCCGAGGTCAGCCAGGGCAACTTAACAAGACCCTGTCTCAAAAAATAAAAAGGACTGGGGATGTAGCTCAGTGATAGAGCACCCCTATGTTTAATCCTCAGTGTGCGTAGGTGGCTGGGGTGGGGGGAGGCAAAAAATTCCAACTGACACTAAAGATACAATCTTGGAGTCTTAGGAAGACAGTTTTACCAACTTAAATCATTAGCCCTTCACAGTCCACAGAGTTTTATAATTAGGCAAACTAGCTGTGTGAACTTGCTGAGCTGTTGTGTCCTCACACTAATATATGGACACATAAGGTTGTTAGGAGGATGCTGGCACTTCATTGACAGCAGTTGTTTCCCCCTTTTGCCCTTAATCTCAATCCAAATTTCTAAATTTCTCTAGAAAATGAGAATATTCAGCCTTCTCATTCACTTTTTTTTTTTTTTTTTTTTAATTAAAGAGAAGGGTTCTGCTATGTTGCCCAGGTTGGTTCTGAACTCCTGGAATCAAGTGATCCTCCTGCTTCAGCCTCCCCAGTAACTGAGACTACATGTGTGCCACCAAGCCCTGCTCTCACTTCTTTGTTGGAGGCCATAATTCCTGGCCCTGAAAGTACGGAAGATAGGGAACTGAGATGGTGGTCAAATGAAGCCACAGAATACCTTGACTATGGGGCTGGGAGCACATGTTGCATTCAATATCACACCATTTGGAGGTTCCTAACCTCTTGGGCCCTCAATCGCACCCCAAGAGCCGACTAGGAGGTCATCTATGGGGCCAGTCTCCCTAAGGAGAGCCTAGTGCCTGGACAATACCAGGGTTTGAGGCAGAGACTGAGGCCACAGGATCTGTCTGGACTCTGGGAAAGGGAGGCAGCCCTCTCACACATAGCTCAAAGGCCCTCCCTGCCCAGGAGACTTGTAGCGTGTGGACAAGAGCCATGGCCTGGCAATAAGACCAGAGACCTGCCCTGGTCCTGCTGAACTGTTTGAAAGAATCCAGCAAGTTATTTCACTTAGATCATTTCCCATCTATTCTCTTTGGGACACCTAATGTCCTCAGCCTCCCTGCTAGGTCAACCTGAAGAAGGGACTGCGAATGGGCATGCACAGCCTCCGCTCTCAGCCCGGTCCAGCCCGCTCCCACTTGCCCTGCTTGGCGCTCACCGAGCCCATCTCCACCGTTTGCTCCCCGGGCTGGGACAGCGGCGCCTCTGCAGCCTGGGCAGATGGGGATCCAGGGGGCGCTGCCATCGTGCAGCAGCTCCAACTGCGGTGGTAGTCCTGGATGTCATCATCGGCGGGAGTGGTGGCCTCGGCCCAGTGGGTGCGGCCGGGGCGGGGAGAGCTGGTTGTGTGCGCCCTCAGAGACGCAGCTGCCCCAAGAGGCAGCACGCAGGGAAAGCCAGAAACCCCAGAATTCGTGGTTTCATTTCTCTCAGAGGAAACACAACGGACCAAATTCACCAGGCTAAGGCCTCGTAAGTCCTTTGGGACCATGTTGTGGATCCTCAAAGGAGTGAGCACTCTGCAGAGGGAAACCCTTCAGCTGAATCCCCAGGGGTGAAAGCCAGCATATAATAATAGTTTATTTTTTAAATGAAGCAATAAGCCATCGCAGGGGAGCATGCTTGTAATACCAGTTAAAAGCAAGCCTGGGTTGAAGCTCAGCGCTAGAGTGCCCCTGGGTTCAGTCCCCAGTGTCACAATAAACAAACAAGAAGCAACAGAATCGACTTGCTCAGAGTAAGATTATGACTGAATAGGTTTTCAACCTGATTTGACAGTGGATGCCTGAAATGCACATTTTCCAGTCTCTCATGCAATGATCATTATGTCCCTGTAACCAAGTCTGGGCCAGAGAACCAAAGCAGAATGATGTGTACAACATCCCTGAAAGGGCCTTAACACAGAAGGGGCTACACAATGTGCAAAAACTGAAAATGTACCCCAGAACTTAATACGAGGTTACAATGATGAAACTCTTAGAAAATAGGAGCAAATCTTCACCATATTAGGGTAAACAACCGTTTCTTAGAATACCACAAGCACAAGCTGGATTTTATCAAAATGAAAAATGTGCTGCAAATAATTCCAATGAATGAAAAGAATGGGAGAAAATACTTGCAAATTTTCATGGATTTGTACTGAGATATATACATAGCTCATAACATTAGGAAAGCAATCCAATTTAAAAACATACAAATAGACAATAAGCACATAAAAAGATGCTCATATCATTAGGGAAATAAAAAAAAGAAGCTACACTAAGGCTTTTATAATAAAAAAGACAGACAACAAGTACTGGGGAGAATATAGAATAACTAGAATCTTCAAACACTGCTGGTGGGAAGGTAAACAGTGAAGCCCTTGGAAAAGTCTGGCAGTTCCTCAAAATGTTAAGCAGAGTTTTTATCAATTCCACTCCTCTGTATAACCCCTAGAGAAATGAAACATGTTCACATAAAAACTAGAACACAAATGTTAATTAGCAGCAATACACACACACCCCTCTAATACATACATAGATATAGATGTATACACACATATGCAACATGTAAAATAAATTTGCCCCAAACTGGAAATAACTCCAAATGACCTCAGGTTATGAGTAGATACATAAAATATGGTATATAAATATAATGGATTATTTCTGGGCAATAACAAGGAATGAAGGGTTGATACCTGCTACACCAAAGTGAATCTTGAACACATTATACTAAGTGAAAAAAAAGCCAGTCAAAAAAGACCAGCTATTGTGATTCCCTTTGAAATGTCTAGAATAGACAAACACATAGAATGTAGATTTGTCTTGCCTAGGACTGGGAGCAGGGAGTAGCTATGAGGTTTCTTTTGGAGAGGATAAACATTTCCTGAAATTAGATTGAGGCGATGGTTTGTACAATGTTGCAATATGCTATACTAAAAACCAATGATCCCACACTTTAAATGGGTGAACTGCATGGTATGTGATTTATAGCTAAATAAAATTATTTATATTTTTATGGTTTTGGGGATTGAACCCTGGGGTGCTCTACCACTGAACTATATCCCCAGCCCTTTTTATTGAGACAGTTGCTGAGGCTGGCCTGGAACTTGTGAGGAGTTACTGAGATTACAGGTGTGTACCACCATGCCTGGCCAGTAGTCAACTTGTGCTGAGATTACAAATGAAAGATATGGGAGTCTGATAATTTTATGAAGTTATCCTATCACCCTGACCTACTTCTCTCTGGAATTTTGCATGGGAAATAAATTTTATTTTACAAGCAACTATTTTGGATTTTCTTTCATAGCTAAACCTAATAAAGAATGCATTACCTTATCTAGAGCAAGTCATTTTTTGTGCCTCAGTTTTTTAATCTAAAAAAATAATTTGTTTGCTTCATTGAAGTGGAAGTGCTAGCCAGGCACAGTGGTGCACACCTGTAATCGCAGCTACTTGGGAGGTTGAGGCAGGATGTTCTCAAGTTCAAGGTCAGCCTCAGCAATTTAGGGAAGCCCTAGCAACTCAGTGAGACCCTGTCTCAAAATGAAAACTAAAAGGATGTAGCTCGGTGGTAAAGCACCCTTGGGTTTGACACCCAGAACAACAAAAAAAAAAAGGTGAAATTTTTAATCCCTTGGAAATTAGATATTAACTAAAAATGAAGTTTCTTGAATAATCTCCTCACCCCACCTTTGGTAGCGAGGACTGAACCAAAGCATGCTTTACCACTGAGCTAAATTGCCAGTTCTTCAGGCAGAGACTTGCTAAGTTGCTGAGGGTCTTGCTGCACTGCTAAGGAATCACTTGCTTGTGATCCTCCTGCCTCGCTGCTGGGATTACAGGTGTGTGCCACTGTACCTGGTTGACTAATCTACTTTTAGATACATAATTTTTATTATGCAGTTTTTGCATGTTTGGGAAGACTTTATTCCCAGTACTTGTACTATTTGTGTGTACTAACACAATTTAAAAAAAAAAAACATTAAAATTTTTTTTAGTTGTAAATACCTTTGTTTATTTTTGTGTGGTGCTAGGATCGAACCCAGTGCCTCACGCATGCTCAGCAAGCGCTCTACCACTGAGCCACAACCCCAGCCTGTACTAACACAATTTTGAAAGAAAGCAGGTTAAAATCAATTTTTACTGCACAGAAACATAATCTATTTTTTGAAGTTCTGAGGTTTGAACCCAGGTCCTTGTTCATCCTTGGCAAGTGCTCTGCCATTGAGCTATATCCCTAGCCTGTGCACAGAAATATAATTAGAAGGCATTTTTTCCTAACGGCTGTTATTCTACTTGAAGTGATGGTATACTTCTGTAATGCAATTTTTAATTAAAAAGACAAATTAGATTTCAAGAGAGAAAATAGCCAAATAACCAAGGCAACTGCCTCTTAATTAAAACAAAAGGAAGGACTGACACACTGTGTTCAGTTAGCTTTCTGTTACTGTAACAAATACGTGAGCTAAATCAACAGAGAGGAAAGGTTTGGGGAGGTTTCAGTTCATGGTCAGTTGATGGTTGCTTTTGGGTCCAGTGGTGAAGCAGTGCGCCTGAGTGGGAGCGTGTGGTGGAAGAGGCTGCTCGCCTCACAGCAGCCAGGAAGTAAAGAGAGAAATGGAAGTGACTCGGGGTACCAATATCCCCTTCAAGGGCATGTCTCAGTGACCCAAGTTCCTCCCAGTAGGCCCCACCTCCTGAGGGTTCCACCACCTCCTAATAGCACTGGAGGCTTCAGACCAACCCTTCAACACATAGAATATTCAACCATAGCACATCTGAAAGGATTCACACCAGAACGGAATCAGTGGTTTTCTCTGATCGGTGGAATAAGATCAGGAAATTTAAAGACCACTTTAGCATATCTGCATTTTATAATTTTCTATAATGAACACAAATTACCTGTGCAAAAAACATGTAAAACAAATGACAAAGAGCCAAAAATTAATCTATGGAATAAGCCATTCTATTTGATGATTTAGTGTAATGAGCAATTTTTTTTTTTTTTTTTTTTTTTACCTAGTTTCTACTTTGGAAGAGAAAGAATAAAGGAGAAACTCCTACTAACAAGCCTTCATGCTAGTTCAATTCAGGATACAAGATGATTTAAAGCAATGCAACCATTAAGTTGGTACTAAAAATACCACATTTTTACATTTCTGGGTATTAAATCAAAGCAATGTTGGTTAAAGCAAAGGCACCTAATATTTTGTTGATTCTCAAAAGTAAATGACTCAAACAAAAATGACAAATGCACCCATGTGTAGCTATTTTATAACAAATGTAAAGTACTTCATAGATCCTTTTAACGGAGAGCATTTCATTCCTAAGAGAACAGTTCTTTAACCATTAGCAAAATATTGCATTCAAAATACTTTAAGGCACTGAAATAAATTGATACACCCATATTATCAATACACTGAAACATCATGAAAAGTACATAAAATAAGTTTTAACTTCAATAATGCATAGTCATTTAACTACTCAATCAAAAATTTTAAAATGAGAATATGCTTCTATATATTAGCCCTAATGATTTTCAAGAAATTGATGACGGCTTTGAAACAACTGTTTAGATATTTGCTTATTTTCAAGTTTTCCTTCTCTTGGCAAATCCAGTTTGTTTTCCAACCAACCTGCATTACATATTCTGTGCATTTAATAATTTTACAACATACAAACTTTCAAGTAAAATGCTTTATCAGATGATTAACTTATCACAAAACGTTTGAGATTATTATTCACATTAACACAAGTTTTCACAGTTAAAAAAATGAAGGTTATTGCTGATGATAAGTCTTTATAGGCACCTCTTATTGGGGCAAACGCTATATGTATACATAAGAAAGTTCCATTTTATCTCCTGGTTAATGAATTATAAACTGGAAACTCCACAAAGGGGGGTGGTGGTTCTGTAGGTATCTAACACTCTTTTTTTTTTTTTTTTTTTGGTACCAGATATTGAACCCAGAAGTATTTAACCACTGAGACACACCCACAGCCGTTTTAAATATTTTGTTTAGAGACAGGGTCTCACTAAGTTGCTTAGGGCCTTACTAAGTTGCTGAGGCTGGTTTTAAACTTGTGATCCTCCTGCCTCAGCCTCCTGAGCTGCTGGGATAACAGGTATACGCCACTGCCCCCAGTGATATATATATTTAACAATCTCATCCTAAGAAAGGCTGCTTGTACAAATACTTGGAGAATCGTCTATTCATTTTAATTATGCAAATAAAAATACTTCATGATAGGCCTATATGAAACATCTTACAGATTCCCGAACATATATGAACAATCATAAATTATTTCCCATATTTGAAAGAGAAGTTCATTGATTTTTATTTATTTTTTTTTTGTAAGAATGTCATTATTTTTGTCTTATTAGAGAGGACTTTTAACACTGTTGTATGTTACTGACAGTAAACGTTTATTTTGTATTACCTGCCCATTTCCTAGGGTAAAGGACAAAGGGAAAAAGGATCTCCTTTCTTCCTCTTTTTCCAATAAAAAGACCTCTACCACATGGACAGCTGGGAACTACGAAAGGAAGCGTCCTTAAAATAGACCACAAACTAGACAGAGAAGCCATGCCATCTAGTTATGTAAGTAGTTCTCTTTTGTTATTCCTGACCCTTTAGGAAAAAATCTCATTCAAATGATCCAGCCCTGTCTCATTTGAGTTACAGGAGACAAAGCACAGGATTATGTCATGATTACTTCAGGTTAAAGGAGGGAGGGCTCTCTGTGAGAGCAAACTGTGGGGATAGAGATACAGCAGCTTTCTTTGGGAGTCTTCCACTGTCCATGGTGACATATGCTGGCTTTATTTTCTTAGGATAGAAGCTTAGTGCAGGATTTTCTGAGGATGGTACAGCCACCACATCCCTCAGCATCACTCAAGATTTCAACTGCAGTGATTTGGGACCTACCCCAGAGAAAATGCATCATTATGTTTGTGGTAGGTGGCAGGAATGGGCATTTTTCTTTTTTTGGTACCAGGGATTAAACTCAGGGTCACTCTACCACTGAGCCACATCCCCAGCCCTTTTTTGTATTTAACTTAGAGATAGGGTTTCACTGAGTTGCTTAGTGCCTTGATAAGGTGCTGAGGCTGGCTTTGAACTTGTAATCCTCCTGCCTCAGCCTCTGAAGCTGCTGGGATAGGAATGGGCATTTTTGAAAAGCCAAATGATTCTTTTTTTAAAATATATTTATTTTTTAGTTTTTTGGCGGACACTACATCTTTGTTCACAACATCTTTGTTTGTATGTGGTGCTTAGGATAGAACCCGGGCCGCACGTATGCCAGGCGAGCGCGCTACCGCTTGAACCACATCCCCAGCCCCTACCAAATGATTCTTACACTAAGGCTTGAGTATTATTGTAAACTATACATTGCTTTAAAGGACTGAATCTTAGAGGATCACTGGGGGTTCCTGAGAGCCATTCGGGGGGTTATGCTGTCAAAACTCTTTTCTTAGTAATAATAAGGTGTTATATGCTTCACCTCTCATGAATGTACAGTGGTGTCTTCCAGAGGTTACATGGTGTGTGCTATTACAGCAGTGAACGAAGAAGCAAAGAGGACAAGCTATCTGGGGTTGGGGATATAGCTCAACAGAGGAGAGCTTGCCTAGCATGTGCCAGGCCTGGGCCTGATCTCTAACAGCATGTCAAAAACACAAAACAAAACAAAAACTCCTCACAACAAAAGAGAATCCATCATTAAGTCAGACAGAAAGGATATTTGCAGAAAAAGAAAATGCCACTTTCTCACTTAAATCTTTTTATGTTTTGGAAGTTATTATTATCATTATTTACTTTTTATTTTTTAATTTTTTATGACTTTATTTATTTTTATGTGGTGCTGAGGATCAAACCCAGGGCCTTGCTCATGTGAGGCGAGCACTCTACTGCTGAGTCATAACCCCAGCCCATACTTTTTAGAGACAATCATACTGTTCCCCAGACTGGACTTGAACTCTTGCTTGAGCAAATCTCCTGCCTCAGCCTCCCTGTGTGGCTGGGACTACAGGCACATGCTTCAAAGTCATTATTTTTAAGTAAATAAATTTGGTAGGGATTGAACTCAGGGGCACTCGACTACTGAACCACACCCTCAGCCCTATTTTGTATTTTATTTAGAGATAGGCTATCACTGAGTTGCTTAGCACCTAGATAAGCTGCTGAGGCTGGTTTTGAACTTGCAATCTTCCTGCCTCGACCTCCTGAGTTGCTGGGATTATAGGCCTGTGCCACCATGCTGAACCAAATAAATATTTTAAAACTAAATTTTTGGAGCCAGTGCTGTAGTACATGATAGTAATCATGCCTACTGGGGAAGCTGAGGCACGAGGTTCCAGAGTTCAAGAAGTACCTGGGCAACAGAGCCAAATCCTGTCACAAAAATAAACAAATAAGTAAATTAAAAAACTTTGAATTTTTAGTATTCTGTTGATATATATAACCCATATAAAACAAAAGAAAAGGTCTTGAGACCAAAAGCCTTACAGCATCCATCCAGCACTCTATGAACATTAGTGTCGATATAGGCCACTTAATCCGCAGCACATTCAACATATACTCTGATATGATTCATTTGCAAAAAAGCTTCCTATGCTTACTTCTAAGCCAGGGGTTTTAATCTGATTGAAATTTTGAAGTTTAACTGGTTTTAGTTAAAAGCCTAAGATGTTTTGGTGACATTAGAATGTAATAAATAATCTTTTAATGTATACATAAGGGATATATGAAATAGAAAAACTGACTTCACGTGATACATTAAATTCCTACCCAGGCACAGTGGCACATACCTGATATCCCAGAGACTTAGAAGGATGAAGCAGGAGGATTGCAAGAGGCCAGCCTCAGAAACTTAGCAAGATACTGTCTTAAAAATAAAAAGGGCTGGGAATGTAGTTAGTGTTACAGAGCCCCGGGTTTGATCCCAGCACCAAAAACCAAACCAAAACAAAACACCACCCCGCTAAAACAAATAAAAAACCATCCATCTATCCATTCCCAATTAAATAAAAGATAGAGGGCACTGAGGATGTGGCTCAGTAGAGCACTTCCCTAGCATTTGGACACACTATGTTTGATCCCCAGCACTGCAAAAAAAAAGAAAGATAAGTAAAAATAAAAAATTATACTATTAGAAGTACAGAAATGTGTGGGTATGTTAATATTGACGTTATATTAAGACACTCACTTTTATTCCTAAATAAAAATATAACTTAGATATTGTTGCCAAATTAATCTTCCTACACTTTCGATTATATCCCAGTTATAAAATAATTACACTGATGCCTTTAACCTGCCATGTATAATTTTTAAACATATTGCTATTTAAAAACTCTTGTGATAGCTAACATTTAAAATAAATACCTGCTATTTGGAAATGTTTCAGTGATTAAAGCAGTGAATATTTTTATTTGTTTATACGATATTAATATTCTAAATGATATAGCTACTTAACATACTGTATGTTATGAATTGTTTTTTAAAAAATATTTTTAGTTGTAGACAGACACAATACCTTTATTTTATTTATTTATTTTTAGGTGGTGCTGAGGATCAAACCCAGTGCCTCACACGTGTTAGGCAAGTGCTCTGCCACTGAGCTACAACCTCAGCCCTGATGAACTGGTTTTTGAAAGTAAGTATATTTTTCTTATTGAGTAGCCTTCTGGAAAAAGTACATTAAATATAGCTTCTAGTCATGTTACTTCCTTAACTTAAAATTATTCAAAACTCTTTTCCTCAGAAGAGGGTTAAATAGCACTCACACCAAAAGTCACGTGAATCTGATGTGTCCTCTCTCCCATTTTTGCATGTCCACTTACAACCGTCATTTCTCTGCAAAATTTCTACTTAGTCTCTTAAAAATCAGTTCTATGAAAATTCTCTGAGAGGTTCGACAGTTTTTTTGAGTCTCTGAATAATCACAGCATTCTGTAAATCTGCTTCTTCCACTGTGAGTGTCTCATCTAGCAATTTGAGGAAAGGAAGAGCCGTTGCCAGGGAAAAGGGAGGACTTCTTTGAGATCCTTGGTATTTTTCAATGAAGTCTTTGATGTGGCTTACCCTGTAAAACAGTACAAATGAAAACTTGAAATTAGCTAAATCTAAGGCAATAACAACTTGTGAAGCTCCTGGGTATGGAAAATATAGAATAATCAAAATATTATATGATATCAGTGATCATCATTTGGGTTTTTTTTTTTTTTGCAGTGCTGGTATGGAACCCAGGGTCCTGCACATGCTAGGGAAGGAAAAGATCTACTACTGAGCTACATATCTAGCCTTGGACTATCCTTTTAAAGGTTGACCCTATATATCTGAAGGTAGGAAGGAATTACTATTAGTTTTCTTAGGTATGACAAGGGTATTATGGCTACATTTGAAAAAAAAAATCTGGGGCTGGGGATGTGGCTCAAGCAGTAGCGCGCTCGCCTGGCATGCGTGCGGCCCGGGTTCGATCCTCAGTACCACATATAAACAAAGATGTTGTGTCCGCCGAAAAACTAAAAAATAAATATTAAAAAATTCTCTCTCTCTAAAAAATAAATAAATAAATAAAAATAAGTTCAGAGCCGGCCTCATCAACTTAGCAAGAACCTGTTTCAAAAAATAAAACAGGTTGGGGATGTGGCTCAGTGGTTAAATGTCCCTGGGTTCAATCCCTGTCACCAAAAAAGGAAAAGGAAAACTATATATGCATTTTTTCTCTCTCTCTCTTTTTTTTTTTTTGCAGTGCTGCGAATCAGAGTCTTACACATGCTAAGCACATGTCCAACTAAGAGCTACACACTCCCAGCCCCTCTACTTTTAATTAAGATGAGAACCCCCCCACCACCTTTTTTGTGGTATTCAGGTAGGGGTGCTTTAGCACTGAGCTACACCCCAGACCTTTTTATTTTTTATTTTGAGGCAAGGTCCCACTTAGCTGCCTATGTTGGCCAGAACTTGTGATCCTTCTGCCTCAGCCTCCTGAGTCGCTGGAATTATAGGCCTGTGCCACCACATCCAGCCTAGGGTTGATCTTGAACTAGCAATCCTCCTGTCTCTGCCTCAGGAAACTTCTGTTAAGAGAGATAAGACTAAATAAGAATTACTTGATCTAATAATACTGGTTATCTTTAAGTGGTGAAATTTATATTGACTTTAATTTCTTTCAATACTTTTCTTATTTGCATGCTTTTACTACAATTAACAGGAAAATATATACATAATGCTTATTGTTTTCTTTCTTTCTTTTTTTGAGATGGGATCCACTATGCTTCCCAGGCTACTCTTAAATTCCTGGGCTCAAGTGATCCTCTGTCTTGGCCTCCAGAGTAGCTGGGACTTTAGGTATATGCTACCATTCCTGGTTTGCAAATGACGCTTATGACTGATTTTAAAACACATTAAAAATAATGCCTTTAAAACAGGAAACTAATCAAATGACCAGCATGAAAATTCTTTTTTTTTTTTTTTAGAGAGAGAGAGAATTTTTTTTAATATTTATTTTTTAGTTTTTGGTGGACACAACATCTTTGTTTGTATGTGGTGCTGAGGATCGAACCCAGGCCGCACGCATGCCAGGCGAGCGCGCTACCGCTTGAGCCACATCTCCAGCCCATGAAAATTCTTAAAACAAATTAAAAGTATTTCATTAATGTCCAACAGTTTCCTTTGTCTTGACATATTAAATTTGGAAGACTATTCATTAAAATCCTTCATTAGGGGGCTGGGATTGTGGCTCAGTGGTAGAGTGCTCGCCTAGCACGTGCAAGGCCCTGGGATTGATCCTCAATACCACATAAAAATAAGTAAATAAAATAAAAGTACTGGGCTGGGGATGTGGCTCAAGCGGTAGCGCGCTTGCCTGGCGTGCGTGCGGCCCGGGTTCGATCCTCAGCACCACGTACAAACAAAGATGTTGTGTCTGCCAAAAACTAAAAAATAAATATTAAAATTCTCTCTCTCTCTCTTTAAAAAAAATAAATAAATAAAAGTACTGTGTCCAACTGCAAAAAACAACAACAACAACAAAAACCCTTCATTATTTCTTAAAAATTACTGTTGACTAATCTTAAAAGAAATGAAATTTAAATTTGGAAAAAAAAAAAAATCAGGCAAATACTGACCCGGAAGACTCACCTATGAGATGTATTGAATTTCTGGACAATCCTTTTCCCATTGGCTAACCAGATCTGTATATTAGTGATGGGCTCCAAGTTGTTCAGTGAAACAGTAGACAAATTATTTTTATTTTCAACTTCAATACTCTTTGCTTTAGAAACAATTTTTGGTGTGGCACTAAGAAAATCCAGACAACAAAGTCAGACACAAGTTTTTCATTACTATAAAAACTTTACTTTTAGAAAGACTTTAACTATAAGTCATTAACTATTTCCCTAATAACAACATAAACATATGCTAATTATGACCATAATATATAATGATTCTAAGAATCTAATGAAATTATGAATATTTAATTAATATGTAAGCTTAAAGAGTGCTATATAAATAAACTGCTGCTAGTATTATTTGAATAGTGCTTTACAGTATAGGTAATTTTACAGGGTTGATGTATCTATAGACTTTAGCTTTACCTACTGCCTAGGATAAATTTGTAAAAGAAATTACAAGTTCTCTATAGATATAGTTCTTGGGTTATAAAGGAAAAGGAAACAGAGTATTTTGAAAGACACATCTAGATATTTTTCTATGTATGAATGAATATGTATGCACTTTACCATTTTTGTTTTGTTTGGTAGGACTGACCCCAGGGGTGCTTTACCAGTAAGCTACATTTCCAGCCCTTTTTATTTTTTATTCTGAGATACATTCACTAACTTGCTGGGGCTGGCTTTGAACTCACGATCCTCTTTACTCAGCCTCCCAAACTGCTGGGATTATAGGCGTGAGCCAGCGCACCCAGAGTGCATTTTACCAACCTTGATAATTAAAATATGAGAATTCATAAAAACCAAAGTGATCCCATACTTAACTGTAGTAATTCCATCATAAGGCATAGTTAGATATGATAAAAATGGAAAACTGAAATAATTAAAGGCTCTGACGTCAATATTAACGTTATCAGACTTTTTCTTTTTTCTTTTTTTGGGCAGCACTATGGATTGAACACAGGTGCACTCCACTACTAAGTTATATCCCCAACCCTTTTTATTGTGAGACAGGGTCTTGCTAAATTGCCCAAGCTGCCCTTGAACTTCTGATTCCCTTGCCTTAGTCTCCTGAGTAGCTGGGATTATAGGTGAGTGCTATTGTGCCTAGCTTTCTTTTCTTCAAATTTTCTTTTTCAGTACTGGGGAAAAAATAGAACTGTAATATTGAAAAGTTAGCATAGGTACTCTGTAGCACTAATGGCAAAGCTTGGTGGTAAAAGGGAGAGTAAATGATTTATACAATTTTGTCCTAAATAGGCCAGGCTCTTTTGACCTGATAAAACTAGGAAAAGTCTCTGTGATTAGTGCCAGCCTATTTTAATATCACTAAAGTAAATGTGACTTAGGAATCTCCATAAAAACTCACATAAAAAACTCATTTCTAGTAGGAGAAATGGTAATCTATATACATGTGTCTACATGTGTAAAATAATGTCAAAATCAATATTAGTCAAGCCTCTGCTTATGGCAAAGGCAGATAATAGACACACTTACCTTCCCAGTCTGTGACCCTGTCCTGAGAAGGGTTGGAACACAGGCTTTGTAGACACACAAAGTTCACTTTTCTTATCTTCAACTTTAACATCCACCTCTTCTTTATCAAAAATTCCTTGTAATTCTGAAGGTAACTCCCTTGGAAGGCAAGAAAACAAAATGATAAAGCTTCCAGTGCCTTTTCTTTCTCTGAAAAACATTCTGTTTTTATGCCAAAATATTTTATGTAAAAGAATTGGACAGGGCTGGGGTTGTGGCTCAGCGATACAATGCTCTCCTAGCAAGCATGTGAGAGGCCCTGGGTTCGATCCTCAGCACCACATAAAAATAAATAAATAAAATAAAATAAAGGTATTGTGTCCAACTACAACTAAAAAATAAATATTGGACAATATGTATAACAAAGAAGCATAATATATTCTCTATAATTAAATAACTAAATGTATTTAAGTAACAGGACTTGAACTAAAGTCTGGGCTTTGTCTAACATACCAAATGCCTCTATCTTTTTATGTTGTGCTGAGGGTTGAACTCAGTGTCTCATACATGCTAGGCGAGCACTCTACTGCTGAGCCACAACCCCAGCCCCCCCAAATGCCTCTTTTGAACCACATAAGCTATAGGACAGCAGGGACGACATCTGTTTTATTCATAAATATATTCCGATCCCAGGAACAATGTCTGGTAAAAAAACACAAATATCTTTTTTGATGTTAACAATGTTATGGCACATATTTAATATATAAGCAATTAATTTCCCTGAGGAGGTTTCCACAAAGGAAAAACTTTAAATAACTGATTTTTTTCTGACAAATAACATAAATTCACTTAATATATTTTACTTGTGTACATTTATTTATTTATTTGGGTACTGGGGATTTAACCCAGGGGTGCTTGGCTCCTGAGCCACACTCCCTGTCCTTTCTTAAATTTTGAGATAGGGCCTCACTGAGTTGCTGAGGCTGGTCTCAAACTTGTGATCCTCCTGCCTTAGCCTCCTAAATTGCTGGGATTAAGGAGTGTGCCAGCCCACCAGGCTCTTGTGTACTTTTATGAAATATACTTTCACACATAGATAAAAGTTTTAAATTTTTTATTGAATTTTTTCTAAAAATATGTGAATTAAAAATGTAAATGTGTAAAATTAAGATGTGAATGTCTGTCAGTTTGCAAACCTTGGTATAGACTCTCCTAGATTTTCTCTATATTTATTATTCCATATAATTTAATTGTTTTTCCATTTGGGTTGAACATCAACTCAACGAATGGGAGAAGATATTTGTAATCATGTATCTAATAAGGGAATTGAATCTAGAATATATAAAGAACTCTTCCAGGGCTGAGATGTAGCTTAAAAGGCCCTGGGTTTGATGCCCAGCAACACACAGACATATGGAGAATGCTGGCAACTCAGTAAAAAGGCAAATAATCCAGTTTTAAAATAGGCAAAGAAAAAAAAATGACAGAATTTGACCAAGCATTTTTCCAATGAAGATATGCAGCCAATAAACACATGAAAGCCATTCAATATTACTGATCAAATAATGGGAAATGCAAATCAAAACTGGAATGACATACCACTCTACATCCACTAGGATGGCTATAATTTTAAAAAGCAGACACTGACAAAGGTTAGTGGGGATACGGAAAAACTGCAAACCTTATACAGTGCTGTTAAATGGGGCAGCCACTTTAGAATCCAGCTTGGAAGTTTTTTGTTAAGTTAAACATAGAATTAACATTTCCAAGGAGAGACAGTGGAGTGAATCTGACAGAACTTTCCCATATACATATATGAATATACCACAGTGAATCTCACATTGTGTACATCCACAAGAAACTAATTAAAAAAAAAAACAACCAAAAAACAACTATGGGTAAATGGCAGAAAGATCAGAAGAGGAAAGGGAGGAGGAGGTGGGGGGAGGGAGATATATTCCATGCTTTTATAATTACGTTAAGATGAATTCGACTGTCATGTATAACCAAAAAGAACCAATAAAATGATAGAGTGCCTGCCAAGAATTCATGAAACCAGACACAAAAGGCCACACACCATGTGATTCCATTTATATGCAATATCTAGAATATGAAAATCCATAGGGATGAAAAGCAGATAACTGGTTATGAAGGGCTATAGGGAAGGGGAAATGGAGAGTGACTTCTAGTATCAAGTTTCTTTTTGTGATAATGAACATATTCTAAGTGATAACTGTTGCACAACTCTGTAAATATATTAAAAATACTGAATTATATACTTTTATGGTAACCTCTCAACAAAGCTGTTATTTAAAAATACTTAAATTCTAGAATAGTCAAAGGTGTTTTTATTTATTTATTATTATGTGTTACTATTTTGCAATACTGGGGGTTAAACCTAGGGGTGTTCTACCACTGAGCTAACATCCCCACCTCATTTTATTTTGAGTAGGGTTGTCCAGGCTGGCCTTGAACTTGCAATCCTCCTGCCTCAGCCTTCCAACTAGCTAGTATTACAGGTCCAGGTCTGTGCATCTGCATCCAGCTCAAATACATATAAAAATAAACAGAAAAAATATTGTGTCCATCTACAACTAAAAAAAATTTTTTAAAATCCCTTTTGAATGTTAACAATGTTATGGCACATACTTAATATATAAGCAATTAATTTCCCTGGGGAGGTTTTCACAAAGGACAAATTATAAATAAGGGTCATTGTTGTGATAAAATAATATGAAGGTATATTAAAATATTTCACAACGATGTTCAGAAAATAAACATGCATATTATGTATAAATCTATACACGAAAATGACAACGAAATTCAACAAAAATGTTAATAGAGTTACTTCTGGGTTGTTAAATAACACTTAGAATCACAAATACATTATAAACCGCAATTTCATAGACTCTAAAGACAACTAAACATAAGTATCAAATAACAAATAAGAGGTGGTATTAAGAAATATTTAGCAAAGTTTAAGATTTTGGTTGATGAGAATTTAAGCCTCTAAATTTTTTAAAAATTATAGTGTGACTTTCTTAAGAAAACTTGTCTTATAAAAAATGCTAATTCACAAAAGTATCTGTGAATGTATAGTGGTGTATGATCAACATTAAAAAGGATTCTTCCATAGAATCCTTTAATGTTGCCTAAAATATCCTTCTATTTACAAAGACTGCTTACCCTTTTTTGATAGAGTTCAGAAACTGCTGACTTGCACCATCAGAATAACTTCTAAAATCATCATTGACTGTGAATCCATTTTTCCATAATTTTATACTTACATCTACCTGCAAAGCAGTAAGAAGAAAAATGTATTGTTAGTAAAATGTAATAGTAATTTAAAAGTTCTTTGAAAATTTTTATCATTATACATTTTATATATTAAGAACTCCAAATGTAAAATATAAAAAATTATGTCTATACATAATTCATATGATATGAATTATGTTTCATAATGAAGATAATTTAAAATAAATGCTTTTAGAATGCTTTACTACTGAGCTACATCCCCAGCCCTTTTATAATTTTTTTTTTTTATTTTGTGACAGGGTTTCATTAACTTGCTTACAGCCACTCTAAGTTGGCTGCTGGAATTATAGGTGTGCACCATCATGCCCATCTTTTAAAAACTTTTATGGGATTTTTTTTTTTTTTTGGTACTGAGGATTAACCCAGGGGTGCTAAACCACTGAGCCACGTCCCAAGCTCTTTTTGAGACAGGGTCTCGTTAAGTTGCTGAGGTCCATGCTAAATTGCTGACTGGTATTGAATTTGCAATTCTCCTGGCTTAGCCTCCCAAGTCGCTGGGATTACAGGCATGCACCACTGTATCTCATTTTCTAATTGTACTCTTAAAGAGACAAAAAGCAACGACCAATTAATCACTATTTCCTCATATATAAAATACTATTGTTAGACTATTTTTATCAATAGTTCATCTGTTAGTGTTTTCTGCTTATAAGAACAATATTTATTTACTCATTTAGTCAAAGAAGCAAGGTAAGTCACTACAGAAATATAGAAAGGTTTAGAAATACAGCAGAATGCATGGATGCTTCAGGCTGAACACAAGACTGAAAAACTAGACAATATTAAAAAAAGACCAACCTCATTTACATTTATTCAATTTATTATACATTCAATATATATTTAATGAGTGTGTAATATGTAACAAACACTCATTAAGGTGCTGGGGGAAAATAATAATAGCATAAACAGTTGGCCTTCTGTATCTATGGGTTCCACACACATGCATTCAAGCACCCACAGATCAAACAGGAAGAAAATTTACATTTATAATAAACATGTACATTTTTGTCATTATTCCTTACACAATATATCACACAACAACCATTTACATAGTATTAGGTGTATCTAGAGATAATGTGAAGTATAGGGGAAAAAGTGAGCAGATTGTATGTGATTTGAATCCCAAGGGATTCAAACTGGGTGTGGGAAGCATGCACCTATAGTCCCAGAACTCAAGAAGCTGAGGCAGAAGGACCACATGATCTCAGGGGTTTGAGAAGATCCTGGATAACATAGTGAGACCCCATGTTTAAAAACAGAAAGAAAACTGAAAACAGGAACTTAAGCATCCTCAAGGGGTCCTGGGACCAATCTTCTGCCAAAGATTTACTGAATACTAAGAAATTAGAGTATTGTTAGTATATATGGTGTGCAGGTACATGCCCACACACAGTCGTATGTATATACATACACATAGAGAACACTGTGTACATATTCAATGTGTACCAGACACTGTTAAGAAGCACTCTCCCTATGTAACCTTATTTATTCCTCCCAACATCTATATAAAGTAGGTATTATTATCCTATTTTTATGGACAGAGAACCAGAAACACAGAATATTAATTAAATTATCCAGTGCTAAACAGCTGGTAAGGTGTGGAGCTGGGACATGAACCCAAAGAGGCTGTGCCCAGAAGCCATATTCTTTCCTTTTCAAGAGGTTGAAGGGTACTAGGGATTGAACCCAGCTCCCTGTGCATGCTTAGTCTGGGTTCCATAGTGAGGAACACTCCCAGCCCCACAGCCCGTCCTCTTAGGTCACTGTACTTTACTATTCTTTAATGCCTGACAACCAAACCACCAAGTCTCTGCTTTCATGGTACTCAGATAAGACTGAGAACAAATAGAAAAGAGCACATAAAAAAGACACCGAAGAGAAGAAATTTCAAAACAAAATCCCCAAAATGATCATTAATATGATCACATAAGATGATTATTCAAAAAGGGAGTGGGAAGGAAAAATTCCAGGAACAAGAGAGGTCTTGAAAACTGAATACAACAAAAATGAAGTAAAAGGGTTGAATTTAAGGTTCATAAAACATTAAAATAAAACAATAAAAGTGAAAAAAGAAAAAATAAGAAATGAAGAGGCTCAGTCCAAGAAGTCTAAGTTGGAACATTTACAGACAGAACAGGTAACAGAGGAACAAAACAGCAATGAGAAAATGTCCCAGAATGGTAAGGCACATTTCTGGATTGAATGAGTGGAAAAGGACCCACATCACGGCCCATAAGAACACCAGGTTAAAGGGAAGACTCCAGAAGCTTGCAGGGAGCCAAATGCTGCATACAAAGGCTCAGGTGTTGGAATGCCAGTCTGTCAATCAAGTATGAATGCAGAAAAGAGGAAAATTCAGGCTTACAAGGTTTTAACTCATGCATTCCCCAGGTTCTCTTTTTTCACACACACTTTTGCCTTGTTTCCCCCTCATCTGCCACCCCTCCCTCAACCCCCCAGGCCAAGGACCAAACCCAGGGCCTTGGGCGCTAGTCAAGTGCTCTGCCTAAATTAAATAATCCCAACCCCTGACATGCCACCACTCCCCCACAACCCTGTGTGCCCCCCAATACTGGGGACTGATCCCAGGGGCATTCTCCCACCGAGCTACGTCCCCAGCCCTTTTCATTTTTTATTTTGAAATATGGTCTTGCTAAGTTGCTAAGGGTGGCCTGGAATTTGTGATCCTCCTGCCTCAGTTCTCCAGTTGTTGGATTACAGGTGCATGACATCAAGCCTGCCTCCACATATACACTTTATCATAAACCTACCTCAAGAATTTCTTGAGGTAAATTCTTATTAATTTCAATGAAAAATTTAAAAGCAACATGGAAGAGAAATATACTACAAAGTCATAAAAGACATAACAGTGATAACTGATTTAATCCCAAATTAACTATGATAGACTAATGAGACGAAGTGGTTCGGGAAGAGGGAGAAGGCAGATAATGAGAGCTAAATCCTCATTTCTTTTCTTTTCTTTTTTTTCTATTTTTGTGGTGCTGTGGATTAAACCAAGAGTTTCCTACATGGTATCCAAGCACACTACCACTGAACTTTTTCCCAGCCCACTAAATCATTATTTTCTATAATAAAAAGTCAATGCACATAGTTTGACAATCCTAAAAAAATCAACAATTATCATTATTAGTATATAATTAGAAACATAAAGCTCATACCAAAAGAAATAGCCAAGAATTGTAAGTAGCTGTCTCTTGGAAGTGGACATAATGGTCAAGGAGGAACAGGTGTGCTATTTTTTGATATAAGCCTATCAGAACTCTTAGATTTTAAATTTTTACAACTTTTTTTCCAACTTTGATAAAATTTTAAATCAATTTAAAAAGTGAATCATAATCAAGGTTTTCTTTCACAAATACTTTTAATATCAAACTTCAAAAAGTGAGCTGAATTCTCATAATTGTTACTGCTTTTAGTTAGCTGTGAAGTGTTATTTTTTTTCTTTTTTAAAATATTTTTTAGAGGTTGATAGATCTTTATTTTATTCATTTATTTGTATGTGGTGCTGAAAATCAAACCCAGTGTCTCACACATGCTAGGCAAGCACTGTATGACTGAGCCACAACCCTAGCCCACAAGGTGTTATTTTGATTGAAAAATATATATGTATTTTTAAATCAGCCAGGTGCAGTAGCATATGCTTATAATCCCAGTGACTCAGGAGGCTGATGTAGAAGGATCTCAAGTTTGAGGCCAGCCTGTGAGACCCTGTCTCAAAAAAAAAAAAAAGAGGACTGGGGATGTGGCTCAGCTGTAGAGTGTCCCCAAGTTCAATTCCAAGTATCACAAACAACTGAAAAACAAACAAACAAAAAACCCTAACCACCTTGTAATATAGATATGTAGTTAAACAAAGCAGCTATTATTTTAAAAAAATTTTTTTTGTAGTTGTAGATGAACATCATACTTATTTATTTTTTATGTGGTACTAAGGATGGAACCCAGTACCTCACACATGCTAGGCCACAGCCTCAGCCCTCAAAGCAGTTATTTTAATAATCTTTCCAGGATATTCTTTTGACATGTCATCAAAATTTAATAAGTGGTAATATCTCAAAATTTAGTTGAGAATTTGAATGTGAAACCTGAAACTTTTTAGTGATTTTTTTTTCATATGCTTGTTACATTAATATATGTGACACTTTCACTTTTTAACTCATGCATGATTCTATAATGTTCTATACAATGGTCATCTGGAAAATACTGGTTCCTTAAGTTCATTATATGATAAAGCTATAGACATTAAAACGATACTGACACTGATCTCATCAGGAAATTCTGTAAATGTTGAGAAGCTGCCAAGTACATGATTGAAATGTTCCAAAATTCTTAGTTTTACTATAAAAGTTGGTTAAGTAAAATTTTACCATTTGCACACAAATATTAAAAGTTGAATTCCTTCAAGTGCCAGGCTCTCTTTATTTATTATGAGAAAATATCTGCCAAAATCCCACGTTTGAATAACTGTAGTCTATGCATAAATCATTCTTTCAGACAAAAACTATATGCCATGAAAAAGCAGATAGTTCAATCTGTACCTCAAACAACTGCACTTTTCCATATGATATTTCTGTATACTGCAGAAATGCTTTCTGTGGGGCTGGGGATGTATGTAGCTCAGTGGTAATGTGCTTGTCTAACCTGAGTGAGGGCCCTCTAACTCCAGCACCACAAAAAAAAAAAAAAAAAAAAAAAAAAACCACACACAAACACACACACAGAATTGCTTTGTGTTTATTTCACATTTTGTCAAACAGAATATTAATGATATATATTCAATGTTTGGGATTAATAAATCTTTGATTTGCTGGGTGTGGTAGTATACGCATGTAATCTCAGCTACTTGAGAGGTTGAGGTAGGAGGATCACAATTCTAGGCCAGACAGGGCAACTTAGAGAGAGAGACTCTGTCTCAAAATAAAATTAAAAAGTTTTACTGTTTCATCAAGGGTATTAATTGAAACCAGTGTTTTTTCTTTTTAAGAATACAATAATTTCTACTTCAATTTGCTGTCACTGCCTTGAATCCTGCTAATATTTGCATAATTTTACCCATCATTACTTCTGCAACATCTATGAAAGATCAACACAGTGTAGGTGGTAAATAATATCTTTACTATTAGGAAAACAGGGATCCTCTAAAAGATCCTTATTTTGAGAAATACCAGAAGATTAAAAAGTAATAGACATTTACCTCTTTCTTCTGTTCAGTAGGGGACAAGCATTTGGCACCAACCTTCTGAGCTTCCTCAAAAAGGCTATCAACAAAATATTCACAATTTGTTTGTTGATTATCACTAAGAGGTTGATTGTTGGATCCTGTTTCAGAAACCCTAAGCAAAGAAACAAAGAAAGCACTACTCATTACCAGAGCTCTAAAAATATATAGAAGTTCTTCTAATTAAGGGATGTTGAACTGAGATGCTACCTCCAAGTCTGTGGTTCAGGTCCCCTTCTAAGTTAATATAAGATGTCACTAAGATGTAGACCCTACCGCCTATCTCACAAAGTGGTTGTGAAAATTAAATGCAAATACATATAAAAGTCTGTAGATGGTCTATAGTTAAGTCCTGTACACGTATTGGCACACAGAAAGCTCACAAATATTATATCATTATAATCACTTTGTACTTTCTGATATCTGCTTCTTTTGTTCAGAAAGCAGTTGGTGCTTAATAACTAATTAACAAACACAAAGCCACTAAAGCTGAGCAGGTAGAGTAGCTTAAGTTTTACTCCTTTATATTATCAATTAAACTTTATCTTGTGAATTCAAATGAATAAGAAATAGTTTATAAGAGGTTCAGAGTTGAGTGAGTGGAGATATAGGAACAGATATAATACAAAATGAATATAATAAGAGACATTTATGAGATACAGCTTAAAAAATCAGAGTACTGGCTTCACTGAACAGGTGACAATGAGTTTCACATGTAAGAAACTATAAGGGGACAGAAAAAAAAAAGGGTAGGAAAGGCATTATGAACAACTCTATCCCACAAAAAAATTTAACTTAGATAAAATGACTAATTCCTTGAAAGGTAGAATCTATTGAAGTTCACTTAAGGAATAACAGAAAATCTGAATAAACTTGTATATTAATGAAGTAGAATCAATAATTAATAATTTTCCAAAACAGAAGGACGGGGCTTGGATGCGTTCACTAATTAATTCTACTAAACAATTAAGGAAAAAATGATACAGATTCTCTACAATCTCTTCCAGAAAACAGAAGCAAACAGAAAACTATGAGAATGGCATTACCCTCATACTAAAACCACACAAAGATATTTATGAGAAAAGAAAATATCAGAAAATGTCTTTCATGATCATAGATGTAAAATTCCTCCACAAAACATTAGCTGGGCACTGTAATCTCAGGGACTTGGGAGGCTGACACAGGAGGATCACAAGTTCAAAGCCAGACTCAGCAAAAGAAAGGTGCTAAGCAAGTCAGTGAGACCCGTCTCTAAATAAAATACAAAATAGGGCTGGAAATGTGGCTCAGTGGTTAAGTGTCCCTGAATTCAATCCCTAATACCCACCCCCCAAAAATTAACAAATGTAATCCAACAATGTGTTAAAAGGATTATATACCACAACCAGGTAGGATTTATTGTAGTTTATGCAAGTCTGATTCAATATCTGAAAATCAACTAATGTAATCTGTCCTTTAATAGGCTAAAGAAGAAAAATAATATGATTAAAGCCAACATATGAAGGAAAAAGCACTGACAACATCCAACACCCATTTAGGATAAAAGCTCCATGGCCTAGGAATAGAGGAGACTTCTTCTACTTGCATTTCCCTGATAACTAGTGACACTGGACATCTTTTCTTGATGTGGTGGTGCATGTCTGTAATCCCAGTGACATGGGAGGCTGAGGCAAGAGGATCTCAAATTCAAGGCCAGCCTCACCAACTTAGGGCCTATCTTCAAATAAAAAATAAGAAGGGCTGGGAACTCAATGGTAAAGCACCCCTGGGTTCAATCCCCAGCACAAAAACAAAACAACAACAACAAAGACATTGGACATCTTTACATAATCATTGGCCATTTGTATGTCTTCTTTGGAAGTCCTTAGCCCATTTTAAAAATCAGATTATTAGGTTTTTTCTTTTTTTGCTTTTGAGTTGTAGGAGAAAGTTAACCCTTTATCAGATACATGGTTTGCAAATTCTTCCCATTCTGTAGTTTGTCTTTTCATTCTGTCCATGTTTCCTTTGCATCAGGTGAGGGACTATGAAATACCTATTTTAGCTGCAAAACAACCTCTTTTGCTCACTTTCTAATTCTACCTGGTTCTCTATAAATAAGAGTGTCAGCTGTTGTCCAAATAAGTGAAGGATTTGCATCTCTGTACACTTTGGTAGCACATACAATGAAAGTTTCACTATTGTATTTGAACTGTTGAACAGTTTGTTTTTTTTTTTTTTTAAAGAAATCAGTCTTCAACTTTTGCCAACTGTTGTTTTTAACAAAATATTCATTGGGCTGGGGATGTGGCTCAAGTGGTAACGCGCTCGCCTAGCATGCGCGGGGCGCTGGGTTCAATCCTCAGCACCACATAAAAATAAAATAAAGATGTTGTGTCCACTGAAAACTAAAAAATAAATATTAAAAAAATTCTCTCTCTCAAAAAAAAAATTCATTTATTTATTTATTGTGGTACAGGCATTCATTCTTTCATTGTGATACTGCAGCCCTTTTTATTTTGAGACAGGGTCTTGATAAATTGCACAAGGTAATCTGGAACTTGCAATTCTCTTGCCTCAGTTTTTTAGTTGCTGGGATTGCCAAGCATCTGCCACTATGCACAGTTTAAACAAATCAATTTGTAACACTTAAAACAAATCACTTGAAAAATTTAAACAAATCAATTTGTCACAAAAAAGATTACAAATGTGCCAGGTGCAGTGGTCCACAACTGTAGCCCCTTACACTTGGGAGGCTGAGGCAGGAGGACCACAAGTTTAAGACCAGCCTGGACAAAATAATGAGACCCACATCTTATAAATAAATAAATAACAAAAAACAAAACAACAGCAGCACAAAGCAACACTAGGCTCATCTCCAATAAACCTGCATGGTGGACAACACTTCATATGTGTTATCACAACTTATTACTAGGGGAATTAAGTGCATCCTGTGACTCCATTATCAGAGAACTCTTGGAAGTTTGTATATGATTTGCCCTAGTCTATGTCCCACGTATTTTCGCACCTTGTAACTCTTCACTGCAATAAATTATAGCCATAAATAAGACTATGAAGACTACATACTAAATCCTGTGACTCCTCCTAAAAAACAAAAATGAAACCTGAGAGTGGTCTTGTTCTCAGACACAATCTCACAATTATATAATAAATAATCAAATTTATATAAACCAATAAATGCCCAAATGGGGGGGATACAAATATTTCTTTGGTGTGGTATCTATCTTTTTTTTTTTGGTACCCCTTGAACCCGGGGGTGCTCAATCACTAATCACTAAGTCACATCCCTGGCCCTCTTTTTATTTTTAGACAGGATCTTGCTAAGTAGCTGAGGTTAGTCTTGAATTTGTGATCCTTCTGCCTCAGTCTCCTGATTTTTTGGGATTACAGGTGTGCTCCAACATGCCTGGCCAGTTCTGACTTCTTAAAATGTATTGTAAATAAATGAAATTTACCTTGCCAAGTTTTTAAAACAATGAGTATAAGACAAAAATAAATATTTAACTTTAGATAAGCGAGAATAAAACATCCTATATTGATAAGAGCCATAGACTTTGCACTTACCATTTACTGAGGGCCAATACATGCTAATACTTTGCTAAGTGTATTGTATTCTTTATGTCATTCTCATAAAAACCATCTAGATAGGCAGATATTTACATTCCCATTTTATAGACATGATATCGAAATTCAATGAATCTACCTAAGTTGCCCATAGGTCAAAAAAGAAATAGAAGGCAAAGATAGGATTTAAACCTATGTTTATCAGACTCCAAAACCATCATATTTCTACTATGTCTCCAAGATGGTATAAGAGGCTAATGCGGTAGTTAAACTTTTCACTTCTGAGAGGTAACGTGTGAATAGAGAGAAATTCAACACTTGTTTCAATTAATGAAAGATTTAGGGTTGGGGTCATGGCTCAAGGGTAGAGTGCTTGTGTAGCATGTGTGAGGCACTGGGTTTGATCCTCAGCACTGCATATAAAGAAATAAAATAAGTAAAGGTCCATCAACAACTAAAAACAAAAAAAATTCAAAAACAAAATAAAAGATTTAGTAATTTCATTACAATCTGTTCAATGAAGATATGGTTTAAAAAACTACTTCAAAATATAGTATTTATATACTACCATTTAAAAACTACTATTATTGTTTTTGCCTGTGGCTGCAGGTATTGCTCAGTGGTAGAAAGCTTGCCTAGTATGTGTAGGCTCTGGGTTCCATGCCCAGAACTGGGGAGATATATATATATATATTACTGTAAGATATTTACTATTATATATATATATTTTATGATTAGATAATTACCATTAGATATTTACTGAAGAAAATATACATACTTAAAACTTACTTTATTATCTTTGCCAGTGACATGTAATACAAATAGAGAATAATAATAACAAAAGCATTAACAAAGAAATTCATAATTTTAATTAACTTACCACTTCTCTTTTATACTTTCAAGATTATCTACTTCTTTCATTCTCTTTGTGTTACTATAAAAGTAAAAAAACAAAAGCAAAAGTTCCCAATTTAGTATTTTAAACAAATCATTATTATGTATGCATCAATATATTTCAATATATAAATTATCAGGTAAGTCTGAAGTTGCATTAAAAGGGTCTTAGAAACAAGTGACCAAACTCAGAATTGTCATTTTTCATGTATAAAAAAAGCAATAATAAATATTAGCTTTGTATATAACTATCAAGATAGCCATCTCCCAACCCCTGAATAAAGTCTTTAGTATGTGTCATTTGAAAAAAATTATCATATATACACACACACACACACACACACACATATATATATACTTACATACACACACATATATATACTTACACACACACATATATACATATGTGTATACATATATATCTATCAAATTTTTTTTTCTAATGGTACTAAGGATTGAATTCAGAGGTGCTGTACCACTGAGCTACATCCCATCCCTTTTTAAATTTTGAGTCAGAGTCTAACTAGTTTTTTATTTTGAGTCAAGGTCTCACTAATTGCTAAGGCTGGCCTAGAATTTGTAATCCTGCTGCCTCAGTCTCCTAAATCACTGGGATTACAGGCATGTGCCACCACGCCCAGCTGAAAAGAGTAATTTTTTATGTGCTAGTATGAAGAACCCTAGGGGAAAATAGAGCTTCCAGCATTCAAATTATTAGTAATATTATGTTTTGTTTTGTAGATGGACAGCATGCCTTTATTTTATTTGTGTATTTTTTTTTTAATGTGGTGCTGAGGATCAAACCCAGTGCCTCTCACGTCCAAGGCAAGAGCTCTGCCACTGAGCTCCAGCTCCAGCCCATGGTTGTTTTTATGAAACTATAGTACAAGGATAAAGGAGATGGTCTCCACCAGGAGACTCTCAGAGGACAGATGGCAGTCAGTAGCTAGAGATATTTTTGATTGTCACAACTAAGGAACAAGAATAATATTGCCCCCACAAGAAAGAATTATTCTGCCTGAAATGCAATAGTGTTTAAGTTGAGAAACCTGGAATAAGGCAAAGAAGTAATTATAATTATTGCTGAAAAGAAAAAAAAAAAACAAGATATTTTTGGTCAGAGTTAAAGAGATACATAACAATCAAAGAAACCAAGGAAAATTCCTATTATCCTAAATTTTAAATTGGAAATATCAATAAACTCCTGTGTTTTTTCTTAAAAAATTACATATGAGTTCTGTCCACCTAAAAAGGCCCCAAAGCAACCATCAATACAATTAACAATGAATAACTCTGGTGACAGATGTATGGTCTCCTAATATCATTTCCTAATAAAAGGAATCAACTTTTACTAGAGAAAAGGCTGACTTCGGATCTGGGATAGAAAATGTGCACTGGGTACCTGATATATCTTGCCATCTTGGATTAGTGTCAAAGGGATTCAGAAGTCAATTTGAAGAGGTTTATTTCTATTGGCCAGAGAATGGACCAAAAAAAAATTAAAAACTTAACATTAATTGAAACACAAGTATGAATTCATAATAATACTCATTTTAAAAAAAGAACTTGTTAGTAGTCTTCTTTCAAGAATTCTAGAGTCCGAGTGAGGCACAGTGGTGTATACCTGAAATTCTAGTTACTCCAGAGGCTCAATCAGGAGAAGTTCCAGGCCTGTGTGGACAACTCAGTAAGACCCTATTCCAAAATAAAAATAAAAGAGCTGGAAGTGGGGGTGGGGCTGGGGCTAAGTGGTAGAGCGCTTGCCTAGCATGTGTGAGGCACTGGATTTGAGGGAGGGAGGGAGGAAGGAAGGAAGGGTATTGAGTCCATCTACAACTAAAAAAATATTTTAAAATAATTAAATAAAAGGGCTGAGGAGATAAAATAAAACTAAAATTAAAAGTCAGGTGGTAGAATGCTTTCCTTCACGTGTGAGGCCCTGGGTTTAACCCACCACCACAAAAATAAAATAAAATAATAATAATAATAATAATAATAAATCTGGACTACTAGGATCCCAGCTCTGTGTATGTGGGAACTGAACCTAAGGGTGCTTTACCATTGACCTACATCCTCAGTCCTTTTTATTTTGAGACAGGGTCTCATTAAACTGCTGAGGCTAGCCTAGAACTTGCCACCCTCCTGCCTTAGCCTGAGTAGCTGGGATTGTGCCACCAGCTGCTGCTGCTTTTTTTTTTTTTTTTTTTTTTTGAGGTGGGGGTCTTGTCACATTGCCCAGGCTAGCTAGTCTCAAAATCCTGGACTCAAGTGATCATTCTGCCTCAGACTATTGAGTAGCTGGGACACAGGCACCTGGATTCCCAATTCTTTATTTTGAAAACTAATAAATACGGGAAAGAAACAAATAAGCATCCTGTCTGTACATTCTCAGTAACCAAAGAGTTAATGCAAGAAGCTTTCTTTATAAATAACTCCACTTAATTGAAATTGTATAGAAATAGAACACCTCCAATTTGCTACTCGTAATGTAATAATGGATCTAGACAATATCAATAACTAATGACAGCACAAAAAAGAGCTAACCAAAAATAAATGTATGCCTCAGTATACAAATTTTCACCACCATTTATAGAGAATTCTTGCTCAAAATGTGAATCTGAATCCATTCAAGCCTCTAGATCTAACTACCATATTAGAGGAAATACAGGGTATAAAGGAACATAATCAGATGATATCATGGGGATTTAATCAAATATTTAGAATGTGGGAAATTCTGTAGGATAAATGATACACTTTCTTCAATATATATAGTACCAGAGAGAGTGACGTAGATTTTTAAAAAGAAATTTATCAATGTATTACAACATGTGGATCATTATGTAGGCTCTCCCCCACCCCCACCCCGTCAGAGTACCAGGGATTAAACTCAAGGGTGCTAAATCACCGAGCTTCATTCCCCAGCCTTTTTATATTTTATTTTGAAACAGGGTCTTGCTAAATTATTCAGAGCCTCCCTAAATTGCTGAGGCTGACTTTGAACTTGCAATTCTCCAGCCTCAGCCCTCACGAGCTGCTGGAATTGCAGGCTATAGATTTTATTTAATTCACCTGTCCAAAAAAAAAAAGTTATGGAATCAGGAACATATGAATATTTGTTGTGACTGGATATTTGATGTTACTGCAGAGTAAAAATTACCTTAAAATATATATATTTGGTTAGCCATGATGGCACACACCTGAAATCCCAGTGATGCAAGAGGCTGAAACAGGAGGATCATAGGTTTAAGGCCAGTCTCAGCAGCTTAGCAAGACCCTGTCTCAAAGTAAAAAACAAAAAGACCTGGGATTTGGCAACACATGTACACATATACACATTTGGCTGGGAGTGGCGGTGCATGCCTATAATCCTAGCAATTTGGAAGGCTAAGGAGGCCAGTGGTACAGCAAATGGGTTCTCCATTATGACAACAAAATAAAAAATAAAAGTAAACACACACACACACACACACACACACACACTCACTCTCTCTCTCTCTTACACACACACTTAATGCTGAAGCAGAAGGATTACAATTTCAAGTTTAAGGCTAGCCTGGGCAACTGTCTAGATCCTGTCTTAAAACTTAAAAAATGTAGAAAGGGTTGTGGGTGTAGCTTAGTGGCAGAGTGCCCCTGGATTCAATCCCTAGCAGCATACATATGCGCACACACACCCACACAGACTTAAAGATAAATTTGTAAAGAGTAAAACTAAAAAAGCGTAATAAGACATATGGTTTACTCATGGCTTGAAGGTAATGTGGAACAGTGAGAAATTTTAATAGTACATGGAAGTGCTATGTGAAGTCAACACAGACAACAGTTATGAACTGCCCACTGGGAAAAATCAGCTTGTTCTAGCTAATCTGGAATGTTTGGGGTAACTAAACTGAGTAAAACACAACTAGATTGATTACAGAAAGAAAGAAAGAAAAAAGACACAATAACTTTTTAACATTTTATTTATTTTTTTATTTCTCTGAATTTTTATTTCATTTTATTAGTTTTCGGCAGACACAGCATCTTTGTTTGTATGTGGTGCTGAGGATCGAACCCGGGCCAAACGCATGCCAGGCGAGCTTGCTACCACTTGAGCCACATCCCCAACCCCACTTTTTAACATTTTAAAGTTGAACTTTAAGGATAGCAAACTGAGTATAGACTGGGCAATTTATCAACACCCTGTCTCAAAAAATTTATTTATTTATTTATTAAAATTAAAAGGGGGGCTGGGGATGTGGCTCAAGCGGTAGCGCGCTCACCTGGCATGCGTGCGGCCAGGGTTCGATCCTCAGCACCACATACAAACAAAGATGTTGTATCCGCCGAGAACTAAAAAATAAATAAAAAAATAAAATTAAAAGGGTTGGGGAAGTAGTTCAATGGTAGAGCACTTGCCTAGTATGCATGAGGTCTTACATTCAACCCCTGGTACAAAAAACAAACCAAACCAAACCAAAACTAAAATAACTAAAAAGGGGGCTGGGGATGTGGCTCAAGCGGTAGCGCGCTCGCCTGGCATGCGTGCAGCCCAGGTTTGATCCTCAGCACCACATACAAAGATGTTGTGTCCGCCGAAAGCTAAAAAATAGATATTTAAAAAAAAATTCTCTCTCTTAAAAAAAAAATTAAAAATAAAATAAAATAACTAAAAAGTTTTGGAGTGCAGCCCAGCTGGACATTGTGGTACATACCTGTAATTCCAGCAACTGGGGAGGCTGAGGCAGGAGTATCACAAATTCAAGGCTGGCCTTGGCAATTTAAGAAGATCCTATTTCAAAATAAAAATAAAAAAAGAATTGGAGATATAGACAGTTGTAGAGGGCCTGGGGATTAAACCCTCAGTACCAGGGGGGGGGGGGAAACATAAAAATGCCAAGTTTTAAGCATATTTAAGAAGAATGCAGATCTGCTCATTAATAGTCACTGAAAAATCCATCAGATTCCACTCAAACCAGTTCCAGAAAGTAGGCACAGAAACATTCTATGACTCTCATTCCAAATCTTCAAAATATCTGGAGGTGATTTTAATCTGAGCCATTGAAAATCAAGCTGAGGATTTCCTCCAGATATAATCTGTCTGGATAAGTCCTGACCTCTGCTTCTAGCTTCCTGTGGCTAATGGAGCTGGGCCTGTAACAAGAGCCCATTTGGCAGAAGCAATGATTCACATTTAGCCCCTGTTTTGCTGGTATAAGCTGCTCCTTATACCCTAGTTGTTACAGAGTAAAGTTTGTTATTAACTAGGACATGAAAGAGGAATAGAATCTTGACAAAATTTAGATCTGGGAAGAAATAATGGTAATAAAAGGCATTCAAGATAGAGGAAGGGGAGGTGTAGCTCAATGGTTGAGCACTTGCTAGCATGCATGAGGTCCCAGGTATGATCCTCAGCACTTTAAAAAAAAAGACTTTTCAAGCAATTAAAGTATGATAGGGAAGTATGCTCTTGAAAGTACACTATCTATGGCTGGGGATGTGGCTCAAGTGGTAGCGCGCTCGCCTGGCATGCGTGCGGCCCGGGTTCGATCCTCAGCACCACATACAAAGACGTTATGTCCGCCGAAAACTAAAATAAATAAATAACTATTTAAAAAAAAAAAAAAAAGAAAGTACACTATCTAATCCCAGCAACTCCAGTGGCTAAAGCAAGAGGGTCACAAGTTCAAGGCCAGCCTCAGCAACAGCAAGACTCTCAGCAACTCAGGGAGACCCTATATCACAATAAAAAATAAAAAGGGGTGGGGATGTATCTCAGTGGTAAAGTACCTGTGGGTTCAATTCCCAATAACCCCAGAAAAATATCCTTTTATTTTCATTATGAATTAATATAAACTAAGTTTCTTATCCTTTTTAAGAGAAAATTATAATTCTAAAAATCAAGGAAAATGTGAAAGGAAGGAAAAAGGAGGCTTTGCAATGGGTCAGAGAGTGAGTTTTGGAGAACATAAGGTGGGGGACAGCACCAAAAATGTTTCCAACAATGGTGACTGAACTTCACACTCTACCTTTTAGCTAGAGGTTAAAGCGGGAGTCAATAAAGCAACATCATCCACGGTGAGCACCAACAATTACGGCAAATTGGATGCCCCTATTATCTCAAGTGGGTAATTTTTGTTTCTGAAGACTTCTTAATTTTTTCTGTACTGCTCTTCAAGTATATTACTCAGACTTAATAAAATAAAGACTATTTCAAAGAATCTTAGTTAATATTTATAAAATATAAGGCAGTGAATTACACATTAGATTTACAATGTACTGAATCAGATAAGTGGAAATATATTTTTATAATATCAAAATATAACATCTTAAAGGGATTGTTGGGTTTTTAAAATTTTTTTTAACTTTATTTATTTCTTTTTATGGTGCTGAGGATGGAACCCAGTGCTTCACACATGGTAGGCAAGTGCTCTACTACAGCCCCAGCCTCTAACAGTGCTTTTAAAATGCAGTCATTAAAGATAATGGTTAGATATGAGTAGAACACTATAAATATTTTTGAGTCTGCAAGTGCTTATTACATTTATTCAATAAATAAAAGTATACTTTCCCCCTGGTCAAGAATGAATGATAATGCACATTTTTACTTATTGGTAAAAACTAAACTAAAAAACAAACAAACAAACAAACAAAAACAACTAAACTAAAACCATTAAAGGGTGTAAGAACAACAAGAGAGCTAAAATGTTTATCTATCCCAACAGCAATATAAAAGGCAATGTCCAAAATTAGTAACTCAAAAAAAAATACACACTGTTAAGAAGTATAATTGTGAATAAAAAACAGCTATGAGTTCAAAGTTGTTTCTAGAGAAAGGGAATGAGAATATTTTTCAATTTTAAGACTTCTAACACCATCTGTCTTTAAAATTATGTAAAAATTATTTTTTTAATATTTAATTTTTTTTAGTTTTCGGTGGACACAACATCTTTTATTTTTTATGTGGTGCTGAGGATCGAACCCAGTGCCCTGTGCATGCCAGGCGAGCTGAGCCACATCCCCAGCCCCCTTTAAAAATTATTTTGATTAAAATTTTTTTCAACTAGTTTAAAAATATATTCAGACTTAATCAGATTTTCATGACCATTATTGTTTAAAAATGTCTAGGACTTGGGGAATAACTTTGGGATAGGGTGTTTAGCATTAGCAAGACCCCTAGCACCACAAAAATATAAATAATAATATTTGTATTTCAAATACAAAGAATAGGGGGCTGGGGATATAGCTCAGCTGGTAGAGAGCTTACCTACATGCACAAGGCCCTGGCTTCTATCCCTAGCACCTCAAAAAAAAAAAAAAAAAAAAAATCACAACAACAAATACGAAGAACAGGGAAAGATAAATGACAACACCGACAATTCAGATGTTTACATTCTATTTACTTCTTTTTGTGTAGTAAATAAAGCATTATAGATACAGTTGTGCCAAGCCCTGGGGATACAAAGTGAACAAAATAGAAAAAAAATCCAGCACTTATGGACATTATGTTCTTGGGGGATCTCTACTTTCCCCTTGACATTTCTCCAACATTATTTATTTAGGTACTAGGGACTGAACCAAGGGGTACTAAACCGCTGAGTCACATCCCCAGCCCTTTTTTGAGACAGGGTCCTGCAGCTCAGGGATGATCCTCTTGTTTTAGCCTTCCAAGTCACTGGGATTACAGGTGTGAACCACCACGCCTGGCTTTAACTAATTCGAAATAATTTATAATTAATAATAATACATTGTATATTTTAAATAAGCTAAAATAATTGAATTTTAAATGTTCTTAGCATAAAGAAATGATAATCATTTGGACATGTTGGATGTTAGTAGCTTGATTTGATTATTCCACAATGTATACATGTATCAAAACATCACACTGTATCCCATAAATAGAATACAACTTAGAAACATTTTCTTTAAATATGATTTTTTTTGTCTCATAAACATAGCAAGTTCACTACACTTTTTTGTGCACGTTATAACCATCCTTCAAGGCATTCAAGATATCCTCTTCTAGAAAAAAACCATTAATGGGAGAATTATATACTCCCAAGGACCAAAGAGATGGTGACAACACTAATTTAGATGAGAAAATCATACAGGGGAGGCATAATTTAGGTGGATATTGGCAAGGTTACTGAGTCAGTCAACCCTTTTTTTTTTAAATATTTATTCTTAAGTTTTAGGTGGACACTGTATCTTATTTTACACTTATGTGGTGCTGAGGATTGAACCCAGTGCCTCGTGAATGCTAGGTGAGCACTCTACCACTGAGCCACAGCCCCAGTCCATCAGTCAACCCTTTGACACCAACATATTTTCATGGAAGGGCTCTGTACCTGGAATGTAAATCTACCTTGCAAAAGGTTTCTTTTAGAAAACATTTTATGATTCCTCCAACAATCCTTCAAGTCCTAGCTCAAGATCCATTTTCACTGAAAGGTGAAATATTAAACCTTTATTAAGGGGCTGGGTTGTGGCTCAGGGGTAGAGCGCTCGCCTAGCACGTGCGAGGTGCTGGGTTTGATCCTCAGCACCACATAAAAATAAATAAATAAAAATAAAGGTTAAAAAAAACCCCTATTCCCTAGCACATTACTAATAATTTTCATAAGCCTCTAATAAATTGCTTTATTTATACTATAACAGTAGAAAATAATGAAAGTAGAATTTTGAGATTGTACATGTTATTTAACTTATATATAACTGTACATGCTATTTAACTTCTCTGAGTCCCAGTAGCCTAATTTATAGCATGGCTGTAATTGTCTTCCCCACAAGGTTTTTTGTTTTTGGTGCTTGGGGATTGTTTTAGTGCTTTGTCATGGATTTACATCCCCTGTCCTTTTAATTTTGAGACAGGGTCTTGCTAAATTGCTGAAGCTAACCTTGAACCTCCATTCTTCCTGCCTCAACCTCCCATGTTGCTGGGATTACAGGTGTGAAACATGATGCCAGCTTCATGTTTGTTGTGTGTAATGGGGATTGAACCCAGAGGCCCTTTACAACTGAGTCACATCCCCAGTCCTTTTTTATTTTGAGACCAGGTATGTATAAATTGCCCAGGATGGACTTGAATTTGAGATCCTCCTACCTCAGTCTCCTGAGTCACTGGGATTACAAGCGTGTGCCACCAAACCAGGAACAAGGTTGTTTTGAAGACTAAAGGAAATACTGAGAATTTTTTTCTCTTCCTATCCCTCTATCATAATCTCTGTTACAGGGATCAATAAAAAACATCCTCAGACTTCTAAATTCAATCCCTGGTACACCTTCCCCTGAAATGTATATACTTAGTGAATTTCCCACCACTATGTGTAAGGCATTGGTTCAGAATTAATGATAGAAGTATCAATATGAGGGCTGGGGATACAGCTCAGTTGATAGAGTGCTTGGCTCTCATGCACAAGGCCCTGGGTTCAATCCCCAGCAACACACACACACAATAAATAAATAAAAGAAGTATCAATATGACAGTCCTTATTGCCAGAATTTACAGACTAACAGGGAAAAAAAGTGACTAAGTTACCAACTGCAAACAGGTGTTCACTTTGGCAGCACATACACTAATTGCAAACAGCACTGAATCATGAAGTTAAATTTAATTCTAACATGGAAGCAAAGTCACCATTATTTTAAGTGTTTCCTATCATAAAATTAGCAATATTCAAATGAATATGTAAAATTTATATCAATTGAAGGCGCTTCTATTAATGTATCAGAGTTAAATGACATGAAAGAAACTATGTAATGTGGTATACTGCAGCGAATAAAATAAGCTACCTGACAAACATCCAACTTATCAGCATTAAGCTGGGCCTCAGAATGGACAGATGAACAGAAGTTCTTTCATTTTTCTCCCATCTTAGATTTGTATTGTATATTACAGTTTACCAAATACCTTCTCAAATATTATCCTACCTACTCCCAACAGCAGTGATAAAATCAGAAGACAGAATACATTGAGTTTTATGAAACATATCCATTAAAAGGAAAATCTAGTCAAATAGATTTAGACTACGAAGACTTTGTAACATACACATAATCTGAATTTTTAAAATTTCATATTATTGCACAGCCTGGCAATGCAGCCTGTCATTCTAGCAATTTGGGAAGCTAAGGCAGGAGGATCACAAGGTTGAGGAGACCCTGTATCCTAAAAAAATAAAAATCATATTACCAATTTCACTTTTTTTTTTGTGGCCTTGGGGATTGAATCTAGGGCTTCATACATGCTAGGCAAGTGCTCCACACTGAGCTGCACCCCCAGTCCCAATTATACTTATCTTCATAAATATACACTTCAGGCTACATTTTTTTTTTAGATTAGGTATTTCTCTAAAGATATTATGCAACTGAAAATGCTATCTATATATAAAAGCTGAATTTCTATTTAAGGATAAGGCCAGGATGGTATTAAACAGGAGGGAAAAGAATCCAAAAATCACATTTCCCTGTGGGGTTTCTTTTACTCCGATCTTCTATGGAATGTGATTATGTGTCTAAGTCTCCAAGAGCAACCTGACCATGATAGAATCAGAACTGGACACTTTATTATATTGTATTATGAATTCTTGTTTATTAAATACTAAATGGAAAACAAATTTTTTTTGTAATTTTCAGCTTATTTTAGCTGTAACCACTGTAATAATAATAATAATAAAACGCATTTTTTCAGCTGGATGCAATAGCACATGCCTATAATCCCAGTTATTCAGGAGGCTGAGGCAGGAGGATTGCAAACTCTTAGGAAGACCCTGTCTCACAATGAAAAATAAAAAAAGGGCTGGCAATATAGCTAAGTGGTAGAGCTCCTCAGGGTTCCAGCCACAGTTATCACTGGGCTGGTGGTGGGAAACTATACAGGAAACATTTAATTTAGGTAGAGATTGACAAGGTTATTGAGTTAGCCATCCTTTGATGCCAGGATATTCTCATTTCAGGACTCTATAACTAAAACGTGAATCTACCTTGCAAAGCCCATCTTGAATAAAATTTCCTTTAAAAATCTTCCATGATTCTTCCAATAAATGAATTCACTAACATAGCGAGGGAAAAAATCAGTTAGGCACCCTTAAATTTACCATATTTTCACTGCTACAACTGTAGACTCAAATACCCTCATCTCCATTCTTGTCCTAGTTCAAACCAGTTTCAACAAAGCACAGGGTGACCTGTGGAAAATATAAATCTGGGGGCTGGGGCTGGGGCTCAGAAATAGAGTGCTTGCCTAGCATGTGTGAGGTCCAGGGTTCGATCCTCAGCACCACAAACAAATAAATAAATAAAGGTCCATCAATAACTAATAAAAAAATTTAAAAAATATATAAATCTGATTGTCTTTCTTCTTTGCTTAAAACCTTTTAATGACTTCCCATTGTTCTTAGAATAAGGTCCAAATCCTTTGGGTAATATTACAAGAAATTCAAATAGCTGTCTCAATACATTTGATTGGTTGGGAATTTCTGTATTAAAGTTAAAAAATAAAATAAAATAAAAAAGGAAAGAAAAGAAAAAGCTGGTTCCAAATCATTAACATTACTTAAAAAAGCCCACACCATCTGTCTGTCCCTGACCTATCTTACTATAGTTCCCTTTTGCTTCCCACACTCCAACTGTTGTAATGTGACCTTTAAGTTCCTGAAATGGCCAACTTCCTAGTGTTTGGGTAAGTCCTTTCCTTTGCTTGGACCTGTCCCTTTTTTGGAATCAGTTTTCACCTAATTCCTGCTTACCAGTAAAATCTCAGCTTAAAGATTACAATCCTAGGAAAACTCTACCTGATTTTCTGTTATGTTCCCTCACCAACATTTTATTATATTATCCCTTTTTAGCTTTCAGTTTCTATTTTGGTGTACTGGTATTTATTCGCATGATTATTTAATATCTGTGTTGTCAGGTGACACCATACTTTCTATAATTGTCACTATCATATTCCTAGCACCCAGTATATAATACTTACAAAACATTCAATAGCTAAGTTATTAAGACATTGAGTGTTTAGTAACTAAAGCTAACTGTACTTAACTTCCTGCACACAATTCTTACTCATTTTTTGATCCCACCAATGACTACCACTTACTTTAGTATTATGCAAATATGCTCAATATTCACTGAATTTATTGTCTTAAAAGTAAATAAAATTTCAGCGTATTTAGAAGACACAATATCCACTTTAAAAGAGCTTTTCCCACTAAAACCAAATTACAATCAGGCATATTAGTACCATGTTATTCCTTCCTGCATCAAAAATCAATATAGACTAACAGTTTCCTGTATTTTTAATTATCTCAAATTATGTACAAATGAACCAACCCTGGACGCCGCACTGAAGTTCAGCATTCTTGACAAGACATAAACTCTTCTAGTATCGCGAGTGAAAAGGAGAAAGGACACACAGATTAAAGAAATGAAATTAGAAAACAGTGAACATCAGACCTTCAAAATATCAGGTGAGTTGGGGGAGACGGGTGAAGGTGCCCATCACGGGATGCCCACCTAAATAACAAACATTCTGTATTTCTGGATTGTGCTTTTGCAGCGTTCGCCTTTGGGAAAATGTCCTGATGGCACATAACTAGAAGTTTCTGAGCGCCTTTCCAAAGAACCCAGTGATGTGCTTCCACTGGGTTCGCGAGCCAAGAGGCCAGGAGAGCCGGGAGCGGGGTCTGCGCTCACCTGGGCTGGGCAGGAGCCTCGCCCGGCCTCCGCGCGCGCGACAGCCAGGGTCCCTCCCCGGCCGCAGGCGCGCAGTCTTCAGACCCGGACTCACCCGGATCCAGATCCCGGAGGTCGAGACCCCAGGGGCCCCGGGGTAGACGCCAGCCCAACCCGGCGGCGGGCGGACGCCGGCCCCCCACCCGACCCAACGCGTCTCAGCACCAGGAAACTCACCTCTGGGTGCGGCCTCGTGGCCCTGTCCTCAATCGTCCACAGCTCGCGGGCACTGCCCCTGCCGCTAAGCTGGAGCCCCTCCGGGCTGCGCGTCGCCGCCCCAACACCCTTTCAGGCTCTGTGGCCCCGCATCACGGATGCGGCCCGCCTCCCTCGGTGTCGCGAGGTGCCGCGCGCGTGCCAGGGCCGGCTCTGCGCAGCCCCGCGGAGCGCGCCTCGGGGGCGGGGCCGCAGTGCGCGCACGCTCCGCGGCCTCCTCTGGCCGGGGGTGGGCGCTGCTGCTACTTGCCTCCTCTCCGGGCGCGGAAAGTTCAGGGAGTTAGGTGTGGGCTCACCTGAGAATCCCGCATCTCTTACCTATCTCTTTCCTCTTCAACCTCTAGTTGAGTCCTTGGAGAGATTTCTCTGCATTCTGATCAAGTTGAACTTTTCATGAGACTTGTCATTTGCAGGGTGACCTTAAAGAATTCCCTCCACTCCTTTGTGTTTCTGAAAGGGCTTATTGCAAGGACTACCCTTCTTCAGAGGACTTAGATTCGGACTCCTGCATGCCCCCTTGGTTACTAGTGACGAAGTCAGACGCAGACTCTAGTAAATGGTTAGCTGAACTACTCCTACTCATTATCCGGGCAAAATACCAGCGGCCCAGACTTGCTCAGACTTTAGTGAAGCAAGCCGCCTTCTGGCACCTAATCTTTTTTTTTTTAAATTTTTATTTATTTTTTTTAGTCATACATGACAGTAGAATGCATTTTGATATATAATACATACATGGAATATACATACATCAATCATATTGTCTATTCTATTCTGCTGCCCTTCCTATCCTCCCTACTCCTCCCCTCCTCTCCCATCCTTTCTCTCTATCCAATCTAATGTGACACACTTTTTTTTTCTTTTTCTCATCACAACATCATATATGTATTCTGTATAACAATGAGGTTCTCCTTCCATCTTCTGTGCAACTCCCCTTTTCCCTCTTTTTCCCTCCCACCTCTCTTCCCTATTTAGTGGTAGTCTTCTTCTCATGCTCTTCCTCCCTATCCCATTTTGAGTCACTCCCCTTATATCAGAGAAGACATTCGACATTTGTTTTTTAGGGATTGGCTAACTTCACTTAGCATAATCTGCTCTAATGCCATCCATTTGCTTGCAAATGCCATGAGTTTATTATTTTTTAGTGCTGAGTAATATTCCATTGTGTATAAATGCCACATTTTAAATCCATTCATCTATTGAAGGACATCTAGGTTGGTTCCACATTCTAGTTATTGTGAATTGTGCTGCTATAAACATTGATGTGGCTGTGTCCCTGTAGTATGCTCTTCTTAGGTCTTTTGGGTATAGTCGAGAAGGGGAATAGCTGGATCAAATGGTGGTTCCATTCCCAGCTTTCCAAGGAATCTCCATACTGCTTTCCAAATCGGCTGCACCAATTTGCAGCTGGCACCTAATCTTTGATCCAGAAAACATCCTATCAAGTATGCTGATCACTGCCTCCAAAGCCCATTCATGCCACTTCCCCACACGCAGGTCTTTTTATCCTTGTTTGCTGTTCCCCATGCAGAAAAAGCCCTTTTCAGCCAGGCTGATTGCGTATCTCATGGTTAGATAGTAGTTATCTCCTTTGCAACAATCTTTCTATTTTGAAATTATCTCTGCTACTGAAGTCTCTTTTTATGTAAATCTAGATTTGTTGCAGAGTTTAGAACCCAGGACCTCTGCCACTGAACTACATACCAAACCCCCAAACCCCCGTCAGTGCGTTTTTCATTTGACAGTTCAGTTCTCCCTATAGCAGTAATCCTCTTCCCTTATTGTAATAGTGTCTCTCCCCCCACCACCCATTGCAATAATCATTTCAAATAAAGTCTCCATTTGTCTAAATTGAGATTGGACCCCTGCCATCTCCACCCAGGTAAAGGCAACTTGTGATTCTTGAATTGTCTCTTGTTCCTTGAGATTTGGGAATCCTACAATGAATTCAACTCTCAAAACCTCTCCTAACCTCCTTTCTGCAAAAGAAATTGAAAGCAGTTACTTTGATTCCTTTGGGCAAGGAAACATTTCTTTAAGCCTTTTGTCAGGGCTCTTCTGTTTTTAATTTTGTTCTTGTTTTTGTCCCAATACCTTGGATGAAGAGAGGATTCTTTTATTTTTATTTTTGGTGGCAGGGGGACTGGGGATGTAGTTTAGTGCTAAAATGTTTTGCCTAGTGTGTAGGATTCTCTCGGTTCAATCCCCAGTAATGGAAAAAAAAAAGTGTATGTGGGGAAATGGAGCCAATTTGTAAATATTTTAGTCTTTGCAAGTCCCATATGGCCTCTACCACATTTTTGTTTTTAATTTTACAATCTGTTAAAAGGGTAAAAAAAAAAAAAAAAAAACCGACTCTTAGCTCATAAACATATAAAAAGAGGCTACAGCTGGTAATGGTGGCACAGGCCTATAATCCCAGTGACTCCTGAAACTGGGGCAGGAGGAGCACAAGTTTGAGGCCAGCTTCAGCAACTTAGTGAGACCCTAAACAACTTAGTGAGACCCCGCCTCATACTAAAAAACGAAAAGGGCTGGGGATGTGGCTCAGTGGTAAAGCCCCCCTAGATTAAATCCCCAGAACCAAAAAGAAAAAAAAAAAAGATCTTCTGACCTTTTATTACAGGACTGGGGCCTCTCAGGAAATTTAGGCAGTACAAACACCCCCCCCTCCCTTCAAACCCCAATTCTTATGATCAAGTCAGAAAGATTTCAGACATGTGGCTCAAATTAATAGGCATGAGTTTATTGAAGGGAAAGGAAAAGGGAAATGGGATACTCTTGGTACTTTTGGTTATCGGTGATGAGTTCTGCTTCCTCACATGTTGAAGTTTGAACGTTAGAGAAGTGCGCGGAGGCAAGCATATAAAGCAGGGTTTATCTAAAAAGGGGCAACAGACTTCTCCGTGAAGGGATTAGGGGCCATAGCTGGTATCCCGGTATCCCCAGAAGCAAGTATTCTGCCCTTTTTATGTGTCTTAGGCTTCCTTTGTTCTCCTGCCCCCTTTTCCTTATCTTTCTCCTTCCTGCATACTTGACTAGGCTTTTGACTAGGCCTAGGAAATGCTCAGTGGGATGGCCCAAATGTGGCTAGGGGGATAGTGGCTAGGGGGATGGTGGCTAGGGGGACGATGGCTGGGGGAAGGGCAGGAAGGAGAAGCCAAGGACACATTCATTAAAAACCTTATAGCTTCCTGTAGGGAGGGGCAATTCCTGGGACAAGTTATCTCCGATATAGGTTGGAGCAGGGGTAAGTTCTTGATAAGGGTGGAGGAAAGGCTCTGGTGTCCAACTTGCTGCACTCACTCAAAATTGGCCTCTTTGATCCCACCTGTCTCGATTTACCCTTCTATACTGACTGCCTAATTCTGGTTTCACTCTGAAGGGACAAAGTAGGTCTTCTCACTCACTGCAGTTAATTGGGGACTCCAGAGAAGTTTTCAGAGTTCCACCTCTTGACTTTTGACTGACAGCAGGATGATATCAAGACCTGCAATTCTCCACTGCATGGTAATGATAACTCTAGGTCACTTTTCATGTTAATGGGTTCTAATTGTTTTATTTATTTATTTTGGTACTGGGGATTGAACGCATGGCTGTTTTAATACTGAGCTAAGTCCCCAGCCACTTTTGCTTTTTCACTTTTTAATTTTGAGATAGGGTCTAGTGAAATTGCTGAGGCTGGACTCAAACTTGCAGGCCTCCTACCTCAGCCTCTCTAGTTGGTGGGATTACAAGCATGCACCACTATGCCTGGCTCTAATTGGATTCTTTGTATGTGGTGCTGAGGATTGAACCCGGGCCGCGCTCTCGCTTCAAGCGAGCGCGCTACCACTTGAGCCACATCCCCAGCCTCTAATTGGATTCTTAACCATAAATTCTTTTTTCTTTTTTTTTTTTTAAGAGAGAGAGAGAGAGTGAGAGAGACAGAGAGAGAATTTTTTAATGTTTTATTTTTTAGTTTTCGGCGGACACAACATCTTTGTACGTGGTGCTGAGGATCGAACCCGGGCCGAACTCATGCCACGCGTTACCGCTTGAGCCACATCCCCAGCCCCTTAACCATAAATTCTTACCGATTTTATGGTTGGGAGGAATTATCCTTATCTTCCAAGTTTGAGATCTGGTCTGCAAAAAGGGCCCCAAAGTTTTCAGGGTAACGTGGGTTCCTCTTATTGACATTATTCTGGGCCTGCATTTCTCCTGCAAACAATGGGAATGTGACAAAACCTTGGGGAATGTGACAAATCCTGTCCAATTAAGCCAGGCAGGGCTGCAGGTAAATTGCTTCTTAGAAAAAAAGCATGTGGTTGGTCAGCTCAGTGGCTGCATTTTATGGAATTATTCACTTAACCTCGTGTTCCCACCACTTACATCTGTCTGTCCCCTATCACTATGAACAGTAAGTTATCTCTAATGAACTCTGAATTTTTGAAATGACGATGATAATTCCTGCTTTAACACCAGAGCATTTCATATTGACTGTACAGCTTAATTTGTTTCTTCGTAAATTACATTACAAATTTTGATCTTTAGGTTCTGCTTTTACTTAATTCCTCTGCGGGAGGGAGTAGGGGACTGGTAAACCCGGTTCTTGAAAAGACTCCCGCCTTAGATCTGGTTAACGTTATAGGACTCTGCACCAGTTTGTTGAGAGAATTAGAGTTCTCGTATCTTCCCCACCCTCATTTCTTCTTAAGCGTATTCTGTGCCAGATACCGTGTAAACTTTTTTTTTTTTTTTTTTTATTGTTAATCACAGCTGTCATTCTCAATTTTACAGCCTTGAAAAGTGCGGCTCAAGTTCAGTGACTTGCTTAGGTAGCTCTGGGATTCTAAGCCAGCGCCTTTTCGTCCTTATCAGCGATCCCCTTCCTCCCCGCGCCTATGCGGGCGGTTCCTAGCTCCATCCTGGCCATTTGGGATGGTGCGGGTGTATAGGGTAGTCCGTCCTGGACCTGGAGACTTGGATCAGGTCCCAAGTTCCACACCGGAACTCGCCTTGCAACCAATCTGGCTTTTCCCATCCCCCAGCCTGGAGGCCAACGAGACCTGGAAACCACTGAGCTGGGAGCCCAGAGCGTCGCCATCCCTGGCCGCCGCGCGCTGACGCTGCGCCGGGGGCGGAGCCTGCTGGAGGCTAGGGGAGAGGAGGGAGAATCCGGCGAGGGGAGGGCTGCCTGTCCTTGCAGCGCCCCGCTGTGGCCGCGGCCGGAAGCGGTCTCGTCGGCCCTGCGGCGCTGGAGACCTGACGCACAGAGCTCGAGAGCGAGAACGAGAGAGAAAGGGGCAGAAATGGCGGCTCCGCTCGGCTCCCGCTGAGGAGGGTGAAGCCGGCGGAGGGTCTGTGCTGCCGACTTGCAGCCTCGTTCTCGCCTCTTGCTGCCTGACTTCTCACGCCGCTTTCCCTTCCTCTGCCCTGCTCTCGCCTGTCCTCGTCTGCGCTCCGGAGAGTTCGAGCCGGCTCGTCTCTCCCGGCCCGGCTCCGCTGGCCCTGACTGCCCTGCCGGCGGGCCGGCCTTCCTCTGCCTTCCCGGGCGCGGCGTGTGCCTCGTCCTCCTGGCTGGACCATGGTGAACACCCGGAAGAGCTCTCTGCGCCTTCTCGGGTCCAAGTCTCCCGGGCCCGGGCCCGGGCCTGGGGCCGGAGCAGAGCCTGGGGCGACCGGAGGCAGCAGCCATTTCATCTCCTCTCGGACCCGCTCCTCCAAGACCCGCGCTGCCAGCTGCCCCGCCGCCAAGGCCGGGGGAAGCAGTGGCGCCGGCGTCGCTCTGGATGAGGCCCGGGTAAGAGCGCGGCGGCCCGCGTCCGGAGGCTGGCGAGCACCGGCCGGGCCGCCCGGGCTTTGTCTGGCCGCATTGGGGGCAGAAAGCCTCCAGCGGAGGCGGCCCGGGCGGCTGGAGACTAGGGGTGCGAGTGCGGGTGCGGTGGAGGCTGGCACCCGTAGAAGGGCCTTGACTCGAGCGCTTTTGCTTTGCCGGCCCGGTTCTTTTGTGTAAGAACAGCACTTGAGTCCGGTGAGAAGGCTTTGGAGGTCCTTTTCGGGGGCATTAGGACGATCTGCTTTCCGTGTCCTTGTCCTGTCTTAGAGGGGAATTTTAGAGGGAAGCGACAGCGAAGGGCCGGGGTCCCTGAGTGGAAGGGTGGAGAAGAGAAGTGAAAGTTTTCTGCGGTGTCAAACCCTCCTGAAAGTGTGTCAACTGCCGCTGTCTAACTCCAGCTTACTCTTGAGTTTGGGGGTGGTTCAAGTTGGTGAGGAAGTGAGCAGAGCTCCAGTTGGCAGCCAGGCAGGGATGCTGAAAAAAGTTTGTAGCTGCTCCGGCACCAACTTTAAAAACAAAATCAACGCTGTCGCCTCTCCAGGCAGGAGAGATCAGACATGATACTGTTGCTGGAGAACCAGCCAGCTAGCCAACCGAGGTTCTAGTAGGGACCGGAGCTTTCAGGTCACAAAAAGACATATGTCGAAAGAAACATGTTTAATGGGCACCATCATCCCAAAATTATATGGTTTCTGGGATGTCTATATTTTTTTGATAGAGAAATAGTTTACAAAAGGTGAATCAACATCGTTGTTGTCATACACTTGCAAAAGTGACATTTGAAGAAGCAGGTGATGATTCAGTTCTTAAAAAAAAAAGATTGAAAGATTCTTGAAGTTTTATTGCTCATAGTGTGAAATGCTAAGCTAGCACAGAGAATTATCACTTTAAAGGTATTGACAAGTTTGTTATTATGAGATTGGTTCTGAATTTAGAGACAAGTGAAATGCTTCAGTCTAGAGAGAGGCTAACTTGGCTAAAAGTAGTTTTTCTGGAAAATGCTTTTCATTTAAAATACTCCTTTAAATCCACACCATTTTGTTGTTGTCATGCAGGGAAAGCAATATTTAAGATTCTCTGGGGATTTACAAGATTGCAGTTTTTTTTTTCCTCTTTGTGTTTCATACTGTTTTGACACTAACAAGGAATCTGAGTACATACAACAGTATCTTTTACCATACTTCTATGAAATACATTTATTTTATCTTACAAAATGATTGTTTTGCTTTTATTTGCTAAAAGTCTGGAAAATATTTTAAGAACTTATTTAACAGACTGTTTTGGAATTCACCGATCTCTTAGGCTGAAATAAGAAAACTAATGCGAAAGTTGTGCAAACTATTCAGAATAAGTATTGTGAAGACTTAGCTTATTGTGGAAGCTATTCTAAACATGCAAGTTTCTTGACTTACTGTTGCTATCATATTTTCAGATGATTCTAAAAAAAGATTTGTCCTCCATACTTAAGTGCAAATAAAATATTTAGAGCAAGCAGAGCATACAATTGTTCATGCTATGAATGTCTAGTCTATTAGAGCATTGTCAAGACTCCTCTGAAGCAATTAGCTCATCTCTCACAGATCAGTTTGTGGTCCCATTTTTGAATTCATGGATATCATGCTGTCCTTACCCCCTGAGGAATAAGGTGAGGTAATTTGTCAAGCAGCTGTTATAGAGATGTTAAAAGGCAAGGAATCAATAATCTAATGTAGAGATGAACATTTGTTAGCTTTTAGATTGCTAGAAGAATGAAAGCTCTTTCTAGAAGTATACTTATGAAACATTGTTTTAAGAACCTTTTTTGTTTTAAAAGGCCATAAAGAACAGGCTACTGAGGATTGACTTTGAAATACTTAGTTTTCAGTTTTAAAAAGATTTATTTATTTATTTACTTACTTACTTGGTTCTGGGGATTGAACTGGGGTGCTTTACCACTGAGTTATATCCTCCACCATTTTTATTTTTTATTTAGAGACAGGGTCTCACCAAGTTGCTGAGGCTGGCTTTGAACTGGCGATCCTCTTGCTTCAGTCTCCAGAATTGCTGGGATTACTGGTGTGTGCCACACACCTGGCTTATTTTTTATTTTGAGACAGGGTCTCACTATGTTGTTTAGGGTCTCAGTAAGTTGCTGAGTCTGGCCTCAAAGTTTCGATTCTCCTGCCTCAGCCTCCTGAGTTGCTGGGATTACAGGTGTGCAACACTCGCCTGGCTTGGCTTGATGTTTTGAAACAGGGGTCTTGCTGTGTTACCCAGGTTGGTCTTGAACTTGACCTCAATTAAACCTCCTGCTTCAACATCCTGAGTAGCTCAGATTGCAGGCACATGCCTCTATTTCTGTCGTCTCTTAGATATTTCAGAGACTTCTAATGTTATAGTATGAGTGATTGGACCTTTAGAAGAGGATAGCTATAATTCTGAATTTATTAGGTTTAGGGATGCAGGTTGTATATTTCTTGGCTCTATATTCCTGAAGTGGATTGTTTTGAATTAGGTGTTCTTGTCTGATTGGTTTTTATGTTATAGGAGTTTAGCATTCCTGTTTTGCCCTTTTTGGCATACTTAAAGGCACCTTCTTGAATATGGGATCTGGAATAGACCTTTACTTTTGTCTGTAAAGTCTTATTTGATGGAGAATGGGGTTTCCCATGTTGTTGATTTAGAAGATTGAACCTTGTGCCCTCTCTTATGCTAGACAATTGCTTTACCACTGTGCTACATCCCCAGTCTGAAGACTTTTTTGTTGTTGTTGTTGTTACTGGGCATTGAACCCAGGGGTACTTTATCACTGAGCTGTATCCTCAGCCCTTTATTTTTTATTTTGAGACAGTGTCCTGCCGAGTTGCTGAGGCTGGCCTTGAACTTGCAGTTCTTCTGCATCAGGTTCTGGAGTTTCTAGGATTATAGGCGTGTGCCACTACACCCAGCAAGACCCTTCTTTTTGTAAGAAGAAATGTATTGCTCTTTTTCTGCTTTTGGGCTATATTCTTCACTCTATATTTGATTCTGACTTTTTTCCTTCTTTCCCTCCGTTTTAAAATTATTTTATTTACTATGTCTAGAGACCATTTCTTCTGCTTTTTAGAAAAAAGCCATATCACAAAGAGCTATTTGTAGAGTTTTGCCTTTTCCCCAAATGATATATGTATAGGATAGGGAAATAAACATATGATATGTTGTGCATGTTATTGAAACTATTTTCTTTTGTCCCCCCTAACTTTCCCTAGGGTTAAAGTTTTTTATTTTTGTTAATATTTTTGACATGAAAAAAGTTCTACCTAATGTATACAATTTGATGAGTTTGGTGAAAAGTATACACCTGTGAAACCATCACTACCATGAAGACTGCAGACATGTCTATCACTCCCATAGTTTTCCTTACCCCCTCTTTTATACTATTATTATTATTATTATTATCTTTTCTTTGGTGGTAAGACTCTTAATGTAAGATCTACCTTCTTAGAAAAAGTCTTTTTTTTTGTACCAGTGGTTGAACCCAGGGGTGCTTAACCAATGAGTCACATCCCTACCCCTTTTTTTAATCTTTATTTTGAGATGGGTCCTCACAAATTTGCTTAAGGCCTCCACTAAGTTGCTGAGTCTGGCTTTGAACTTGCGATCCTCCTGCCTCAGCCTCCCAAGCCACTGGGATTACAGGCGTGTGCCTTCTTAGAAAATTTTGTATATACAGTATGTATTCTTAACTGTAAGCACTATGCTGTGTAGTAGATTTCCAAAATTATTTATCTGGCATAAGTGAAATTGTTGCCTTTGACTATCATCTCCTCATTTCCTCAACCTTTTTCCTCCTGGCAATCACCTTTCTTTCTATTCTTCTTCTATGAGTTCAGCTATTTTTGGTTTCACACATGAATAAGTTCATACAATATTTGTGTGTGTGTGTGTGTGTGTGTGTGTCTTAGTTCATGTAGCATAATGTCTTTCAGATCCATTCATGTTGTCACAAATGGCAGGATTTCCTTTTTTTTAAAAAATATTAGTTGTAGGTGAACACACTACTTTTATTTATTTATTTATTTATTTTTATGTGGTGCTGGGGATTGAACCCAGTGCCTCACACATGTGAGGCAAGCACTCTACCACTGAGCCACAATCCCAGCCCAGGATTTCCTTCTTTTTAAAGGCTGAATTATATTCAATCACGCATATTTGTATTATATTATTTGTGTATATATATATACACACACACACCTTCATATACATATTCTTCATTCATTTATCCATTGTCTGGCATTTAGATTATGTTCATATTTTGGCTTTTGTTTGTAATGCTACAGTGAATGTGGGAGTACAGATATCTCTTTGAAATTCTGATTCCAGTTACTTTGAATAAATAAGCAAGATTGCTGTATCATTTGGCAGTTCTATTTTATTTTTCTGAGGATCCTACTACTATTTACTGTGGGAGTTGCTCCATTTTGCATTCCCATTGATGTGTGCTGGGGTTCCCTTCACATCTTTATTTAACACTTGTTGCCTTTTTTTTTTTTTGGATGATATTCATCTTGTAAGGTAAAAGGTGATATCTCATTTGGTTTTTTGCTCTGCATTTTTCTTAAGATTAGTGAAATAGAGCAGATTTTCTTGAACCTGCTATCCATTTAATATGTCTTATAAGTCTATTCAGGCCTTTTGTCTCTTTTTCCCCTGCAGCCCTGCAGTATTGAGGATTGAACCCTGGAGTGTTCTACCACTGAGCTACATCCCCAGCCTTCTTTTTTGAGACAGGGTCTCTCCTTAAGTTACCCAGGCTCCCTCAAACTTATGATCCTTCTGCTTCAGTCTCTTGAGTAACTGGGACTATAGGCACCACACTTGGCTTGGCCAATAGTCTTTTTTTTCTTTTTGTATTGGGATTGAATTTAGGGGTACTTTACCACTGTGCCCCACTCCTTTTTATGTTTTGAGACAGGTTCTCACTGAATTGCTGGGGTTCTCACTAA